TATATATATATATATATATACATATATGCGTATGTTGTGTATTATATAGATATAGAATATTACATATATATAATATTCTTTTTTATCCTTTTTCTTGTCACGTGATTTTAGTCACGTGTTGTTTTTCCACTTCTCTCTCTCACTATTTTTTGAGTTTGATTTTCATGCGTTATTTCTGACATTTCTCATATGTGTATTATATGGTTTATAAGACGTATATACTATCTGTCATCGCGGTGACAGGTTGTGTTGTTCACTGACAACACGTTAAATAAAAATAACAATAGCGTGCGCGTAGCGCGCGCCTGTGTTGCGCTAGTTTGTACAAAAAGCAGACGAGACACGCGATTGGTCGATATCGCAACCGTTAATTCGCGCCGTGAACTCGAATGTTCGGCGGCGCCGCGTGATGGCGCGCCGCGCGACATCGTGACCGCACCGGCGGCCGGCGAGAGCGTCCGTGCAGTCGACGTTGTGAACCCCTATTACGATTTTGTGGCGCGCAGGCGCAGCACGGCCTTCTGGTTAAAGTATCCATCTTGTTCCATGTGAGTATCTCGAACTGTTCTCGTTTTCGGCCTCGTCCGATGGTGGTAATTGTCCGCACGAGCGGCAAAATATCGAGATTGCGTGAGCTAATCTCGGCCCGGTGTGTATCCGCACGGCCTCGACGTGCCGGGGCGGTTCTTGACGCGCCGCGACGATGACGGTCCGTGCCGAGCAATGTGGCCCGTTCACGATTCGCCCCGTTCGGTCGCATCTTCCCAACGCGTGAAAAATACGCCGTGTACGACGACGGCGGTCACGGAACGGCACGCCGCGCGTTCTTAACTTAGCCGGTGCTCGTTAATACGCCGTAGAAGTCGCATTATCCGCCGTCCTCGTCGCCGCGCGAATGTCTTTGGTTAGATCGCACTCCGATCCGCCGCCTCGGCATCTCTCGCCGTTGCGCGAACTCCCTGCGATGACGCGCCACGTGGTCACACTGCTCGTCCAGGTGTAATCACGTTGCGGTATCTTTAGCTCTCAGTGATTCGTAATTATCGCGATTTTACCGGACTGCTTTTCATCTAAATAAGAGCAGACACAAGAGAGACAAATATTTCTCATTCGCGTTTTGTTAACACAGCTTTACCGACCATTTTTCTCGCAGATAATACTAGCACCGAACCTTCATTTCTGATAGTCATCGATTAACCTGTTTGTCCGAGACAAATTTTTAGAATTGTAAAATGGCTTTATAATCGCTTTTAAGATACATAAAATGTTTATGTTCAAAAACAATTTGAATACAATGTGGCATATTTATATGAACTAGATTGATGCTAATTCTTTTTTAAGCTTTATAATAAGTTTATGTTAGTGTTAGAACTTTTGAGTTTTTGCAGTTAGTATTAACAGACTTTGTGCTTATCTCTTATAGTATTCAGAATAGACATGGCTGATATAGAGGATACCCATTTTGAAACTGGTGATGCAGGAGCGTCTGTGACGTATCCTATGCAATGCTCTGCACTGCGAAAGAACGGTTTTGTGATGTTGAAATCACGTCCTTGCAAGATAGTAGAAATGTCTACATCTAAGACTGGCAAACACGGTCACGCCAAGGTCCATTTAGTCGGTATTGATATCTTTACTTCTAAGAAATATGAAGATATCTGCCCTTCCACACACAATATGGATGTACCGTTTGTTAAGCGAGAAGATTACCAGGTAAAAGTTCTCTTAAAATTACATGACAATTATGTTTTATGTTTATAAATATATTTTAATAATTTTATATTTATGACAAAAGCAATATGTGTTTGAAAAATTTTAAAAAAATTTGTCATTGTTTTGTGATAGCTCACAGATATATCTGACGATGGTTATCTTTGCCTGATGGCCGATAATGGGGAACTGCGTGAAGATCTCAAGATACCTGATGGCGATTTGGGAACACAGCTGCGTGCTGACTTCGAGTCAGGCAAAGAATTACTTGTAAGTACAATTTTATACGAATGGAATTTACAATTTTGTAACTATAATTGTGATTATTATTGAATTATAAAAAAATGCAGAGAACTGTAGAAAAAAATATGAGAACAGTTTTACACATTAGTTTTTTACACACATTTAGTTTTAAAATATTTACAAACTTATGCGATCTTTCTGATATATATAATATATGTAACTCTGACATGTGTCAAATATTTGTTTAAACAACCATCTTTTGACAAGATACTGGTTAAAAATGATTTTTAGTTTTTTGATTGCAATAATATTACACCAAAGAAAATCTGCTTGAAGAAAAATCCATATATCATCCTTCCAGAAAAACATGTTAATCATACGTAAATTTTGTATTTTTTTTTCAGTGCACTGTACTCAAAGCTTGTGGAGAAGAAGTAGTAATTGCTGTCAAAAACAACACCTCTCTCGACAAATAATTGTGTTCAGTCCGATGACACTACGACAACAAAATATCCAATCTACATTCGAGCAAAACCACCCGCTTAGCCAATCAATCAACATCTTTAATATTGGTCAACAAGGATAAACAACAATAATAACCAAAAAAAGAAAATTTAGAGGAAGATGCAGAGAACAAGACGCGTGAAAGAATGAAGAGAGAATGTATGAGAGGGAGAGAGAGAGAGAGAAAGAGAGAGAATAAAAGAAAAGCAAGCAAAAATAAACTAAAATGAGCGGGCTAGCAGTTCCAATGTTAACAACAGCAACGCGCCGGTGCGAGAAGCGATTTTTATTAAAGTAACATCTTACTTAATTATTCAATATTTAAATAAATAATAATCCGGGAAAAAAAGGAGCGAAAACTAAATATATTTACGCTCAGTTACACGTACATGTACACATTACTGGCAAGTAGCATACAACAATATACATATGAGCATAGGTATATATATACATATGTGTACGTATATACATCTATATATACCTACCTCATACACACGTACATACACAAACTACACACGCGTTGTTTGTTATACCAGAAAATGGCGACAACTTCAGCAAAAAGTTGATTGAAAAATAAAAACTGAAAAAAGCCTTGACACATCCTGGACTTTTTTTTTTTAAGAATAGAGAAAAGAAATTATTTACAACAGCTTTGTAACTTATTACACTTATGCGTGTGAGTGTGAGAATGCGAGTGAGAGAGAGAAAGAAAGAGAGAGAGAGAAAGGGAAAGAAAACTTGTTAAAGACCAATATAAAGAGATCGTGAGATAAGGACTCCCGTATCCTTACGCGTGCGCGCGGAACAATTTTTCATGGGATGCTAGCGATGCCCAACACGAAGCAGCTCACTTCAAGCATCTTTCCTAAATGATACTATTAGATAAGACTGCGATTTTCGCTACAGAATTTATACAGGAAGCTGAACAATTGTTTTGTTTTTTTATTATTTTTTTTTTTTTTTTTTTTTTAAGTTGTGAAAAGAACTCGAGAGTTCTCGAGATTTGTAGGTCTAATGAAAGCACAAAAAAAGAGAAGTTCAAGGATTTTAGGATTCATCTCCCGTCGAAGACTCCGTTCTGTAGCCAAAGTTTTTAGCGTAAAATTTTGTAGATCTAAGAAATTTATGAAACTAATGATAGTTTTGTTTTTTAAATATTTGAAGCTTCTCTTTAGATACGTAACGTAACAGAGAGAAAAATTTCAAAGAATAAACAGAATCTGGACTTGAAAATTTGTTAGAATAAATATTCTAATCTTTTATATATACATATATATATAGAAATTTAAAACATTGGCAAATCAAAATTTAAGAAAAAGTTTATAGAAACACATATGTATACATCTGTTATGTACATGTGTACATATATCGGGAAATCTGAAAATCCTTAAATTCACACAAGGATACGTGCAACGACTTTATTAATTATAGTATATTTCTTATTATTTCTTATATTATTCAAAGATTGAATTATTAAAAAAACAAACGCAAGATATATCTCGCGCAATTTGTATGAGACAGAGCATCTCTGCGTGTGTGATTTCAAATACAAAGAGTTAAAAAAAAACAAAAAAAAACAAAAAAAGACAAAAAAACAATAGTCTCATAGACTTTTTGAGTATGAGAGTTATAAGCACGATTGCGGTATCAATGGATATTGAAGATGCGAAGGGAGTGTCAGAGAATTGATTTAGACCTTTAAATTTCCACGAGAACATCGAGATCAAAACGAAATACGATAATTATTACGCGCGCTTTGATAATGATGTAGCGCAATAAACGATGTCGCGTCTTGTCCAGAGACTGTAATTGGCTTATATATATATATGAATGCTCAGACTTTTATTACAATTTTGTTGTAATATCTCGTTTTAATAAACATTTTTCAGAACAGGTTACACGAGCTGCTTTCACTCAACAAGATAAACTTGTAATTAAAAATAGACGATGTACCGTGTTTAGAAAACAGAGATTACGATAAGTAAAAAACAAAACAAAACAAAAAAAAAAAAAAACAGAAGAAAAACCGCGAGTGTGTGGAAGATCTTTGTGTGAAACTGTGTACGAAGAATCTTTCCCTTACATCCTTTCCATCTCGTGTCATCGTTTGTATAAAAACAAAAATTGTTCCGAAAGTGCAGTCTGAATGATTAGGAGAATAATTATATATATTAAGCAGATATATAATATTATTAACTGCAAAAGTGTAATCACAGTTATCAGTGGAAGGAGGATGTTTTTTTCTTACGAAAAAACTGGATTTATACAATATTTGCATCTTATTTTTTGTTTTTGGCAATACTTATTGTTTGTATACACACACACATACACACACACACGTATCTCAATTGAGATACTACTTTATCTCCAAATTCCTATTTTTTCAACATTTAAACTGTTTTATGTGTGCTACGTTCAAATTCCTTGCATTTCGGTTACCGAGATATATTTCCAGCGATTAAACGTTTTTTACATAAAAAAAAAAAAAATACTCAACAATTTTAATCGTTCATCGAAGAACACAAGCAGATGCAAGCTAGAAACGTGCCTTCCTCGATGACTTTGATTGCTTTGCAACGACATTAAAATCGAAAAAAAAAACTCAGCTATTATAATCTAAATAAAGTAACGACTAATTAACTAATTGAACAAATAAACCAGCGTCTGTAATCTATGTGTGCTATGTTGGACCAGGCTCATAAATTCTTTCGATTGTTATTTACATAATCGAAAGAAAACACACATGAAACAAAAGGAAATAGTGTATACAGTTAATAGGAAAATATTCATAAAAATTAATATACATGATAATATTTTGATTTAGTTCTTTCTTAGACTGACTTGCCCGCACACACACTGCCACCGTTTGAAATTTGCAAAAAAGACAAGATGTGTATTTAATTTCTTTGTATAGTGGGATAAGTTACGTGGGGTAATATAATCGGTGGTACAATTCAAATGTGTAAAAAAAAAAAAAACAAACAAACAAAAGAGGCACTAACTTAAAGACTTACGCTTTCCTTTTCTCCGTTTACGTACTTAGAAATTCACTCGATATACACTTTTTGCGTCTCTTTATATTACGAGAAAGCAATCAAGCGGATCCTAGAATACGCAAGGATATGTATATGTGGTTGCGCAATCGTTCACGGAGGATCCAAGGATTTATAGTACCAAGAGTGTTTTTTTCTTTTTATTATTAACCATCTTGAGTTTATTGAGACGTCAGTCATCTGATGTACCGATCAGAATCGAAGTTCCGGAAATGAGAGTACAAGAGGAAATTTGTAACACAATTATATCCTTTTAAAGATTCGTGGTACTGGCGATCTTTGAGATCCGAACTTTCCGGTTCAAGGATCTGTAGCATCAAAGATACGTGGTATACTCTGAACAAGCAGAATACCATGTGTTAAAAAAAAATAAAAAAAAATAAAAAAAAATAAAAAATAAAAAAAAAACGAGAAACTCCACTAACTAATAAATATCCGCAATACCAAGAATCTGTGATGCCAACGGATTTTTGTACTCGTGAAATTTTTAATATATATAAACGAATAATAAAAATTTAATTTAAAAACTTTTATTTGCGCACTATATATGAATTTATTATCATAACAAATGCAAAATGCAACCGCTCCTTTTTGAACTTTTTTACATAAAAAACAATAAATCGTTTTATACTGTCCTGCAGAGAGGATCAGAGCTGTATTTTGAATTTAGTTCTAAATAGAGTATAAACGCGAGATGCCTTCTCTTAATATAGCCAAGCATCTTACAAAAACTTCCGAACGTTTGCGTTGCGCTTTCTTGTTGATTTGACCAACATTGATAGAAATGAAGAGAGAATTTTTGCATGTTTTTTTTTTTTTTTCTTATGCTTTACAATTTGAGTGTTCAAAAAGATTTTCATTTTTACGAAGTAAAGATGAATCTTCTGTTACAACAATTGCGATGCGATTCCTCTCTGACAACTTCATATAAATTGTTTTCCAGCGTTAAATTACACGCTTTTAAATTTAATCCTAAACAGTACAAGTTCAATATATTCATACTTTTTAAATATTATGTGTGAAACTCTGTTATGGATTTATAATTTTTCTCCATATTTGTCAAACAAAGACGAAACGAAGAAAATTAATTGTTGTGATCTTCGAGGTTTTTCTTTCACGTAGTAAACGCTAGTCTATAATATAATTCGTTCTCTTTTGCATTTTACATTTTTTTTTATCTAATTTTCTCTAAACGCGTTGCACCTTTCCCGCATATTTACAATAAACTCTATTTTATTCTAAATTAAACAAAGTATTTTTCATACTGTTTAGGTTTAATCAACGCGTCCGTAATTGATTCACATATCTGGACAACAAAGCGCAATAGTATAAATGCCATATTTCAATAGTGTAGATTGACCACAATAGTTTCAAGGATTCTATAGATACCTGTTTGACCTGTGGGCAAAGGTCGCAGTATTTCAATATATTCCCAAAAGTCCAAAAAGATTTCAAGACTTTTTCGGGATAGTTTAAAGCCTGCTGCAAAGAATACAGAATTTTTTTTAAAAAAAAAAAAAAGATTTCACGGACTCTCTTCAAAAATACAAAAACGTCTGCGAAGATTGAAAGATCCTGAAACAAGGTCGAAGGATCCAAAAATACCATGAAATCTATTCGCAATCGTAATCGAAGCTTTCCGGCTGCTCGCAGGATCAATTGTTGGCGTTTCGCCTTTGCAGCGCCGCTGCAAGATCCTGCCTGAGCGCGGCCTGTTGTCTCTGATCGGCTAATGATTGCACCGATCGCAGCCCGTTTACGATATCTTTCGTTTTGCCGAAGTAGATCTCATTCAGGGTATTGCGGATCTTGTTCTCCATATCTTCTACCATTCTGCCAATATTTGCGATATGGGGGGACGTTTCGCTGATCTGAGCGTCTTGTTCAACCTACAATCATCGCAACAAATTAGAGAGCAGTGTTTCAAACAAGAAAGATACGAGAATTTAACACGCCTGTTATAAAAGCTTACTTGACGCGTCAGACTGCCACCTAAATTCATTGTGCCAGATCCATGCTTGTTAGTTTGCAACCACAGCATGGCTGTCGATGTGAGTTTATAATGAGCAGTACGACCAGTCGATTTCTCCTGCACTTCTACCACATGTATAGAGTCCCAGCATCCCTTAATCTTCTTGGAACCATCGCCGGCCTTTTTGATAAGAATTACCGCCGCAAAACCATGATCCAGGTCCCACAAGTACACAGAGGAGACTCCACCTTCGAAGTAAAGCTCCCGATACTGATCAAAAGCGTGATTGGCATCTATCTCCAATTTTCTCAGCCGTTCTGAAGGCATAGAGCCATCTTCTAGTGGGGGATCGTAAGTATTACTCCAGGGAGACCTGTGGAACACATGCTCGCATAAAGACAAAATACTATCTCTTCTATTTTTGTACGCAGCTTGAATATTCTTCATCAAACCTGTACGAATCCCCATCTCTGTTGTAGTCACACAAGAGGTAGTCCTTGCCAGACTCCTTGTCCTTGGCAATCTTTAACGGTTGATCCACCGAGGACAATAGATCCTCACATAACGAAGGAACCAAATCGATCAGATCGCTGAGATTTTTTTCGATTTGCTGCGGCGGTAACCTCCGCATCAGGTCCAGCGCACAATCCATTTGTTGTTCCGTCTAAACGGTTGTATAAACAAACAAAAAAAATAGAAATAGAACAACTGTTAAAACTTGTGCATTTATGTTTCTCGCTACGTATATCTCAGAAATGACGATAACGTAAGAAGATATGATTAACAGAGATTATTGTCTCGATAGAAAAAAACCAGGAATAACTGATAGGACAACTCAGTGACACGTATGTATGATTCGCAGGTGACAAGGATGAGGAATATCTCACCATAGTGCTCGCGATGCAAATTGGGTTATAGGCCGACGAACATCAAAGTCTTGCTGAGCCGATGTCTCGACAGTGAAATAAACGTGAAACGTACTGCTCAATCGTCACTATCTTGCCGGGATTTTCTCGAAAATAAACGAAACCAGCATTTAAAGGGTGTGTCGTGGTGCGAGCAGCGATTGGCTCGTCGCGCTCGTCGCTGGCTGTGTTGCCTCCGGAAAGAGCAAGGTTAACTGCCCGCGTCGCAGGTTCGCCAACCGTCGTCGAAGCTCAAGTTGACACTTTCGTCTGAATAAAAATCACTTCACAACGACATATAAAAATATTTACTTACTACGAGACAAGTAATTAACACAATGCAACAACATCGATAAATTAAAAACCATCGGGCCTAAAGCCCGTTCTACATTAAGGGCAAGACGCGAACGCATCACAGGTCTCGTAAAATTGACTAATCGCATAGTCAAATCAGCCGATCGATCACGTGATTGGTCAATTCCACGAATCTTGCGATTGGCGTTTGCGTTATGCGCTTAATGTAAAGCTGCGTTTCGTTTCACGCATATGCGCGTATTTATATATAGTATACGTGACGTATATTATACATATGCTATATATATGCGTGAAACGGAACGCAGCCTAAAACGGATGTAAAAGCGGCTTAAGAATGGCCGCGTTCAGCAGACCAATTGCCGAGTTGTCGTCTTGTCAACAATTGACGTTAATTTGTTGGTTCTAAAAATAAGAGCCAATCACATTCCATTACATGCTACAAAGCAGCTTGTTCTGCTGAACGCAATCAATTAATACGTATGCTTGTGATTTTTATGAAAAGGATGTGATGTAACTAAAAACTTTTAAATTGGTAGGTACTTTAAATAATATATTTGTCTAATTTAAATATAGTATTATATAACATATATATATGTAATATATATATGTAATATATGTGCCACAATTATTTCTAAATGACTTGGAGCTATTATTAGTTGTGTGTATAAATTTATTTTTACTCAAATATAAATTTATTAATAGCAATGTTTATTACTACTATGTTTACATTCATTTATGCATACTTTTATATATTTCAGAGATACACTCTAGAAAAGAATTTTTTTAGAAATGGATAAGACAGAAGACATTGTTAATAAATATACATGTGAAGCTACAAAACAAAATGAGGTTCAAAATGAAGCTAGGTAAGAGATAAAATTAAGAAAAATAAGAGGAGACTAGAATTAAATACAAAAAATTCTTACTTTTAAAATATCAAAGTAAAATCTCTTTAATGACTTTCCAATATCAAATTAATGAAATAAGTTTTTAGTATTATTTCTTAGCTATATTATTTTTGCGTTTTTATTCATTTTATGTATGCGTTAAAGTTTTTATTTTTGTTTTTACAGTAACTTTCTTCAGCAAGTTATCATTAGAAATCCAAAAGAAGAAAAATTGACTATGACGGATATAATACCACAGGTATAAGATATTAATATCTGTTGTTTTTCTCTCAGATATATAACATACACATAACAGTATCTTTTTTATACTTTATTTATTTAATTATTTTATGTTTATACATATATATATATATATATATAATATTTTTAGATCATTGCAAGCTGTATAATTCAATGTATAGTTATAAAAGCTGGAATAAATTTGGTTTTCAGCACAGTTTTGCTAGATGGATTGAAAACAGATAGTGATATAAGTATTACTGACAGTGAAGAATCTTGGATAGGTCAGTTTATAAGAACTTTTGATGATTTTTTTACAATTTAACAATTTTCAGATATAGTTTTACTTAATCTTTAGAGAATAAGAAGATCTTTTTATAATGATAGTGTTTTATATATACATATATATATATATATATATATATATATATATTTAATATGCAATATTTTAATCATCTCTTCTTGTTCTCTAATGGTTAATAATTGTTTGATAGAAAATATTTCTTAATAACTTTATTTTTTTTTTAATAACTTTTTTATTTATTTATTGTTTTGCACTTTTTTGTTCCATAGCAAGTTTAGTTACAATAACATTACCAATAGGATCTACCATTGCTGGTCCTCTAATGGATAGATTTGGACGCAAAATGGTCTCGGTATTGTCTTGTGTTCCTGCAGCAGTATCATGGATTTTGTTGATTTTTGCTAAATCTGTTATTACTATTTACGCAGCCCGAATTGTAATTGGAATTGCAGCAGGGCTTACGACTGTTGGTTTTGTTTACATATCTGAACTTACACATCCACAAATCAGACCAATGCTTTTATGCCTTAATTCTGTGTTTGTTTCCTTGGGTATATTAATCACCTGCTGTCTAGCTGCACTGCTAGATTGGCGCAGCATAAGTATGGTTTTCCTTGCACTAGAGTCTTGCATTTTTTTTGCACTTTACTTTGTACCTGAAAGCCCCTACTGGTTATGCTTTAGAAGCAGCATGCGTGATGAAACACAATTGTGTGAGATGAAACGCAATTTGAAACGACTTAATAGAAGACAAACAGTAAGTAAGATACATGTATTTCAAAGTACCTGTACAAGAATCTCAGACCTATCATAAGATAAACGTTTTCTAGATTTACGAGCAAGAATATTCACGAATCATGGAAATATGTAGAAATCGCGTAGTAAGTGACGAGACATCAAAAAGCACATTGACACATTTAAAAACTTGTTATCATGCATTGAGGTCTGCAGATGCTTATAAACCTATAATAATACTTCTCTTACTCTTCCTACTGCAACAACTATCTGGTTCTTATCTAGTTATATTTTATGCACTTTCAATTTTTCATGAAATTGGTGGGGCATTCAGCAAGAGTTTTGACGAAAATGGTGCACTTGTTTTGTTGGGTGTTATCCGATTTATTGTAAGCGTATTAACTGTCTTTTTTAGTAGAAAGTACGGCAGAAGGGTTCTCTGCAGTGTAAGTGGAATTGGAATGACTATTTCTATGTTTCTTTCCGGAATGTACATGCATTTAGCAACATCATATGATGATAACGGTAACATAGAAGACACCGGAGCTGATAAAAAGTGGTTATTACTAGTTTTTATATTATCTTACATTTGCACTAGTACTTTTGGATTTACAAACATACCGTGGACAATAATCGGAGAATTACTTCCCATGTCCATACGTGGTATTGGTGGAGGTGTCATAGTTTCTTATGCGTATCTAATGATGTTTGCTGTGGTAAAAAGCTATCCCTATATCGTCAAAAGTATAAGTATCGAGAGTATATTTTTCTTTTTCAGTTTTACATCCCTAATGGGTACAATTTTTATATACTTTTTTCTGCCAGAAACTTTAGGCAAATCGTTTTCTGATATTCAAAATTTTTTTTCTTCCAAACACAAGGCAAACAAAGCGCACAATGCTGATCTTACAATTATATAATTGTATTGCTTTATATAAATGAGATTTATATAATTTGGTGATTTGCATGATGCTAATTTTAAGAAATATCTAACATATTTGTATATGCAAAAATCATTAGTACTAGATCTGCAGACCTATTCTGCAACTTAACGCATGCATTTTTACGTATCGTGTGTCGTTATAAAAAGTTAAGTTATAGAATAAAGGAACTGGAATGGATCTGGTATAGATTTTTTATATTTTTTATAAAGAGACATATTGTCTAATAAAACTTTTCGAGAAGAACGTCTAAAAGACGTTATGATGTGCAGTTATATAAAATTAAGACCAAGAGTCTTGGTCTGAATATTGCAAAAAGCATATTTAAGGAAAGAAACAATTTTTCTGGGAAATACATATAATAAATCTCTTGCTGGATTTTGTGGATTTCTGACACTAAATGTGTTTACTACTTGGAGTTGTTTGCTATGATCTTCTGATAATTTTAAAACATTGACAGAGTGTAGAAACAAATATATACAATTTTATTACATATAATTATATTTTGCTTTTGTTTTTCAGTTTACATAGCCACACCTGCATGATAATTTTAGTTATATTCGCACATATTATCATTTCATTTTACATATACATTTTATATGTAAAATATATCAAAGAAAATAGTTTATATATATATATAGAACTTTGAAAATGGCTGCGTTTAGTAGAACTCAGTACTTTCCATACATAAGCGCTTTGCGCTGAGTTTACCTTTTTAATTTTTATTAGCGCAATACGCTGTTATAGTTCATTGCAAAATATGGCCACCGCGTAATAAACACGTTGGAAAAGCGTGAATTGCTGCAAAACGTTGCAAAGCAGCTGGGTCTATTGAAAGCGATCATTTTTCTCCAGTTAAACCAGTCTTATATTATGCAACTAGTAACACATATACATGATATATGGCTTTTAAGTTTGTTTTTCTATTCTTTTTGCATTTGCAAAGACCAAGTGTATATCGGGCCGTGCATACCATATGTATCGGTTTTACCACGTGTAAATGACATCTGTCGAATGTACGCAGTGCGTAACAGCAATTTTTTTTGTGATAAATAAATTTATTTAAATTTCTTATGTTGTAGGTGTGCAAGCGATGTGAAAAACGCGGCTATATAACATTTCTATGTGCAACAAGTGTTGGTCCATTATAACCTGACTGTCATCAGCGATTACTAATTACGTAAATTTGCAATTTCGATTGCAACGGAACAGCGATGATTTACTCATGAGAAATGATGTTTACCCGTCGGAAATCATTACTGAAATTATCATTATGCACATTATACATAATCGGCATTTTGGTCATTGTCAGGCAGATGTTTCACGCTAATGATAATCTCAGAATTTACAAAGCTCGGATTGACAAGAAAAATTTTTCTCAAAGACAGAAAGATGTAGATTTTGCATTACAAGAATTACAAAACGAACGGTATGAATATATTGCTTATTATTTTATACATCTAATTCCTGTGCACTTGAATGGTTTGTTCATTCACAGTTTCATTCAATTATATGTGTTTTATTTCTTTAAATAAATAGAATTAAAATAATGTTCCAGATATGAAAAACAGATATCAAAATTGGAATCTAATGTTGTACCTGGACTTGGAGAAAATGGAGAACCTGCTTATTTACATGGAAAAGAAAAGATTCAAGGTGAAAAAGCACTAGCAAAGAAAGCATTGAATGTTGTTCTTTCAAATAAAATATCACTAACTAGGCAATTACCAGATATACGCAATTCATTGTAAGAATAATAATATATACATATATATATATATATTGTCCAGTATTTAAACAGAGATTATTTTTTGCATGCAACTGTAGCATTTATTTTGGTTTGTTTTGTGTTTTTTACAAATGCATGTTGGCTTTGTATTGTAGATGTGTGAATCTTACATATGACACATTATTGCCAAGTGCTAGTGTAATAATTATCTTTTACAATGAACCATGGAGTGTTCTATTGCGCACAGTACACAGTGTCTTGAAGGGTTCCCCTCCATATTTATTAAAAGAAATTATTTTGGTCGACGATCATAGTGAGGAAGGTATTTTTAAATTAATATTAAAATAGAACATTGATATTCTAAATAAAATTTTACTTTAATGTAAGATGACTTATAATAGAACACCATGAAGATTAAGTTGTGGTAGAGACCTATCTGGATAGTTGTACATGTATAATTTTAATGAAAATATAAATTGTTTCATACTTACATATCTTCATTGCTAAATATAAGCAACGACAAATGCAAAGAAATCCAATTAATTTCCATATGTTTTTTAATGTTTAGCTTTTATTCAATATGATTACAAAAGCAAATCAGTTATGTTGTTTGTTTAGAAAATAATGTTTGTTTCGAATTATGTATGAGAATAACGCAGCTATTTAACATTGTGTTGCCATAAAGTCATCTTAACTAATAACATAATGTGTAAAAAGTGTTTCTTGATTTGTAGAAGAACTTCAGGGACAACTGAATTATTACCTTTCAACGCGATTGCCCGCAAAAGTAAAATTATTCAGACTGCCATATAGACAAGGACTGATACGTGCTCGTCTTCACGGAGCTAGAAAAGCTGTAGGTGATGTCCTTGTTTTTCTGGATGCACACTGCGAAGTTATTAAAGACTGGTATTTTGATTTGAGATTGGACGTTATATATATATATATATATATGTTTTTATATATCTGTACATTTGGATTTTTATATTTTAAGTACAAAACAATTTTGTGACGTACAAAAACTTTTTGTATATAATACATATTTTAATATGATACAGGTTACGACCTCTGTTACAACGAATAAAAAATAAGAAAAACGCTGTATTAATGCCGATAATTGATAACATTTCTGAGGAAACGTTAGAATATTTGCACGATAACGAACCCGCCTTTTTCGAAGTTGGTGGATTCACATGGTCGGGTCATTTCACATGGATAAATATTCAAAAACACGAACTTAAATCACGTGCTTCCTCTGTATCGCCGACTAGATCTCCCACAATGGCAGGTGGTTTGTTTGCTATTGATAGAAAATATTTTTGGGACATTGGTAGCTACGACGACAAAATGGATGGTTGGGGAGGTGAAAATTTGGAAATGTCTTTCAGAGTAAGTTATATTTTTTCAAACAAAACTTGAAGTATGAATCAAGTGTTTATATGAAACATTATATGCCAATGTAGAATGATAGTTTATTGATCTTCATTTTCCGATAGATATGGCAATGTGGCGGTTCGTTAGAAATCATTCCTTGTTCCCGAGTCGGTCATATATTCCGAAATTTTCATCCATACAAATTTCCGAACGACAAAGACACTCACGGAATAAACACTGCTCGTTTGGCGTTTGTTTGGATGGATGATTATAAAAGATTATTTCTACTCCATCGTAGTGAATTTAAGGTAATATATCAGATGACTTACAAGATTATTAGAATATTTAATTATATCTTAAACGAATAAAATCTCAGGATAATCCAAAACTGGTCGGAGACTTAAGTGAACGTTTGAAATTGCGTAAAAGACTCAATTGCCACAGTTTCAAATGGTATCTCAATAATGTTTATCCGGAAAAATTTATTCCCGACGAGAATTCGATAGCATACGGCCGCGTCAGGTTACGTGGCAGACGATTGTGTTTAGACAATTTGCAGCATGAGGACGACAAACCGTACAATTTGGGATTGTACAGTTGTCATTCCAAGTTGTATCCAAGTCAGGTGTGTAAGTTGATACAAATTTTTAAATTGTTATTAAATATATTTCGTACTTACGACGGAGGAAAGGGAGCAAATTTAAAAGATCAGCTATATTCTTAAAATTCAGTTTTTCTCGTTGAGCAATTCTGGTGAATTGCGAAGGGAAGAAGTGTGCGCGAAAATATTGGATGATGACAGTTTAAAACCGTATATACAAGTTCGAATGTCACACTGCAATACCGAAAAAGGCGAAAAGGAATGGATATTAACTAAGGTGTGTGTGTGTGTGTACATATAATTGTGTTTAATTAATTTTCAACACGCGCTGCATACGTTTTCAAATCGATTGAAAAAAAATTACTTGCTGCATTTGCAAATGTTGTAGAACGGCAAAATAATACACGTAGAAACCGGCCTTTGTCTTGACGGCACTAACTTACACAGCAATGACAACTTACGGGCAGCTCGCTGTGCGAACGTGCCGGATCAGCACTGGATGTTCGATTTTTATCCCAACAAAAATCAAATACCATCTACGTAACATATGCGTTAGAGTACGATTTATTGTACTCTAATGAATAAAGAGTTTGTTTTTATTCGTTTTTTTCTGCAAGAGAAGATGCTTCCACATTCAAATTCCTATCCATGTATTTTGTTGACTTCTGTTTTATTTATTTATTGTTTTTTGTTTTTAATGTATATACGTATTTGTAAGACTGTTTAAAGTACATCTGAAGAGAGAGAGACTTTTAGATAAAAGTGAGTTCCGACTGCTTAGAGAGCAAATTAAAATCATAGTACAGTCGTTTTTATTTGATGAACTCGGCATTTTTATCGCAGCGCACGTACATATTACATTGTGAATACCAAAATTTCTTATAAAAACTTTAACAATTTCTAATGTATACTGAATTTTTCTTAACAAATATATAAATTTTTTACAAAGATCGTACATGGCACATTTAGTATTTAACATGAGAGAAATAATAAGGCCAGTAAAATTCAAGCGCTGTTGCGTACAGAAATGATTTTAAAATATAAATTAAAATTTATGTATAAAGACAACCTGATAGAGAAATATTCAATTCTAGTTGTTTTGCTAAAAAAAAAAACAGCAACCAATTACGTGTCTCGAACTGGAGAAAACAGCTATATGACGTTCCTCACAATCTGATGAATGATAAATCCGATTGGTCAACTTCCGTTGTACACCATCCGTAATTGCACGTTCTCGCTTGTAACCGAGACTTTTCGATATCGAATTGGAGCAATGTTTTCAGAAATGTCGCGCGCACGATTGTTTATCCGCCATTTTGTTTTGCTGCTGTACGCGCAGTTTTCACAGCACGGTGGTTTATATGTACATATGCATATTTATATTTTAAGATGAATTTAAGCGATTGAGATAAATTATATCGGACAATATATGTTATCGCTTCGCCAGTCGGTTGTGCGTTTGCAAAAAATTATTGTTGCACGAGGGGAAATGTGAAGGTTGCTTTTACGCGCGAGGCACGACAGTTCGTGACATGTTACATCGCTGACCCAACTTTCCTGACTTTTGAGGCCAAATGGCGATTACTAAATAAAACGGATGATTTTCGCCTTCCTCATCACGTAAGTTCTTATTTTCTTTGTCGCGCACACGCATATAAAACATAGCGCCGCAATATTTCAGCGTTGCAATTATTATAAATCACAAAAATATCTAGGGCACCCACTCAATACATTAACCATAGCTCTGTCAATGTTTTCCCCAATTTTCATCCGCACCGTTATGTGGTGTTGTTCTATCCTTCGAAATGTTATAAAACCAAATTTATGTTACAAGAGAAACTGGATTGTTAATCTCAGTTGATGATCAATATACACATGTTTATATTGGTATATATATTTTGTACACACATATACATGCACACACACACATATATATATATATATATGTATATACTCTACTGTTTTCTCTTTGTGTTTGTTCTACTTAGTTGAACTGTTTTTATAGCTATTAAATTTATTATTTATTTATTTGTGATTTATATAAAAAATTTTATCTCCTAGTGTATATTTTATAATAAAAATATAATATTGTGTATGCGTGTGTATGTGTGATGTGTATATCTTTAATGCGTGATGATAAATTATATATTTATGATAAAACTTATATTTTTATATACAATTTATATATAAAAGAATAATATATACATATCGCATGTTTGTGTATAATCTCCTACGTTTTATATATGTTGCTTGTATAGAAAACATCTCAAGTATATATTAATATATCTTTGTTTTATAGGATGTCGGGACAGAGTGGTGGACGTCGAGTGCATTTAGCTAAGCTTAATGAGCAGTTAACATGCAAATTGTGTGGAGGATATTTCATTGATGCAACCACTATCATAGAATGTTTACACTCATGTACAGTATCTTTCTTTTTACAGTGTTGTGTTACAATATAGAAAATTGTGTTACAATATAGAAAATATCAAAAATTCTAATTATACAATGAATATAAATTCTCATTATATTCATTGTATTGTATAATTGCATCAATGTTTGTGCACAGTAATACATTTCAAAACTATTTGTTTCAGTTTGCAGAAGTTGTATTGTTAAATATTTGGAAAATAACAAATATTGCCCGATTTGCGAAGTACAGGTTCACAAAAGCAGACCGTTGTTAAATATACGACCCGATCACACATTGCAGGATATTGTATATAAATTGGTACCTGGATGTTATCAAAGTACGTTTTATCTCTTTAAGTAAAGAAAAAAATATTTTTGTTTTTTTTTGTCGTGCAAAAGTAACGTTTATATGAACGTATCTCTTTTAGATGAAATGCGATGTCGGAGAGAATTCTATGCGAAACATCCGGAACTGTGTAATCAAGTGACATCTCCGGAAGCTCGCGGAGAACCTATAGAATCCCACATATATTCTCCAGATGAGTCTCTCAATTTATCTTTGGAATATTATAATCCTCACTCGAAGGATTTGAGTGAGACAAGTGCTATTAAAGATGGTACACAAAAGTCGTTCTTAAGGCGATACTTGCGGTGTCCTGCAGCGGTTACAGTATTTCACTTACAAAAATTAATAAGAGCCAAATATGGCCTTAGTGATACGCATAGAGTTGATATAATGTACAAAGAGGAACCTTTATGTAGTAGTTATACATTAATGGACGTGATGTACATCTATCACTGGAGACGGGTACGTATTTAATTTAATTGGTTTATGGAGAAGAAGGCAAAGTGTCACTTCAAATCGAAGTGTAACACACATTTGTTACACACTGTGTTCATAGAAAATTTATAATCTAATCAAGAAAAATATTAATGTGTGCAGTAATCCATAAACATTTTATTGCAGAAAGTACCGTTACATTTAAGCTACAGAATATTCGAATCGTCTTCGAAACGCATAAAATTATCAGAGGACAATGCCAATTACAAGAAATCGATAACCGATGCTGGCATTGATTCCATAGAATTGAAAGACGAGAAGTCGTTGAAACGCGAATGGAAGGAAGTGCAGTTAAAAATATCGGAAACCGGTGTGATGAGTATAACCGATATATCGAACACGGTCCATAAAAGAGACACAGGTATCGATAATTTGCAAGATGACAAAACTTCCGAGAACACTATCACTTCCATAATCGAAGTAAATAAAGCGGATTCGCTAGTTGAAAATTGTGATACATCTAAACCTACGGAGATGATGCGACCTACCTTGGTTATCGACGCTCAGGTGACAACAAATCCAATATTTCCTGATTCGGACGACGTGTCCCTCATTACGATTGACGTCAAGCCCATATCTGAGAATTCATCCAAGAGTGAGTGTTGCACACTAATGACTCAGCAAAATGGAAACGCAACAAGACAGACAAATGAAATAGGAAATCATACTGTTGCGAAGTCGCAACAAGATAGGCGAGAAATGAAAAATTGCAATCAAGCTGCTGATGTCAAGGAGGAGAAAACGGTATTGCAAGAGCAAAAAATTATTAGACCAACGATAGAAGATGTGGAAGAAAACGCATCTTTTGCTGGAAATAAGGACGGGAATATCGCCGATAAGAAGTTGTCGATAAATAATAACAACACAGATTTTAAAACTGAAGCTCAGAAGGAATGCGCGAAGAATATAAGCGAGGCGAAAACAGGAAATTCCGGATCAAAAATTGATGCGTTGAGCGTGAAGTTGCAATTTCAACCAAAAATAGGTCAAGTTAATAACACCTACTCCAAGAAAACGCCAAAGGAAAAGCGAGTTTTTCAGCAGAATACGAAAAAATCTGACGGTAAAACATTGATGGAAGATACGAAACCAACTGACGTAAAAGCACGAACGACTTACGGAAATGCGATGGAGAAAGTGTCGGTCTCGTGTTCCACGGCAACTTGTACACAAAAACCGATCGTATCCGCGGCGACGTCTCAGAGCGTTTCGACAACGGATCCTTCATCCGCATCTGGCAAACAGGAAGTTGTCTACGACAAAGATAATCAGAGTACAAATATTGACGTGCAGCAAGCTCTGGATTTGTTGGAACAGAGAACAACAAACTCATCTGTCCAAATACCGAGCGCGGAATCTATTCCGAGCCACGCGACCAATACGATAAATCACAGATCGCAATGTTCTCAGAGCAGCAATACAGCGGTCCAGATGAGTGAAAATATTGCCGGTGCACAGAACAACGAGTCCACGTCATCGGTGAAACCAGTGCTCAAAAACTCAAACAACAATTGCGTGCCACAGAAATTGTTAGGAGCGTCACCCGTCGCTTTTTCAACATCCAACAATTCAGCGTTATCTGTGTCTCAATCAAGCACGCAAACGTCATCAATGAGTTCCACATTAGTGAAGAATAACTACTCGAGTAACGACGCAACTATCATAACGGCCACGTCGACGGCAACGATTACAACAACAGTGGCGTCGAAACCGGCATCGTCGTCCGGCGCGGTACCACCGTGTCCGGACGCGATTCCCATATCTCTGATGAAACAGGCGTCTATGCGCAAGCAGGAAGCGACCGCCAAGGGCACTAATCTAAATGAACTTTGTGCGAAAATCGGCTCGAATACGATTGGCTCGAAGATCAACGATATCTGTGCAAAAATAGGAGAAAATTCGAAGGAGAAAAACAAACTGGAAGGGCGCGGGAAGTTGGATGTGCCGGATCTGCTTAAAATAAACACTAAGAAAAGTCCGTCGTTATTTACGTCTGACATGGCAATCAAACACATACCGAATATACCCAATGTTCCGGTGTATACTCCTAGCACGTCTACGGTACAAGAGAGTAAATGCACGAAATCTGTTTTGCCCACATCAACGTCGTCCAATCCGCTCGCGGTATCAACGTCATCGTCGGTACCATCCTCGTCGTCTCACGTAACCCAAAGAATGTCTTTGAAAAAGCAGAACCAACCAATGGGATACAAAACATTACGGGATCCGCCCAAGTCTTGGAATCCGACATTGTCGAAAAATAATTACGTGGCGGTTAAAAATCAAGCGAAGGAGATGCAGATTCAGATCGCGTCCGAAGGTACGAGCAAGCAGATTCCGTCGAAACCGGCCAAGATCTTCAAGATGCGAAACATGCCGCGATATCTGGGCAATCCCGCGTCGGGTGTAAAACCTATGTACGGTGTCGCGAACGACACGAAGGAGAAGGACCAGTCGACGACTAACACGAAGAGCGTCACGCTCAATATGATGAAGATCGATCCCAAAACTCTGTCGCCTATCGTTTCCACGGTCAATTCGCCGATTATTTCGCCGCCGCCTTATTCGCTGAACGCCCGAAGTTATCAAAATACTCCGTTTCCGCGGGACATATGTCGCAACACAGGTTCTCCCATATCGCCGAGAAATTCTCCTGTGAACATGTTGTCGACCAATCCGTTTATACCGTCTCCTACACCCAATACAAATCCACGAATCATATATTCACCTTTTCCACCTCCGTTCCCGGACGCTAGTCGATTCCCGAGTCCTTTGATACGGTCGCCCATAAATATCCCGCCTCCCAGTGCCTTCCATAGCAGTTTACCGCCGTCGATCAACAAGCTGTATCAACGATCGAGTTACATACCACAGACCACTGGCTACTCGCCGGTGTCCTCCGGTCAGCCGCCGGCGGTACAGAGAATACCACCCACTCATTCGTCCTCGCCGAAGTCGCCCAAGACCTCGTCACCGAGTTCGATCTCGTCCTTTAATCTTGGAAAAGCGGAGTCGCAACCGCCGATCACGTCGACGGTGGACAGCGTCGCGTTACTTTTGTCCAAAAGCATGCCCATACACTCGCTGCAACGCGGCACAGAACCTAACGCGTTCAACTTGTCGAAAACTGGCAGTTTAACCCAAACGTCGATTTCAAACGTCGTCGAGACGTCGTCTGCGATAAGTACAAAGGATGCCGTTACCGAGACACAAGCCGCCATCAAGCAGACTTCTTCTTTGGCATCGCATAATTCCGCATTAGTCACGAATGTCGATGTGTCTGAAAACTTGGGCTCGCAAACGAACAGCGCGAACGAACGGAAGCAGTCTAAAGACGCGGCGGAGACGCAAGAGACCGCGCGATGTAAAGAGGAAAGTTCCAAACCGAAACTCGTAGACACAAAATGCGTCGTTGAGATTGCGGACAACACCGTGAGCTCGCCCGATAAGAAAGAAAAGAATCAAGCAGCAGCAAAAATCAATGGCGACGTTACGACGGAACAGTTTGCTAAAACAAAATCTAAGGAAAATAACGGCGACGAGACGACAGCAACGACAGAAACGACCGAATCGGGCGGCCAAGATGAGTGTTCGTCGCTCAGAGAACATAACAATCCGAAGAACAATGCTCAAGCCAATGTCAGTAATTCGCCAATGAACATCTCCAAGAACGAAGATCTTGGTAAGACCAGCGATCAGATACAGGGTAAAAAATCCGAAGTGCAAAGAAACAAAGCGGAAACGTAATCGTGAGAAGCAAAGAGATTCTTTAAGTAAAAAAAAAAACGCAAAACACACAGTCTCTGGCTTAAAAAATACATATTAGAATAAATCGCTCGATAGGCTTGTATACATGGCTCATATTCTGATATTTACTGCCAGTAATTCTAACATTGTTTCCAACATCCATACGATCCCACATATATTCCGCATACATAATACATTTAAAAACTTGCGTTTATCCGCGTTTATGTAGCGAGAAATATCAGAAGAGAGAGAGAGAGAGAGAAGCAAAGTTGTAAAGCTTGAAACGATTAATTTATCGATGTAAGTGTCGCGTGGTAATGAGCAAAGAGCAGAGTTACGGCCATTGTTAAAATGTTCCATGGCGTGTTAAGAATCTGTACATTTATGTAAATAACAATCACGAAAGATCTAATTATTTTCTATTTTAAATGAGTTATATATCATTGTGTTGAGCACATTAGTTTGTAAGCATTCGTTGATAATATGATTATAAGGCCACACACAAATTTCCGCGTTCATGTACTTTATAACATTATTGGCAATATCCCGTTTCATCAATTCTTTCGAAACGAACGTACGATGTGGTTATTCAGCAAATTCGTTCGGTGGGAAACGCTTTGCGAACTATGTCGTGTCGAAGGGGCTAATAATAGTGATTTTTTTCTTTTTGCTATATACATACGTGCATCTCCTCCTAGTTATCCCCACTCTTACGGTATACTTTTTCAATTTTGCGACGAACTACCTGACGCTAATTTTTAGCGAACAATTTTATGGTTGTTTCATTTCTGTATTTCGTCACCGAGATATTACATATGAGGATTAATATGTTATATTGACCGTCACCGAAGTCATCCGCCCGGTGGCGGTATTTAATTTTGAATAACGACCGTGTTCGCAACAAAATTCAGAACTTTGTGCTTATTGTTTGACTATTGACTCGATTCCTCCGAGATCAATTGCAAAAATGAAAACATATGTCGAGCAATAATCACCAAGCGCTCGGTTGTGCTAATGATCGCGGGCGTATGTCTTATTTTTTGAAGTAAAATGATTTATACATGTATATGTATATATGTGTGTATGTGCACACGCGCGCATACACGCACACAACGATACACAAAACAAAAAAAAAACAAAACAAGTACTGTTTCCAAATTCGAGACGTCACATTTGTGTAAACGAAAAAAGAAACGTGGTTACAAGTGAGCCAGCCTTTTATCATATCTATTTTGTTATACTTGAATTGTGCATCGCAGTAACTCAAGCAATATAGGTTTCACTCGGATATAAGTTGCAAGAACAATTTATATAATAACTAAAGTTATGTATTTAAATCGACTATTATATGATTTGTGTCTCGGTGCTCTCTGTGCTCTGAGATTCATTTGTTAACATCATAGTGTGTATAATACGTTATACATCATCTATTATACATATATAATATATATATATTAATAATATTATTGCAATATATATTATATTATATATAGTATGTAATATTATATATAATATTATATATAATAGATGCACGTTATTCGTTAGCGATTAAGCAATTAAAAATATCACAATCACAGATTTTTTATGAAAAAACAAAAAAAACATATAATAACTATGGAAAATTACGATTATGAAATGCGTATGCACATGCAATTATATTCGTGGCAGAAGAGAATATCCACGATTAAAATAATAGCACATACGTATGTGTATAGAAACAAAAAAAAAACTGTTAGGTATAGGTAAACTATACACATATAATTAAAAGTTAATATAATGTTACCTAAACTTAAATTATATATACATTTTTATATATCATATAAGATTAAGATTGATAAAAAAATTTACATAGTACATGCAGCATTGAATATTTTTGAATAATCCTTCATGTCCGAAAGAGTTATGTGGCATTGCAAATATAAAACGAACAATGTTTGTTTTGAAAATTACCTCTGTAATTCATAGCTTTTAACGTCGTCACTTTCGATTAACTTTTTTTTTTTTGAGATAATGTGCTTTTATAAAAAACGTATGTATAGTTTTCGGTTTTTTTGTGATATCACTTGTACTAAAATCATATATGATGTCAATTTTTTTAGTGTTAATTTGTGTAATTGAGCTATCTCAGAAAAAATAATAATTTTTCGAAAAACCAAAGCTGTATAAAGCAATATAAATGTCTGCAATATAAAACATTTGTTTTGCAATACAAACATTTTTGTTTTCATTAAGAGCTATATATATCGCTTACTGAAAATACAATTGCCAATTGTATTTGTAATCATGTTTTAATTATTTACATCTTGGTTTACTTTTAATTACCTCTGAGTTCTTTCTTTCAATGCAGTGTAAAAGTTAATACAAGTTTTTAAGGGTGACTTTAAAAATATTCGAAGACTGCTAATGGTAGTGAAATGTCAGAGGCCTTATTATATCGCGTATATCGAGTAATTGATATTGGAACAATAAAAAAAATTATAAAATATATGTTAATTACATCCAGAGAAGAGAAGAAAAAAATATATATGTAAATTGACAATTATATATATATATAAATATACTGTGATCGTTATGTTACTTTAACTTAGATGAAAAGAATATTTTGACAAAAAGCAGAAGTGCTTATATAAATCCGTGAAAAATTTATAACATTTGTCTCTCTGCCACTATATTATCTTCCTCTTTTTATTCTGTTTTTATGCTTTGTACTATACTTCATAAATTTTCTCCTGTTGGCTTATTCAACTTATTTTTTATTTATCTATAATAATTTATATATAACATGTGCATTTTGTTGTTATTTGTATAAATTATTGGTGAGAACAAATAGAATATAAATTGAAAAAGTGTAAAGCAAGATACAGAAGAAAATTTTACTAAGAAATTTTCATATTTGAAAATCAGTCTCTTATAATAAAAAAAACAAAATATTATAAACTTTATTTGTACAGTGTATTATGATTATAAAAAAGTATATATATAAAATATAATATAAAAGAAAAATTAATAACTATGATTTTATATTTAATTAGCAAGAATGTGTAACCACATACTCTATAATCTATACGTATATTTTTTGTCTCCAAAATTATAGAAAGGTTTAAATAGTAGGCTGCAGAATAGAAAATATATTGCATTTTTTAACCGGTTTTTATATATACGTATGTATATGTTCTAGCATATACATGTATAAAAATAATAGAAATATAATAATTTGAGAAAATCATAAAAAATATTTTCAGTAATAAAAAGCAAAACTATCATTATAGCTGTACCTGCATAAAAAGCTGTGTATTACTTGTATAAAGTATCCTTCATATACATGCACATACTATATCCATATGATGTGTCACAAACCTGTGAGAAAATATCAAGTATTCTAGGAGGTGTAATAAAAATTGTAAAACTGACCTAAGAGATTTATCACTTTTTTTTTGGAACTTTTATGTTTTAAGCTGTGTAGAGTAAGTAGATTTAAATTTTATTTCAAATCCCAACATTTTATAACAAAATTCAGTCCTCTTGGAAAAATTTGACTACAAAAAATACATATTTTTTGTTGCAGTTATACATAAAACACTATCTGGAGATTTGATCAACTAGCCCATGTATGTACATTAATTACGTATGTTTAAAATAATAAATATTTCAAGTATTTATATTAAATATATATAATTATACACATAATATTAATTTTTTTATGTACATTTACATATTAGACATTTTGTCAATATGTCTAACAATATCTTTTAATTTGTACACTAAGTCTTGTAGTTGTTGTACAGTGCATGTGAACGTTACATAGTTTATTTTATTGCATTTCTTTGTACATAATTGTATATTGTAAATCGGCATGCAGATGGAACGACCAGTGCTGACCTGCACATTCAATAGAATAGAATAATATAAACTTACGTAAATTTCAATATTTTCTATGTTTCAAATTGTCTTTTTTTTCCTTTCTCACTTTTAATGCATTATAATACATGAGTTTTTATAATATTTTGTGAAAGTGTGAGAAAATCAGTTTTCTTACATCAATTTCATAACATTTATATTTCAGAAAGGATAAAAACTTACCTTGACACAGTGATGTAGACGCCAATCTGTGTCCACTATATGCGGTATACTATCTCCTATCAATTCTAAATGAGTTTGAATATCTTGCTTATTTCTTATATAAGTACCGCACAGCTTTTCGATCCTTTGTCCGTTAATATATTCGTTGTGAAGGAAATTCTTCAAGCTCTCCTCATCATAATCGTGCCTGGCAGCCTCTATGAAGAGGCAGGAGATATTGACAACAGCGCTTTTCACCAAGTCCGACTTGGACGGATACACAGCTGAAACACCTGATGTATGCATGTAATTTTCCAAATAATTTATGAATATTTCGTATGATTGTGTGCGCGCACAAGAATTATATTTTATAAATAAAATTTATTATACTTACTTTTCGCATCGGTTCCGTTCTTGCAAATGTAACACATAATAATATCTAATAATTGTATAAACGTTTCCTCTGGCAAAATGTTGTTGTTCTGAATATTCGCTAGACCGCTGATGATTTCTTTCGCCAATTCCATCGTGAGATAACACGAGTTTTTTTTTTTTTTTTATCAAACGCTTTCAGTAACACATAACTGACGAGTAAAAAAAATATAAACGTCTTCTCTGACTTTATCGCTGACGGGAGAATAACCTCACTTGTTCATGTCGACAAAATTCGAGTGTGACAGAGAAAGAACTCGCATAAAAAAATCCTTAGTCGTGTAATAGGTTATACACATACAAACACTCACACATCGAGCATAAAAAACATCATAAAATTTGTCAACTATTCGAACAAAATTGGGTTTAAATGTCGGTATACACAAAGCTCGATCCAGATGATCCTCCGAATGTTATTAACTAACGCGCATACATATCAGCTTGCGTGCAATGAAAAGTTGACGATTATAAAATATCGAACAGCGAATGATGATTTGAATATAGAAGATTAATTCGACTCAATCAATTTAAAAGATTTTTTAATTTTACACAAAACTAAATTGATGCGATAAGATAAAAAAAATGCACGTTACTTCAGAAATTCTTTAGATCGAACACAACTTTTGCGTCACTCGGTATAAACTTGCGTCATACGTGCTTATTTGAACGTGTAAATCGCAAATCGTCACGTTTATCTTTACGAAAATATAAACTTTACGTGACACGATGAACAAATCAATTCCGCGTTTATTTCCGAATTTTATAGATAAATTAACGATAAATTAAGATGGTACACAATTATGTGTTTAAATTTTTCGATAAGAATTCCTCTGCGGTACAAAACTCGATACGTTCCCACAACACTGACCAAAGTATTTTTTGCGTCTGACGCGTGAGAACGTTGGATTCAACTTACCATAGTTCGACTTAAACACCGGGTGAGAATATAATTAGAAATAGTTTTTGTCTTATTAATTTTTCTAATTTTTGAGAGAAGCGTCGTATGCGTGTATATTCTTGTTTGTGAAAGCTCTTTAACTTTTTTTTTTGTATAGTTAACAAATTAGACCAGATAAGAAATTCAAAAATTCTAGAGTTTTAGAGAAATCTTACCGCGAATTAACAAAGTCCGGCTAAACGTTTAAGAACAAACAAACGATTTTTGGCCTTATGGTTTTTATCCGTAATTTTTCATCACGTTCACGTGTTAAACATTCAAGTTAGTAAAATACATCCGCGCGACAAAATAAAAAGAATAAAGACAAGTCAAAGAGTTTTCGCTTAAAATTAATTGCAAAAAGAAAAAAGTATATAAGTATAAAAATTAATTTGTTGATTTATTTTTCGATTGATAGATCGAGGAGAGAAAAATCATCGAGAAATGAATCTGTCTATGGTTGTACTGCTGTTCGTGTTCTCTGGATTCGTTTCAGGAACAGAAGAAGAATTTTATTCGGATACATATGATAATGTGGATATAGACGCAATTCTCGGCAACGAACGTCTCGTGAAACAATATATGAATTGCATTCTTGACAAAGGCTCTTGCACTGCCGATGGACGCAGTCTGAGACGTAAGTCTGTATAAATAATAGTTTGTGGTTTTATGTCGCCGCGTTGTTTTCCAAGCAAAGAAGGTAAATTTACGTGAGACAAACAGTGTTTATATTTGTTCACATCTTAGCCGCTGAAAGAAAATGTCAATTTTTGAGAGAAAGAAGATAAAATTGTGTGACCAATTCATATCCTAAATCTGTGCGCGCTTGACTCATAGACTACGTTTACACGTAAAACCGTTTACTGGTAAAATCGTTTTAATAAAAACCGGACTTAGATGTCCGTTTACAGGACAACTAAGTCTGGTTTTTTTTACTAAAACGGTTTTAATAACATCAGTACAAGGAACGTTTACAGGACATTTAAGTCCGGTTTTGTACTAAAGACATCTAAAACGGTTTTTATTAAAACGGTTTTACCAGTACGTGTAAACGTAGTCATTTTGACATTTCACTAAATTCTTCTGTTCTTTTTTTTGTGCAGGTATACTCCCAGATGCATTAGCAACAACTTGCAAAAAATGCAATCAGAGACAGAGAGAGATCGCGAGAAAAATAGGAAATTATTTGAAAACTAATCGACCGGAAGAGTGGGCGGAGTTTGTCAGAAAGTTCGATCCTAACAATCAGTATATTGTACCTTTTGATCGATTTCTGGCAAAAGTAGAATAATGATTCTTGTATTGTATATAGTCTGAAATAAAACTGAACTGTGTGTTGCAATATATTTTACTGAATTTATTGATCTATTTTGGAATCAATATATAACATATTCACAGTAGACAAGTTCCCACATGAAACAACATTTTATACAAACCTTTATTAGATGTTTATTAGACATCACGTGAACATCCACTAGACGTTATATTTTTATGTTAATATTACAAGATTTGAGAGACCGATCAGACGAGCCGATCCTTTAGGTTTTGAAAATGGATCCCTGTTGTGGTCTATTTTGTAATTGACGCGTGCGTCGTTACACGGACATAAAGGCCATTGCACATGACAAAATTTTAGTCGTAAAATCGTAAGCTAATGTAAGATAATACCGGTCTGTAATTGGTTGAATTGCTTCCGATCTTACGATTACGACTAATGGCGTGATTCTATGCAAAATATATGCGCAACGCGGAATTGGCGGAACAAAGTTGGTGGTTCGTTGAAGTATCCCGCCAATCCCGTGCGCAATGCTATCCCCACTGTGCCCGCTTTTTTTCTTCTATGCGTAAAAAGAGATACCTTCTCTCTTTGAACGTAGTGTACAAGTAATGAGAACCTGCCCATAGTGTTCTTTTCCAGCACCCTTGATTGGTTCATGCGCAAAAGCGTTGATCATTGCTAGACTTGGTACATGTGTAACGTAACATAACCTGATGCCACACACCGGACCACACCACCAGACGACAGTCCATACGAACAAGATATCGCAAAAAATTAAACAAAAAAATTATAACTAAACTTTTGTCATTTTTTTCCTTACAATGGAGGCGGGAAGCAGCAGCTTGCAAACCCAGAACACCACAACAAAACCTGACGGATCTGAAATTGAACAAAAGTATAAGTTTATTGTATATTTAACCTGACATTTATATGTCAAACAAAAGCTCAAACATACCAGCTTTGATATGTTTTGTTGTCACATATACCATATAAATGTGTTTGCAGAATTATATCTCTGGCACAAGCAAGACCTAAAGGCATTTCTGACAAGGATTTAGCTAATGAGATGCCTGATTTGTCACCAGCACAAAGAGCTCAAGTTATAAACAATCTTCTATCTCAGGGATACTTCGATCTCTTCAAGCAACGTGGATCATTGGTTTATCGTTTGAAAGATCCAACAAAAGTTGCCAAAGGTGCTGATAACGAAGAAAAAATAGTGTACAAAATTATTGAAGAGGCTGGAAACAAAGGAATATGGATTAGGGACATAAGACAAAAGTCTAATTTTATAAGTGAAACTCAGTTAAAAAAAACTCTGAAAAGCTTGGAAACCAAGAAGTTCATTAAAGAGGTCAAATCTGTAGCAGCGAGCAAGAAAAAAGTGTACATGCTGTACAATTTAGAACCAGATGAGTCTATATCTGGCGGCGCGTGGTACGGTCAGGATCAGGACTTTGAGTCTGAATTTGTTGAGGTTTTGAATCAGCAATGCTATCGATTTTTGGAACAAAAAAGAGACAAAATGAAAAATTGCAGTGATCCTCTCGCTGCGAGGAACGCAACATTTGCTTCATCCAAGGAAGTGTTGAAGTTTATTTCGGATTTAGGAATAAGCAAGGTGCGTGATCTACTTGATTCATCAAAACATTTTTTTTTTTTTTTGCATTTTTAATATTCCTTACTAAAGCGACAGAAAAACTTGTAGGTGGCGTTGAGAGTCGATAATATGGAGATGATTTTAAATACTTTGGTTTATGATGGTAAGGTTGAGCGAATACTTTCGGGAGATGGAAATTATTTGTACAGAGTAATTCAACCTTTAATGACCTCACCTGGATTGATTAGGACACCTTGTGGCCTGTGCCCGGTTAGACATATATATATATATCTCTTGTTACATATAACTTTTGTAACACTTAACGCTCAAATATCGGATGGCAATATTAATATAAATTTTTGACACCTTTCGAAAACTTATACGGGAGGAATATAGCATTGGATTTACACAGAATTTTACATTTGTACACAATTGTATAAAAATTATAAATTTACATTTTACAACAGATTTGAGCAATATTTCATATTTTTCTTTTATAGGTAAGAAGGCACTGTCATGACAATGGACCTGTTACACCTATTAAATGTCAATATATCAGAGAATGGCTGAATTAGATATTTGTAAAAATTATCTTCTACGAAAGTATCTTTTCCTTACTCGCACTCATTTTTTTAATAAAAAATTCCATTAAAAGACTGATAAATAAAATTTAGAGAATTATATGTTTTGTATAAAAAGTTTATTATTAACGATTATATATATATTTTATTTAGTTTCCATATTCCCATAAACAGCAATTTAATATTAAAAAATGAATAAATTTATTTATTTGTACGAAATATCGTTTCTCTCAATCCTGAGGATACTCAACACCCACTTGTTTGCGAATCTCATCTTCGAGAGTCGCTAGTAGCAAGGACGTGTCATGTGATACTTTCGGACTTTCTGTCAGTCCTGTAAAAGTAAATATTGCGCAAAATTCCTTATCAATAAACATATATAATTCAACGTTTAACAAAATTTGTATACAAATTTCACCTTTAAGTATGCATTCGCGAGCTTCGGCGGCCTCGTAGCAAAGTCCGGCGGAATTTATGAAGTTGAAGGTCTCGTGTTTCGTCGATTCCGGCAGCGGCGCGTTCACGGTACCGCTCGGCAAACTGACTGTCGTTGGACACCAGAAGTTCGGCACTTTTATCATACCTTTCTTGCCGCAAACGAACGCCTCGTTTGGCAGAGTGACAAGCCCTTGCGTCACAAGAGTCGCGGTGCGATTTCCCTTGTAAAGTAATGTCGTCGACACAGACATGTCAACGCCATTCTCATTCAAAAAGCCGGAAGCTTTTATGCTTTCCGGTTTTTCGTTATTGTAGATCAAACAGGCGAACTGCAGACAGTACACGCCGAGATCCAGAATTGTACCGCCACCCAATTCTTTTGTACTGAAATATAAAAGTTAATCATACAACACTCCAGATTACTAATGTTCTTTTTAATCTTGCTCTTTTTTTTTTTTAATTAAAAGTATTATCGACGAGTGTTACGAACGTTACTCGAATTATATCGGATAAGTCGAAACCAAAATTGACGTTCACTTGATGAATATCGCCAAGGCTACCAGACGCGAGCTCCTTCCTGATAGCGTCGTACACGGGGAAACACCGGCTCCACACAGCTTCCATCAAGAACAGCTTCTTGGTTCTCGCGTACTGAATTAATTCAGTTGTCTGTTTCAAATTCATCGTTAACGGTTTTTCGCACAAAACGTGCTTGCCGTGTTCCAGCATCATCATCGCGATATCGAAGTGTAGAGTATTAATTGCGCCGATGTACACAATATCTTAATCAACAATAAATCGTATACTTGTAACATTTATTATTTCTACAATAAATAGTAATGTATAATATGTATAAAAAAATAATTTTTTCTACTCTTCTATGTTAAAGTTTATAATTTTTTACAATAACTTCTTACACACACAGAAATTAGTCGATGCGCTCTTTATATTGAAATAATACGAGATAAAATTTTTGTTGCTTTATTGAATTTATTATTGCAACTATATCGGTTACCTATATCTCTATCCAATGCCAATTCTTCATACTTATCGTATGACTTCTTGATCTTGTGGAGTTTCGCAAATTGTTGGGCTCGCGATAATTCTCGCGCTGCAACGGCCACCACTTCGTGTTCATCTGCTGGCAAACCTCGCAGTGCCGTGACAAAATCGTGCGAGATTTTCCCAGCACTGGCGATACCCCATCGTAGAGTCATATTCATCTAAATTTGGGCCCGCAAACAATATATACTTAAATAAATAATATTTTACACAAAGTTATAATAGTTTTTATTATATAACTAACAAAGAACGCAAAAAAGAGAAAAAGATTATCCAATAATCTGCAATTTTCAATATGCGAAAAATTATATTAATTAAAAACATATTAATTAAAAAAAAAATCAGTTGGTTAGAAATTGTTATTTTGTACATTTATATGTAGCTCTCAAATTCAATTTATCCTAATTATAACAGATTTTTTTCAATTTTATTCTTGTTGATGAAAATAGAAGCTTTTTTCTCTCAAATTAGAGGTTTTCTTTTTTTTCTCTGTGTTTATAATGTGGAGCGCGACTTAATTTGCATACAATTGTCATGACTATCTAATGTAAATGTGATTTCATATATATACGTATGTGATTTTTCTCGATATTTCTATAAATATAAATAGTAAAGCAAGTATGAAAAAAGATAAACAGACGTACTTACATTTGTAGCAACGAAACTTCTGCCACGGCACACTCGAGCGTACTAACCATACCACGCCACGCAGACGGTGTATATACGTCTTAATGGCCGATCTTAGGCGACCTTGAAATATGTTTACAGATCTAGTATATCTTCCAGAATGTAATCCTTATCACACCGAACTTGTATCTTTCCATTTATCAATTTGACTTATCACTTACGTGATCTTCTTATTAAATCTAATCTGGTGTCATTACATGTCATTCATCTCGCACATTACATAAAAACATTTAAACTATTTTGTTTTGTGATGTACATATATTTAAATCGAATAAACATTAGGAGATTCAATAAATGATCCGATTAATATTTATGCAAGAGCTTGGATTTGTATTTAATCGTACATAAATAAGTTTTCCTTTATAGATTACTCCAAAATAATTTAATGGATATTTTTCTAATATATATGTACACGTACTATATTTCAAGTTATATATTTTGTAAACATGGTTCTCTCTCTCAACGGAAATATTTTGCACAAAGCTCGTCCGCGTAACAATCCCTGAGGCACTGGTCCATACATTCGCGAGTCCGTAGAATTATTACTGTTATCACCTTCTAGCCAAACGTGTCCATTTGGTATCTAAATCAAAAACAGTTTATTAATTGAAAATAATTACAAATTCTTCTTTCATTAGAATTCAAACTAATTTGGAACTGTTAAACTCTGTACACACATAGAAAGAATGGATATAGGTATACAAAATTAATAAGATTTAGAAAAGAATGAAAGTTAATTTTAAAGTTCTATGACAATTTACCAATGTCACATTGAGACCATTCCTTATTTTGTCGCCTGGTAAGCCTACAATCCTCTTACATATGTTTTGTTTTGGATTGGTAGGACACTTGGAAATGACAATGTCACCTTTCTCGAGTCTTTGTAATCTAATTGATATTCGTTCCATAAGTAAGACATCGTTAGTATACAACGTAGGTTCCATGGATGGACCACTGCACTACAATTACATTTCAATTAATAAATTTGTCTATAAGCACAAAACAATTTTATAAACTGTGTAACTGTGTGAACTTTCAAGAAGTATGTTGTAACACGTACAGCATTTTTGCACCGTATAAAAACTAAACTTTATATATAAAAACAATATCTGGTTTTTTTATTCCTAATGAGTGTCTTTTGCCGTTTTGAAATAATGATTTTTATATAAAACTTTTTATGTAACAAAATCTTTTGGTGAACTAATGTGTTACTATTAGATACAAATTAATTACAAGTAAAAGCTTACAGGTTAGCTGATTTTCTCTCTCTCTCTCTCTCTCTCTCTCTGTGTGTGTTTACTTTTAATATTTACAAGTAAATTAAAAGTGTAAAATGTCAAAAATTTTCCAACTGTTGCACTCACCACTACAATATCTCCTATGTATTCGTACACGCAATACGTCACACACGCACACTGTGCGAAACCGCGTATAACCTTACCGACAAATTTACTTAACATTATGACGGAGGAGTGTGTCACTCGACGATGAGGAAAATTCGCTTTCCCTCATCTGATCTATCGGAGTCACGTACATAACTCAAATCTCAAGTAAAACTCAAAAGTCGGAACATAAAATTTCATGCCTCTTCTCACACATGGAACAGAACGATGTGCAACTGAAACGGAATACAACACTGATGCACATTTTTACGATGTCAAGTCTCGATAAAAATTACCGCTAATAATTTGCATATATACATATATATGAATGTGAAATATATGTTGTGCGCTCAAACCAAATACATATCTCGAAGGAAAAGGAAGAGGAGGAAACTCAAAAATACATAATCGGAAGAAAAGCTGGTGCGTGAAAAATTCACACGGAAGGAAGACTTTGCAACAGGTTTGTTCTTTTTTTTTTGTTGCACCAGCTGCACCCGAACTGCAAGTCACGGTACAGCAAAAAAAGAACGAATCAACGATTTCTAATATGGCTGCCGCCATGTGTCCGAGCCGTGGATCAAACGCTTAACCACGCGATAGATAACCTCAAAGTTTAGCTCCGGGAGGTTTTCGCGCGAGGATGCAAAACTAGTACGTTCGAAAACTTACGGTTAGAATAGAAGAAACAGTTGACGCACCGTATCAAAAATCTTCGGATTTTATTTTCTAGGTGCACGTCATGGTGCAAAGCAGGATATTCGCGCGAAATCGCGCGCTAGGATACGTGAGCAACGATATACCTCTCGTCACCAGGTATATCATCAGAAGAAAAGAACACTTTATTGTCACCTGCGTGGGTAAGGCGTTTCACACTTACGGATGTAAACACTTCACGCTGCTGAGCGTGTCGGGCGCGCATCCCGACGACATCACCTGCATGACCACGAACACGTTCCACGTGTACACGGCCAGCGCGAACAAGATCTTCGCGTGGCGTAGAGGCACGGAATTGAAACACACTTACGAGGGCCACGACTGCAAGATTCACATCTTGTTTCCGTTCGGCGCTCATCTGCTGTCCGTTGACGAGAACAGCACCTTGAAGGTGTGGAACATCAAGGACGAGACGCTTCTGTTGGAGCTGAATTTCAGCAACAATGTCTTCGAGATAACCACTCTGATGCATCCCAACACCTACATGAACAAGATTTTATTCGGTAGCAAACAGGGTCAGTTACAGTTGTGGAACATCAAGCTGATGAAGATGATTTACACGTTCAAGGGTTGGCAGAGCCGAGTAACGGCCCTTGAGCAAGCACCCGCAATAGACGTGGCCGCTGTAGGTTTGGAAGATGGAAGAATTATTTTGCACAATCTCAAGTACGATGAGACCATATTCGAACTGGTACAGGACTGGGGTTCGGTGATGTCTATCAGCTTTCGTACGGATGGCGAACCCATTATGGCGACGGGCAGTCCAAATGGTCAAATTGTTTTCTGGAACTTGGAGAAACGCATGGTGGAAAGCCAATTGTGCACAGCGCACAGCGACGCTGTCACAGGTCTCAAGTACATACCTAACGAACCGCTGTTGGTTTCATCCTCGCCCGATAACTCTCTGAAATTGTGGATTTTTGATCTGACTGACGGAGGAGGTAGATTATTAAAGATCAGAGAGGGTCATGCCAAACCTCCGACGATCGTTCGGTTTTACGGAAACGATGGCAATTACTTGTTGACCACCGGCGGTGATTCTGCTCTCCGAATGTTTTCCACAGTCACGGAAATACTCAACAGAAGCCTGGGTAAAGCGTCGTTCAACAGAAAAGCGTCAAAGAAAAAGGGTCACATGGTCAACGATACGTTGACAATACCGCCGATAACTCAACTTGCGTTCGAAGTAACGCGGGAGAAGGAGTGGTGCAACATAGCGGCCACTCATTGCGAAAAAGCTGTGATCACAACGTGGTCTTCGCATCTGCAGAAAATGGGCGATCTCAAGTTGCTTCCCGATAGATTTAAAGGCAATGCCAGTGTCATCGCGACCAGTCTGTGCTTAACGAGATGCGGAAACTTCGTCGTGATCGGCTACAACACAGGTCACGTTGACAGGTTTAACATTCAGTCTGGGATCCACAGAGCATCCTACGGCGATGAGAGCGGCGCTCACGAGGGTCCCGTCAAAGGAGTCATGGTCGACGATCTGAATCAGATTCTCATCACTGCCGGCAGAGACGCGAAGGTCAAATTTTGGGATTTCAAGCCTAGAACAAGTATTTAAATCATATCTCTTTCTAAAAGTGTTTTAAAATATCGCGTGTGTTTAATAAAGAAACACGCACGTAAATAAATGTTCTGTGTTTACTCTCAGGTGGAACAACGCCGAGAACGGTATTAACGCTAGAAGAATCAATCGAATGGATACGATATCACAACGAGAGTTCTCTCGTGGCTATAGCGTTGGAAAATTTCGATATCGTGTTAATGGACACGGACACGAGAAAGATAGTTCGACACTTTCAAGGACACGAGGGACGGGTAATGGACGCGTGTTTCAATCCTGACTCTAGGTGGTTGATCACAGCATCTATGGACTGCACAATCCGCACCTGGGACATACCGTCTTCGAACATGATAGATATCTTTCAGGTATCAGATTTCTTTCAAATGATTTCAATGATATTTTAAAATTTCGGCATGTAGATAAAAATTTATGTTGTGACTTCTAGGTTCCTGAACCCTGTACGTCTTTAAGTTTCTCTCCGACGGGCGAATTTCTCGCGACCGCGCATGTAAACAACGTAGGAATCTTTTTGTGGTCGAATCGTATGTTGTACACGCACGTGTCGCTGAAAGCTGTCAGTAAGACAAATGCAATACCTGAGATGGAACTTCCGGGATCTTCCACAGTCGAGACGAATGATGATGACACTTACATCTACGAGGACTACGAGCCTTCTTACGTTTCTCCCGATCAGCTTGATAGCAATCTCATAACCATGTCCGCCGTGGCCCAATCGAGGTGGCAGAATCTGCTCGACATCGATATCGTAAAGAAGAGAAACAGACCGAGACAACCGCCCAAGGCTCCCGAGAGCGCGCCTTTCTTCCTGCCGACGATTCCATCGTTGCAACTACGTTTTGATTTTTCCGACGTCAAAACCGCCGAGAACACCGAAGCGCCCCGTGTTCACTCTACTTTGCAAAATCTCACCTCGTTTGGCAAAAGTTTGCAATCCACCGAGACGACTGACAATTTTACGAACGTAATAGAGAAATTGAAGGCGATGGGTCCCAGCGGCATCGATTTTGAGATACAATCGTTGTCTCAGGACGAGAATTCCTCTGAATTATTGCTATTACAGTTTATGAAAATGCTTCATTTTATGATGGAACAACAGACGGATTTCGAGTTATCGCAGGCGTATTTGGCGGTTTATTTGAAGTGGCACGGACAAATAATATCGGAAAACAGAACGCTGAGAAACAGTTTGCGGAATCTTCAGGAAGCGCAAATGCGAAATTGGATCAAGCTGCGGGAGAAATTGTTTTATAACTTAAGTGTTGTACAAAGCTTAAAAAGAATGTAACATGTATAAAATTTTATGCTCGTAATGTGCTATATTTTTCTTATGTAAATACTTTATAATTAAAAATTTAAACTCTTTTTTATATTTTTCGAAGTTATTACTTATACAGTGTAACTAAGAAATCGAAAGATATTTTTTATAACACGAATATGATAAATTTGAATGTCACTTTTTAACAATTTTCTTAAACAAACGATTCTTAGGAAACAATATTATTTTTCACATTAAAGATCTCTTTTTCCGATATGATATTAAATACATCTGCATATTGATGTGTTTTTATTGTCGCATTTAATTACATATAAATTATTAATTTAATATAAATATATACGAATAAACTCTGCAACATTTTTTCTTAAAATATATCTCTTAATGCAGATATTTTTAATATCGATCATTCAAAATATATTTAATTTTGTTCCAATAATGTTGAATATAACAAAATATATATTTTTTTTATTTATAAACTATTATATTATTGGACAAAAATTATTTATATAACAATCCTGGAATAATAGTTTTTGGCAGGGTTGTTAAATGACGTGGAAACATTTATATTTTTGTGATATCAAAATATTTATCAACTATTCCTTATAATTAAGAAAGCTTTGTAATTGTTCTACCGCTGGAGGCTCGAGAGCCAAATCAGTGATATATGGCTCAAAATTTGTGACAATTCTGTACAGACTGCGCTTGATTGAACTTCGCAAAGATATTAAAATTTCTCTGATCAATTTATCGTCCGCTTGTATTCTTCTGGTCAGTACGGTTGACTTTTGCAGTTTATCCAGAGTCTGTTTAACGGACAATAGAGTATTGATGATTGTCGCCACGTCTTTCTGTACTATACCGTAAGAATCTTCGCTCAGTGAAAACACCGACAGAGACGAAAGAGCCTCGGCGGCCCAGATCACCAGTTGTCCGTTTAGTAAAATGTAACGAATCTTATTCTCATCCTGTTCGCCGAAGATGTAGTTGATGATCGGTTTCGAAAACAAATAAGTCACAAAAGCTTCTTGTTTTTGTTTGACAAACTTCTGAACGGACCAGCTGCTACAGGGAGCTTCTATTGTAACTGTTTCTGCTGTTAACACGGGTGTCAAATCCGGTACCAGTTTCCGCATGTGATATATACGATCCGTTTGCTGAAGAGGCACAGTCGCCGTCGCTTTCAACGTGCTCGTTCTGTAACAAAATGGCTGATCTTGAGATTTTACAAATACAGCATTAATGTCCGATGAAAACTTGTTGATGAGACCCGTGCATTTTTCCACCACACAATTCCAATTGTACGGATGACCGCCTGGCTGACTGAGCGTGAACAAAATGTTCCTTCTCATCTTGTCCTTTTGGGCCAAGGTGAACAGATCCAAATAGCCCAAGTGTTGCATTATCGGCACTTTGTCCATCGACAATGCATCAATAAGCATCAATTCTGAACTCTCCGTGGTGTACGCACCTGAACCAAACTTGAAGGGAATCCACTCAGTCAGATATATTTCAAATAAAACGTAAGTGCTGCTTATCGTCAGCATTAACATAAACTGATGAAGCCACAGATACAACATCAGCATCAGACTTAGCAGTCTGGAAGCTGTGTCCAGTGGTTCGGTTTCTATTTGCATGTAGGTAACAGACAACAACGCCGCGCGATAGTACACTCCTAAAAAGTAATACGCAATTGTATTGTACAGGCTCGACCAGATAGAAGAGACGATGAGCATTGGAAGAATCGAGTAGATTCTTTGTCTCAGTTGGGAGAACTTGGTCTGGGGTATAATGGGAAATGAGAAATGCTTCCCGTTGAAGTTGCTGTTTTTCACAGAGAAGTACAGTCCGCTCCACAGGCCGCTGAGCAGCAGGAAGTAATATTCCTCTACCAAACACGTTCCGTGTTCGCAATCAGTTGTCAACGTGCTGTATTTCTCTCTCGTGAGTGACATGTGCAACCAGATCAGCGTACCCCCGATGATCACGTGCAATCCTCTAAGAGATAAGTTTTGTATGGCGAGAGCGGCTCGGAGTTTGGCGAATCTGCTCTTGTAATACGACGGCGCGTGCAAATATATTCTCATGCAGAGAAAACTGTGTAGAACGGTCACCGCAGAGAGAACGATCAGGAAAGCCCACATTCGCAGCGACGTCACGGTCGTCCATGTCTCCCGCAGCCACCGCGCGTAATCCGTGCTCACGTTTGAGAAGAGGACGAAGCAGCAAACGAAGAAAAATTGCAACGCGACGCTCGAGACGATCGCCAGCAACAATCGCTGAGTTATCAGTTCCGTGCAGCTCTTCTTGCCGGTCTCGATCATCTTTCCGTTGACTCGAGCCGGTTAACCTTCCCGACGCTCGTTAAACGTTTCGCGCTGAAAGTAACGTATCCCAACGTTCTTCGTGCGTTCGAGTCTCTCTTGTTGTAGTTCTCACGCGTGTTCTTGACACCTATACGTATCTTCTTATTCGCGAAGTCATTTGCGTTCACGTAACCAATGTTGTTCGGAAATTTTAAAGTGCCGCGATTCAACGCTGCCATTAGGCCTCTCTTTTCGTTTCGTCGTCCACGATCCTAAAGAGGAAGTTCCACCGGCGCTCGCAGGCGTTCACATTGTCCAATCGCATTGGTCGCAAGCGCCAGGTGGAAGTTTTAAATCGCGCGAATCGCAAGTCGGGCATTCGCAACAATTCACAGAATTTTGGACAATTGAGATACGACCTTTGTAATCCGCTTAGCTGTGTGTCAAGTTGGCACTCCAGAGTTTGCGGAATTTGCAAATTTTGTTTTGCCGACAATTTGTTCGATGTTTCCTTGAGCCATGTTTGCTTTGCACTAAACCAAACCACAATTTGTCCAAAACTGAATTACAATTAAAAAAAAAAAAGAAGAGAGCGGACATTTTAAAATCACCGGTACTCGCAATTATTTATAAAATTACATTTATTCGTGGTTTTTTTTCACCAAATTTTATCTTTACTTTTAGTTTTCATTTGTTGTTGTTCCAGGAACCGAATGAAATTGCTGGGAACGTGTTTTAAGACGTAAGTATCAATTTCTACTCATTTTCTCTTTTCATTTTCTCTCGCGCACTCTATGAAGTTGTTTTTTTTTTCATTCGCGTAAGTTGTTTTCGATTTTATACGCAATAATGTACGTGTGTCGAGTGATTTTTTTTTTATCTTCTTTTAAACTGATACATTCGGGGGATCGCTTAAATTGCTCCGAATTGCTCCAGTGAAATCGAACGCCGTAAAGTATAACGGCACACGCATAACATTTAAGAATGAAAGAGAGGAAAATCCAAGAGAGCCATTAAAACCCCTCTTCGCGACGCAGAGCGGCCAATGTCACTTTCACGACCTCACCTTCCGCTACTGATGGTTGTAAGATAATAACAAGTCAAACAATGAACGACACTGTAATTATTTATTGTCAGTCGACGTGGAGTTTTCTTTCTTCGAAAACTGTATTGTGATTTTTTAATTTAACTCTAAAAATGTCAAATAAACTTTTCTCTCTTTATGCAGAAGCTGAAATGAATCTGTCTTATATAATAATTTATAATCAGATAAATTATATGAATATGATTTTTGCGCGCGATTGATAAATATATTTGTTTAATAATTATAATTTTTATCTTTAAAATGCAGAATTTTAGCAAATTAATTTTTTTTTTCCAATAAAATGCTAGACACGAAAGAATATAAATTATAGAATTGAAATTTTAATTCGCTTGCAATATACCGCTAGATGTAAAAGTTTGAAAAAGAAATTACATTGTCTTCTCTCCGGCGTTTTACGAGCACCGATAAAATTTATATATACCTATTTCCCAAAGTATTCCAATTTTTGCAGGAAAGCAATCATCACTTCCTCGATAGTCTTGTGTAAGAAAGTTCTCATTAATTTTGAGAGTGAAGTTCTGATGGTCAAGCATCTCAAGGAAGTGAGTTCCATCACTGTGCGCGATACGCGGAGACCACCAAGTGTACTTCACCTTCCATCGGTCTGTCTTCTTTCGCTTTTGGTTACGACGACGTGCTTTCTCGTTTCCGTCGACCCCCGGAACGCGAACGGCGGACTCGACATGTGCACACATTGGAGGGTCTCCAGGAGGATGGCGGTCGGCTTCTCAAATCGCCATGGCGGGGAATAACTGGAGCTTCGATTTAAGTCAAGTGTATCGCGTCAGGATGAAGTAGTACACTGTTTCGTTGCGAAGTGCGTGCATCGGGTAAGTCATACGTGAAGAACCGTGGACCGTCCGTCACTTCACAAGCAGATCGAATACGTATTCGCGCGCGCAAAGAAAACCGGAAGTAAAAACCGGCGGCTGAATTACGCGGAAAAAAAAAAAGACTCGCTTCACGACTTCTGCTCATTAATGAATTAAGATATGCGACTCTACACTGTAAGTATATAATTTTCTCGATCGACTTTTACGTCGCATTATTTAATGTAGCATTTGACTGTGACGCAACAAGAGATTTTTATTATTCAAATTACAGAGCGTGAACCGATCAAACTGTGATCATTCTCAAAACTTAGCAAGCAATAATACAAAAATGTGTGATTTGAAATAAAAAATAATTTTATCTATATTTTGAATAGAGCGTATATGTTATATCGAAGTGTTCACACTTAAATGTAATATATGTATAGTTATAAATATCTCTTCAGACTTGATCACAGACAGCTTTCATTATCGTGAGGATTGTGCTCCGTATAAGAGATAGATGTAACCATTGGATTCTGTACGTAGATAATTATTGTGACGATTCTTTTTTAATCGACTTTAGTTTTAAAAACTTGTTTGTGAGACTTGTTTTGGATACCCACACGATTAATTTTATACATATATTTATTGTTTTAAAATTATTATCGTTCTGATGCCCATCATGCTCACTTGTTTTACAGATTGCTTTTATTACATGGGCAGCAAGTATAGCAACCTCGGAATCTAACGTAGCAAATCTGAACGGCGATAAGGTAAATTAAAACAACTGTTTTATTATTTTGTGAAAAATTATAGTATAGATATTAATTATCTAGTTAAATATAATTATTTATTCTATAAAATGTTCTTGTATAAAAACATTTTCAAAGTAAGTAAATTTGTAGAGAAACATTCTCAACAAAATCAATATATTGTGATTTTGGAAATTATAACAAAAATATTAAATATGCAAATATCATTATATTTATATAAATATAAATATGTAAAAATATTTGTATTTTTAAAACAAGACGTTGATGGTTTCGACGCAAAGTAAGAGAAAATGAAAGAGAAAAGATTTTTTTAATTACTATGTAGGTGGCACACGTGACTAGATTAACAACAGGCCTTAGGGCTTAAGCGAATCGAGATATTTACAGATATATCCTTAACCTTGGGGCATAGAAATCTTTAACCTCGATCTACTTGCGGCGCGTCATTTAAGTGCTACTTTACGTATAGGTGCGACGGGCCTAGATGAATTACGTAGACCAGGTGAATGCTTGTGTTAATCACGAGTGAAAAACAAAGAGAGAAAGAGAATATTTTTGTTTGCGAACAACGTGGCTCTTTGTCTGTGGCTCGCAACTGTTTGTACAGCGCTCCCAGGTTTTTTACTACTTCCTTTCTCAAAACGCATGACGATGAGCTTATTAAGAGAAAAGTAATTAAAAATTTCTTTCTCTCTCTTTTAAAATTTTCGGAGAAATTATACACACGCAATATGAATATCTAAACTAGCCAAATGTAAATTAATGCGACAAATATAAATGAAAGTAATTGGAAACTTAGAAGATAAAACGAGAAAAATTGGTTTTTATATATTGAAAACAAAATTAGAGAGAAACAAAAGTCTCCCCTTTATGAACGTTACCAGAGTTTTGTAAAATTTTACTCAATTTCTGAGGATCTTTTTGAGCAAAATATCACTTTCTGAAGCAATAGAATTTGTAAAGATTTTTTTCAAAATATTAGTAATAAATAATAATTAATAGTATTGGATAGTTCTTTGATTGCTTTATACTTTGTATTTAGTGAAATGACATGGTGAAACTGCACAGTCACAAGTGCAAGCAGACATCCGTGCCAAGCAATTAGTGATTGGCGAGTATTAGAATGGGTGAACTTAAGTGAAATTGACATACAGGCTATCATACAAATGCCGGAACTCAATTAAAAAAAAGAAAAAAACGACTTCAAGGCTAAGGTGAAACGACAACAGACAAGGAATGCATCGACAAGCAGACAGAGAGCATACATTTTCTTCGTGTTAAAAGGAAACTTGCCAGTGAAAGTGGCTCGTACACGAACGCAAATTCATTCGCGATTATTGCTGGTTTTAATGAGACGCACTGTCGCGCGCACTTGTGTTACACAATGTGTCACGCGAAGAAAGGAGACAGAAGCAATCGGTGCGCGTAAAGCGCATAAATCTTCTAATCTGAGAGCTGTTAGAATATTAAAAATCGATTAATTTTCTCAAAAAAAAAAAATTAAACAGCTATAACAAAAACTCCGTGACAAATGTAATTAAGACTCACAGATGTTTTTTTTTTTTATTATTAATTATATACATGTATAAGGGCTGAGAAAAAAGAGATACATTTTACTTCTACCATACTTTGTAAAACACCGTCGTGCGTGAAGCGTGCGTTTGAAAAAATTAATTACGTTCGTACATGGCAAAATAAAAAATCGATGCAATTTTTCACTTCTGACATCATCTTACGTTAATGTATGTGTGCAGCAAGGAAACACATTATTTCATATTCGGAACAATGCACGGAGAAAGTGGTTAACGCGGTCATGTGTGCCAAAAAAGAAAAAAAAATAAAATAAATAATAAGTGAATCGAGAAATGAGGGAATGAAACTTGTTATTTCGAAACTACATTAAATGTCTTGGCAACAATATTAATTTTCGTCTTAACGTATTTGAATGTGTGTTATAGTAACGCTATGTTATCTTTCAAATTCAATTCTACTTAAATCGCTGAATGTTGCTAATAATTGACGCACCACTTTCGAAACAACAAAGATAAGAAAAAGCTGAACGAGAAACGCTGAACAAGTCAGTCGCGGATTGATTTATCCGTAATATTTAAGCATCCGTGCACACTATTACCGATCCGCAAAGTGCGCGCGCGCAACAAAAAAAAACTTCCCATTTCTTCCAGTTCGTTGAGAATATATCTAAACCAGGTCATTAGCAAACAATACAAAGCAAAACCACAGATAGAATCTTAGAGAGAAGATGTGGATTTTGTAATTTGTTATAAATATGTAACATATGATTGTCGTAACACGTACGTACACTTTTTCGCATTTCCGTTGGAAAGGAACATATGTGAGTTTTCGGCAAGTAAAGGGAAAGTAAAAATCAAGCGTTACCGATGATGATCGAGAACATATTAACTAGCTGGGTTTGTTCCGCTTCATTCTCTTGCTGGACCATCGAGATTTACGCGACTCTCACTGGTTTTTCTTTTGCGCTGCAAGAATGCGGCGCGCATCTCTTTCCCGTTTCTTCTCGCTTGAACGTCGCGGGAGAAAGGGAGATCAGCGTTAGTACCGTAAATGCACCTTTCTCTCATCTCTCGCGCGGATCAGACGCCGATTATTTTCAGCTTCCGCGCGCCAATCTCCTCCCCGGAGAGCGCAGAAACTATCGTCGTACGGGATCGGACGGCGGGATGCAACATTCTTTTTACTGGGTGTGTCTTGCTCTATATAGCGAGCACTTTTCTCGAAAACTGGTCGGTTCTCTTCGGTAACAACAAAGAGACAGTTATGTCTAAAGAAATTTCGTCGTTTCGTCAGTTTATGCTATTTCTTGCGAGAAGAAATTCGCTCACAAAAAACTGAAACACCGCGCGGTAATATAAAAATAAAAATAAATACATTTACGTGACACGATTTCTATCGCAAGCAAAATTTTCTTGCGTATGTAATTGCGTCTCTTTTTTCAACACTTTTTAATCGATTCGTTTTTTCAGGTTGTCGATTACACGGAGGAGTTGCGCGATTTGTCGGCGGAGCGAATAGTGGAGGGGATTGAAGCCAGAAATTTTAGACAAACGAACAGCAAAGATTATCCCAACGATGCCGCGAACGTTAAATTGAACAAATTGGCATCTCACGCCGACGAGAGAAGATCGAATGTTATTTCCACGACCGAATTTTCTCCGTCGAAAGTGGTTTACGCGACGCCACTTATTGGAACAGCGGAAAATTATCCATTTACTGAGCATTTGAGTCAGGAATCGGAATATGCCGTATCGGAAGATGCGCTTCTCGTTGAAAATGTCGGTAGTTTCGGGCAGAAAGTTCGACAGGATTACTCGACAACTGTTAGGACGACGAACTTCAGAGTCACCAACTCAGATCAGCAGAGTAATAAGTACACGGATTTCCAGCAGACGTCTAGCAGCACTGCGTCGTCTCTCGAAAATGGAGACAATAGTGAGAGATCGCATATGCCGACTACTCGGGTATCCGCACAGAAGAAAAAATATGGCTTGTCCAACAATTCACCTTCTCACGAGTCCAAAGCGATAGACTCTGACATAATTTCAAAAATATCAGGCAAAACGGACAACGTTTCGAGTGTCGAAAATAATGCCGCGATCGAGAATTTTCCGATGTCACAATTGAGATTGACTCGAGCGGATAGCAACACGACCTCGGATCAAACTACAACAAAGCTCGCTGTGAAACCCGAGAAGACGGAAAGTGCCACGTCGACGTTCGTAGAAACAAATCCTTCGTTGCAACCGGGAAAATTTTCAGGTCCCATCGTGGTGCCTGATCTGCCTGACAGAGAACCTGAAGAAGAGGTCGATTATGTGAATGACGACGTTCCCGATGTGTTCAACGACGCTGAAATTATTTTCAGCGAAACTGGCGCCGAAGGATCTAAAATTGCTTCTAACAGTATAACGTCCTCGTTCATGCTCAATCCCCTGCAAGTCGGGATCGCTCTTGTGAACGCGAACGTGGCCGATTTAACGGATGACAGCGACCAATCAGCCGCAACGGATACGAAGAATTACGTCCAAAACGATTTTCCTCTGTATTCAGCACCCGCGGAAAACAACGGGATCCAATCGTCACACGTCAATAACGAAAATTCTCGACACTTCGACGAAGGAAAACCCGCTGAGAACAAACTTTCCGACAATTCCGTCGAGATTCAAAAATCGGTCGAGTTGTATCATACCGCACCGATACACGAGATTCATTATCCTGTGGAATACGTCCAGCACACTTCGAATGGAATCATTGAGACAAACAATATCAGAAGCTCGCAGAAATCGAACCATCCGTATAATCAAGATGAACGATCGAATTCGCAACCAAATTATGATATTTATCGAGGTGAGATTTTATATGATTTTGTTTTTTTTTTTTTTAATCTCATTACAATTGTTTATTTTTGCCAAAATTATTAGCCCGCATAGTAAAGAAATAAAGAAACAAATAATAAAGAATAAAAGAAACAAAGCGCGGGATATTGAAGAATATTTAATACAAGCTTTAGATTTTTAATAAAGACACGTTTTTTTCAACGTGTATAAATACAACACATTAAAATAACGTATCCCTATTATTTTATTAATAATTGTATTAATTTATTATTTAATAATAATTGTATTAATGTTATTATATGTCATAAGACAGAAAAAGTTTCTGATATGATATATCAAAAATTTCTGACACACACACACACACACAGTTTGAAAAAAATATGAACTTTCTCTAAATTAGGTAGGAAAGTCAATGTAATGCAAATCTAAATTAACACGCAACGTAGTAATGTTCGTCACATTATATGCTTATGAGCATAATAATGTGCACATTATGATTGAAAATACGCATCAGCGCCATTACAAATTGCCAGTTTTCACCCCAAAGGAATGCGGCAAAGGAATGTTATGATGTCCATTTCCGTTTTCAGATAACAACCATGAGGAGAACGTCATTAAGGCGCACGCGTCCACGCTTTCGCAAAAACACAATCGGCACGAGTACACCACGTCTAATGTCGGGAACAAGCCTACGGTTCCGTATCTAGTCACCGATCTGCCGAGTACTAACGAACAAGTATCTTTCGAAGCGTTTGATTTACAACCGCTCAGATACAACAACGCGCAACCCGTTCTGTTGGTTTCGCGTGATCGAAACAATCAGTTCAACGACACGATACACGATCAATCTAACGTGCAATACAACTTCAACGGCAATGACATTCACGTATCCCCGCATATAAAGCCTGCCGAAATTCCTGCAAGGCCAGAAGCAACGAACAAGCTTGTGAAAACACACGTACCGAGCACATATCAGGAAGAGCGTCAGCCAGTCGATCATCAACCTCCCTTTCGATCTTTAGAAGCAAAGCGACCTTTGGAAGGCTTACAATTTCTTAAGATCATTCCCAAAGGATTGTCTCCGGATAGCGGATTCTTGGTGCCACTTCCGCGGCCTTATCCGGTTGAAAAAATCGTTGAGAAGACTGTTCACGTGCCGCATCCGATCGAGATCGAGAAGGTGATCGAGAAGAAAATTCCGTTTCCGGTGGAGCGAGTTATTGAAAAACAAGTGCAGATACCGATACCGATACCACAGCCGTATCCTGTTCAAGTTAATCGCGTAGCGGAGAAGCACATCCGTGTGCCGTATCCTATCAACATAGATCAGATAATCGACAGGAGAGTTCCGGTGCATCGGTTCTTGATCAATCCGCCTCTGTATCCGTTGCATGTGAAACAACCGGTGACTTACCTGACACACATGTCGCCGGCACCGATAGACAATCCCGTTGAGAGGTCGCCAGGTTTTTCACAATCTTACCGACCGTATCGCGCTGAAAAGACAACAGACAGTGGCGGTTTGATTATTGAGACTAAAGTCAACAAATATCAATCGAAATCACGCAAGCCGGTTCTTAATAGCGAAACTACGAATCCTCGTGGTAGCGGTCTGAGATTTGAGCCGCACCAAAACGAGACAAACGTGTCGTATTATTACGGCGATTTCTACGATAGACCGTTGGCGTATGATAACAATGTTGATGTCAATAAGAACTACGTTCCGCATTTCTCTGACGTTAGACTGATATTGCCGAAGAAATTCGACAGCCACGTGGTGCTACGATCATCGCTATCGAAACCGGTGTTTCTCAGACAACAGGTCGTGGTTAATTTGGATAAAGATAAGTCGATCAACAATGAATACACGAATCTCGAAACGTCGCGCAAGCCTTCGCAGGGCAAAGGTTTTCAGGTGAAACCATCACAGTTGTCCACAAGCGCCGCACAGTCATCGCTAATAACTGCCGTTTTAAGAAAATCCAGACAGCCAGAAAATATCGGTAGCTTTAGGCAATCGAAGATGGAATACGGTTTCAAACCACCTATGATACCGTCCGTTCAATATGACGAAAGCACCGCTACTAAAGTAGACAATTAAAATACTCATATCATTTAAGATATTATAAACACCGCATATATTTAAAATATTTCACAAAAAATGACTAAGGAATAACTAACGATGAATAAGAAAGATTTGAGATCTTTTGTAAACATTGATTTTTATACATATTTTATCATCGATAAATATATATATATATATATATATACGTTGTACATATATAAACATTAAATCTGTAATATGTTTTATATAAAAATGATTTATATAAACATCGATATTTAATGGATCGAAAAAAAAGAATTTTAACTTAGAATTAGCCTTCTGTAGAATAAAAATAATGACAATAAATGATAATAGTCGATTATTGTGTATAATACATACTTATTGAAAACAATATGATGTTTCTTATATATTACAGCTTCTTTATTTTTTTAATAAAAAAAATCAATGATTATAATATTTGATATAAAATTAATCTAATTTGGAAAAATATGCAAAATATATATCTATTACAAATTTAACTCTGTTTCTTTACACTTCAAAGAACACTGTCTTCTAGTGAATTATTTATATCACTTGTATCATTCATGTGGTCTCCTCTGTCAAGCTTGTCCTACAATGTACACAAGTAACATATATAATGCAACAACATACAAATTGTAATACCATAAAATTATATACAAACATGTAGATAAAAACTACTATTTTTAAGTACATACCGCTAGCTCTGTAACAAGTGCTTTTGTATTCTCCACCATTTCTTTAAACAAATCTATTTCTTCTTCCAACTTTCTCCCATGTTCTTCGCTCTTCTTTAGTTTTTCATCAAGTTCTTTGTTTTCTTCTAATGTATCTATGAGTGCTTTTCGTTTCCTCTCAGCTAATAATTCCCAGTAATATTCGCTACGCTCTAACAAGATACATATTTATCAATATATGAATTTGTACATTTTTAAAAATATATACTTTTAAAATACATCAGAAAACTAAAAGAGAAAAATATTTTCTAGAAAATTGCAAATTAATGTACCTGTGGTTGTTAAATCTTCCGGCATGATTTCTTTTTCTTTTTTTTCAGTCTGTATAGCTTGATCTTTCGCCATTTTATTTGAAAGTTTGGAAGTACTTTTTGTGTTTTGAACATGTTTTGTTTTTTCTACATCTCTAAAATACACACAATTAGAAAAATATACATATGTTCTGACTTGGTATGTGTAAAATGTTCTATAAAATATTTTGTTAACAACTGTTTTCTAATATAGATTACCTTCTTAGTTTTCCATCATCTGATTGTTGAGGTAGTTTAATTATATCGCCACTAAATAAAATCTCTTTATCAGCAGCTGCAACAGGTGGCTGCAGTTCTTGTAGAGACTTTCTAAGCTTATCCTATTTTTTTGTAATAAAACAACAATTATAAAAGACATCTTTATAATCTACTTTATTTAATTTCTTCAAGCATTTTTTTTTAAATTAGTTACTTTTTATTTTGCAACTAAATTTGTTATTTTTTACAAAAAAATTTTCATAAAATAGTTGTTTACAATAAGAGAGAAACAGTACATCGCAATTTTTCATTAGTTTTTTTATATAAGAAAAAAATGTACTTACCTCATGAGAGATATTTGTCTCCACACTGGCAACTCTTTTCATCTTCAGCAGAGGTTAGAAAACTCTTATACTTCAAAACTGAATTATGGGCAGGAGGAGCGCCCGAGAGTCAGTAAAAATGACATAACTACAAAACTAAAGTGAACTACAATGGTTGCTTTTCAGGAGGAGCATAAGGAGCGATTTTTGATTTTTTAAAATCAATTTTTTTAGCAGGATAAGGATATACAAGTTGATAACGAATCAGTTGTGTTGTTTTTAAAGGCCATTGCACATATAATCGTCGCAGCTGTGACGTAAGATACTACAAGAATTAGCCAATCACATTAGGAATTTTCGAATTAGCTGCCAATATTCGATGTCAGTCGATTATCGATAATCGCATCGATAATGAGTCGGATCTCGAATTTATAGTATTATCGATAATCGTATCGCTGGCGGAGAACAGAGGGCGGTAGCAAGAGGCAACCGGAGGAATCATTTTCCCCCGATATATGGTGAATTTTACTGAAATAAAATTTACTTTTCGAAGCAAGAGCCTAAGAGAAAGCCGCTAGCAATATTTTTTCGATCTATTGATACGTAACAAGATCGACATTTTTTGGAACAACAGAAAGTAAGATAATTATATTATAATTTTTGAGAAAGTAAGATAATTATATTAAATCGAATGTGATATAATTTAGAATAATTATTAGATTGATCGCGCAATTGTATGGAAAAGAATTCTTTTTTCTCTTTACAGAGACATTCACACATTACTTCAACAGATACTAATCTCTTTTGAGTGGCACCGAACTTGGATATAATTAGCGCTTCTGTGTGTATGATAACTACAGAGAGGATTTTGATTGCTTTCACTCACACAAACCTAATGTTAATGTTTTCTCATCGTTTGGCCTTATATGCACTTGTGTGTGCATCGCGTACGATCGCCCTCAGTTGCGATGTAAAAACTTTCTTCTTCCACTAAATTGCGTCGTAACGGAGCAATAATTGCACAATAAAAAAACAGTTTAGTGCATTGCCAATCGATGTAACTGCGGGCCACTTTTAGCGGAATAAAACTTAACTCTTGTAACTCTCATAGCCAGTAAGTATTATATATATATATATATACGTATGACGCGAGAGATTACATCACAGTTGACATTCTGTTCGTAATCGATGATCCCGCGTTTACCCGCGATCGTGTCTTCCGCGTGAAATTTGCTCGTCAGGTTTTTACACGCGAATGGAAATTTCATGCGCCATCGGAAGTCAACGACTTCACATCGGGGGACTATACGTGAAAGTAGTTAACATATCTATCGGTTTGCGTAACATAATATCGCGCGAAGTATCTTCCTCCACGCGCGTTTTTTTTCGAACAAACAAACTGCAAGAGAGGAACACGCGCAACTGATGAATTTATCTCTTTTACAAATGTATTACGCCGCACTTTGAATTAATTCAAAAAAAGTTACATAATACAAAAATTATATTATTAAGTTTCTAGATGTAATACACTCTCGCAGACCGGATAACTTGGGATTTCTTTCTTGATCTTAATTTATGCACGTAAATAATTTAACCGATTCTACTTTCGCCGCTTTTTTTACCTACGCGCGCTGAGATCTCAAACATTTTCGAAAAAAAAACTACGCATATACGTACAAATTTATTTATATATTCCTACGCGTGTAAAATTGCTGCAAGATGTACATCTTTATAGAAAAAAAAAAATTAGGCTACAGAGATAACAAAAGTTTAATTAATTTCCTGCCGCTTGAAAACTTTTGAGAGACATCTAAAAATTTTATCTGGGAACAAGCGAGTATTGTTCAAAGTGTGGATGATGTATGCGCGTATTCACAGTTTTCTCGATAAAAAAGAAACGCGAGAGAGGAGTCCGAAGGCCGCGCGCGCAAGAACAACGCGCATTGCGCTAATCGGAAGCGCAGTCCCAGACCGTTGATCGTGGGTTGTTGCGATGGCATTATTATACGCGCATTCTGATGCATATGTAAGTATGCATATTAGAATGTGTACTTCGCCTATTGTTTCTTTCGCTCGTGGTCTCATCATCCGTGAAACTATACGAAACCTGTGCACGGACCCGCAAGAGACAGGTCGCCGCGAGAGAATCCGCACCCGCGATCCCATCGAAAATAAAACGGCACACACATGAAAGAGTTTCGAAAAACGTTAACTTCATCCGAGATTGATTGATTCAAAGACCTGTTTGTCCGCGCGACAAAAACTGGTGAGTTGTCACTTGACACGCGCAGAGGAGCGCAATTGTTTTTTACTTACTTCTTTGTTATTATTTGCGATATAAAAACATATCGCGGCGATACGTAACGTACGAATGGAATTTAATTCATTGATCAATTTCTATTATATAGAGAGCCACGCGCAATATCGTTAATCACAAATATAAACCGAATGGAAACGTTTGCGTTTTTGCAAACAATAGCATTAGAAAGTTATCGGTGGACTAGCGAGATAGATTCCGTGCCAAGAGTAAGGTCGTCTCGAGCGATGAGATAATCGGAGCAAGAGACGATTCTCGGTACCGAGATATATATCTCTCGGGGAGGGTCTCTCGACACGATCGTCGCTTATACGAAGGAAGCGACGATCCCACACACGCACCTTATACCTCGGCAAGAGATATATGTAGGCTCTTCGTTGTAAAAGCATACGAAGCATCTCTTTTCAGGACGATCGCCTTCCCGAGTAGGGGTAAAGTGAGAGTCGGTATAAAAGGGGATTTCTTTCCTCTCCCGGGATCGCAGTCGATCTCGTTCGTTTGCGACTATCTCCGTGCGTTCGCCACCGCTGTTTTACCTCTTTTCGATCTGTCGTTGTTGTACGAGGACGTGCACGTTTTTTTTCGTGAATCAGAATGAAATACGTGGTAAGTATGATCCGCGATGATCGCGTCCTGAGGAGCGTCGTCAATCGACTTGCGGCTCCGTCTCTTCGGGAACCGAAGACGCAAAATATGTCGTGTTCTTCTGTTGTTTTTTGATTTTCTTTATAAGCGAGAAATTTTCACTGATTCAATCAATATCGCGCACTCCCATTGTAACTAATTGTGTTTGTTTTTTTTTTAATAATTGTTTTTAATTTCAAGAAAAAACGTTTATGGATAAATAGTTAACGTTAGATCGGAAATTTAAGAAAATCACGATGTATTTGTAATAATTTAAAATAATTTAATATTTTAACTCAAAAACGTGTTGAAATATTTAGTTGAACGAAAAGATGGTCTAGAACGTGAAGAATCTTAATAAGACGGTACTATTGTCACTGACATATTGCGGCAATTTGCATTTATTAATTTATATGCGCGAGATGCGTCGAAGTGACGAAACAGCAAGAATTCGCGTGTGGGACTGAATGTATGATCATGTTTAAGTGATTAACATATTTTCCTCAAAATCAATTTTTTCCGTTTTATCAATCGAAGAAGAATATCGTACACGCACAATTATATATATGTATAATCTTTTAATATTATATTAGACTTGTTTTTTGTCTTTAGATAATAATTTTTTTCCAATAATTTGACGAGTCACTTATAAAGCGGACAATTATCAATCAAGTAATAAAAAAAAATCTCAAATGAATTTGACCATTAATTAGATGATGAATTTAGGTGATCGCAACGAAACGAGTAACAATACGGTAAAATAATACGGGAGAGGTCCACGATAGGTTGGGACAAAATGGGACGGGCCCCAGAACTTGCGGGTCAGGAGTTAAACGACCCGCCGTGGCATTTGCTTCTCACTTTCACTCATCTCCTGAGAGCGCATCGCCCGATTTCGTAGCAAAGAAATCAATAAATCTGTGTGCGTTTCGGAATTTGTGTTACTGTACACTTCCGCGTCAATATTCTCGTCGCGATCGCGCGGTCTCTCCCGATCTCAAGGTGTTGTAGATTAGAAAGGGAATAAATTGACGTAATCTGAATCTTATGATATAACGTTCCTGCTTCTAACGACATAATTGCACGCGATCACGTTCTCGTTTCTGGATGTTTTTATTTTTTTTTTTTTTCCAATCTGACACGTGTCTCACAATTCTGTATTTATTGTTAATGTAAGTTAACATTAGAAATGTGTGATATTTGTGAAATTTTTCACAGGTGTTAACGATAATTCTCGGCTTGGCGGTAGCGCAGGATTATCACGGACGCAACTATCAGCCAGACGACGGAAATCAGCAACCCGACAGCAGACGACCCACAAGCACCACACCCATTCCGATTCTGCACTGGAACAAACAACAGGAACACGATGGAACGTACAAGACTAGGTAATAATCAAATTTTCCGCATTTAACTCGATAAGTAAACGGTTATTCTAAAATAATATATGTTACAAACTCGTTGCAAGTATTATTTCTCTAGTGTATTTCCTGATGTAGAATTTTTTTTTTTAACTTCTTAAAGATATGGATTACAAGATCAAAATCCAATTGATTTTGTGCAATAAATAAATTGTGCAATGTATATTTAAATTGTTATAAAAAAATATATAATAGTAAACAATTTCTTGCAAATTCTTTTCGTAAAATTTGTTTTTGTTTTGAATAAAATCACAAATGTGAGTGACACGCGGCTTTCAACGCGTTAAAATCAATTACGAAAAATTACATAATATAACCATAATATAGCCACCTTTTAATCTCTCTTTCACTTTTTATGTATTTTAAGAGACTATTTAACGCGCGAAAACCTTTCACCAACAAGATTCACGCATCTCCCGTTTTAACATATCCGAACCTCGCCCGTCTCGTTCGAACACGAGTTTCATGTAATCCGCTCATCATCGAAAGTATATGTCACCCACCCCCCGGGGTCTCGCGTTACCTGAAGTCTCAAATTCGCGCGAGCTTCTCGTCTCTCAACGCGCATTAAACATTACGCAACGCAAACCAATCAGCTTTCTGGGTCCGTGCGCGAGTTTGCGCAATGCGATTATTTAATACCCGCGTGTCTCGACTTGTGGATGCCCGCAGTTACGAAACGGGTAACAATATCATCGCCGAGGAGAGCGGCTACATCAAGACCATCGGCGAAGGTGAAGACCGGGCGGAGGCGATCGTGCAGCAGGGCACTTTCTCGTATACGAGTCCCGAGGGACAGCTGATCACCATTCACTACACCGCCGACGAGACCGGCTTTCACGCGCAGGGTGATCACATTCCCACGCCACCGCCCGTAAGCGAAGAGATCCAGAAAGGCCTCGACCTCATCTACGCGGGCATTCGTCAGCAAGAGGTAACGCGCATTAAAACTCCGTGACCTTTCCTCTTCCGTCCAACCCTATTGCTATCTTTAATCCATAGTCACTGGGAAACTCTCTTCCTCGGACTATAATAAATTCTCTTCACATTTACCTTCGCGAGAATTGCGTTACTCCGATCGATGAAAATTCTCTCTCTCTCTCTCTCCCTCCCTCAATATTTGCATTTGAAAATGCAAGTTTCAATCGAACAACTCTCGCAAGAAAGTAGATAAATTTAAAGATGATGAAGAAATTTGTACAGATCATATATCTATTTTAAGATATGACACTGAGATATACGGACTCATTCAAGATTTTCCGTGACACGGATGTGTTAACGTGGTGTGCGTATAAAAATTTTATTATCTGCTTCGTTGCACTTAAAAAATCCACCCATTCACGATTTCCTGTCCTCAATTATCCCCACTTGCGTTTCTTTGCCATTTCTTATCACATCTCTCACGTTCACGTGAGCATGTTCGTTTTTTGTGGAAGACATTCTCCGCGATCGCATGGGAAGCACTTCTGTTTCGCCACAACCGCGCGGCGGCGCATAGGTCACGGCTTCTAAGCCAGGGATTTGCGAAAAGCCATTCAGTCTGTGCACGATGAATGTGTGTTTGCGAAATCGAATCGTGATAGCGATTCGTATCGATGCGGAGAGACTCGCGGGAGAATCGCGAATACACGGTATGAATGACGCGCGAAGCGAGCGAAGAAAAATAGCTGCTTGTTGTGTACCCATATGGGATTTCCCTTCCTGACTCCCCGTCATCGCGTGGCCACAACTGCTCGGCAGCTACTACTACTAGTTTTATTGTCCTTTTTTTTATTAAAGAGTAAAAAGCTATCGCAGTCTTACCGTAAACATATTAACTGACGAATTTGCTATATTTTTACAACTTTTTAATTTTATGTTTCGTGCTCGTTGTATGTTTAAATAAAAAGATAGGGAAGAGACAATAACGAGATATACCTGATGTTTGGATAAAATTCTTCTTCTTTGTTCCGAGGATTTAATAAAGATACAAACGTTTCGATCCACTATGGGATCTTCTTCAGTGTGTCTCTACATAAATATTTTGTAATAAAAAAACATTGTAATAATTTTTTATGTAGAGACACTGAAGAAGATCCCACGGTGGATCGAAACGTTTGTATCTCTTTATTAAATCCTCGGAATAAAGAAGAATTTTACCCAAACATCAGATGTATCTCGTTATTGCCTTCTTCCATTTTTTTTTTTTTTTTAATTTTAAATTGCGAAGTGTGCGAAAAATGAAGTTTACAAAATATGCCGTATGTTTCAGGAGGAAGAAGCTCGCGCGGCGGCTCAAAAACCACAGCAGCCGTTGAACCAGCAGATCGACAGGCGGGACGAGTACAACAGGAAGTTCTAGCGAATTTTCCGTCAACGCTCCAGCGATACAGCGTTTTCTCGCATTGCTGTGTCCTTAAAGAATGATAACTAGCGATTAAGTTGTTAACGTTACCTTCTCTCGCGCCTTCCAAAAATATACATTTTCTATATTACATTGTGTAAGAGTTGTCGCTCGACGAGTTCGATCGATTTCGTTCTTCTCATCCCGTCGACGATCCTTTCTCAACGTGAGATCCTGGCATTCCCGCGCGCGCGCACACACACCGTTGATGCTTAAAATTCCCCTCCTTCCTCTTTTTCTCTCTTTGCGACCGCCGTAATTGTGTGCTGGGAACTGACATTTCTCGGTGTGTCGCGATAAAGAAGAATGTCACGGGAGTAACATCGTACCGTCGAACTAATGATCGCGATCGTTTCTCGCACACATGTTCGTTCACGTGATGTACCATCACTTTTACGCGCCGCGTTAGAACACATTCTGTCTGAGAATCTCGAAACTTCCTGATAATAAGGTTTTTTTACAATCGTATGTGCAAAAAAAAAAAAAACAATCTTAAAACTTCTGTTGACAAAAATACATGAAATACAATTTTACAAAATGTTTTTCCTGTCGCGCACGATTATGTAATTAGAAATAAAAATCAATGAAATTAGATTCGCTTGTGTGACAGCGAGTACAGATGCATCGACAAAATAAAATTGTTTTCTCCGTGCCGGTGACACTTATGTGTATTTCTCACGCCTGTGTAAATAAATCTATACACGAGCATGTGGTCAGACACACTCAATTAATTAACCTCTTCCGCGGAGTAATCCCGAAATGCGGCCGATGCGCAAACGCCGAGAGAGAAAGAGAGAAAGAGATCAGCGGATTCATTTGCGCCTACATTTTTCAGAAAGGAAAATGCAAAGCTATTATTGGCGCGTGTTTAATAGAGCGAAGCGACTTTATTGTTAGTTTCGAGTACACATTAGTTTTGAGTACGAATCTATAAAGGCGTCAGTCTTCGTGCTCCTCGGAGAGGAGGAGGAGGAGGAGGAAAATGAGAGCTCGCTCTCCGAGGTCGGTGAAACTTTTCGCGAGGTAACGCTCGTCAAGGTCGGTGAAACTTTAAATAGTATAATAAAAAAATCGGATAAACAGATAAGCCGGTGTGTTTTTTTTTTTTTTCATGCACGTTGCGTTCTGTACCGTTACACGATCATGTACACGCGACACGAGGAGACCCATGCGCGCGTTCAGCGACTGTCTCACGCGTGACGCTATGAATAAATATTTCGAATTAGCATATACGTCACGTGTGAGAGATATATCGTTCTTCTTCTTACACAAAAGTCAGTTACGTTTAACCGCAAAGAATCAACAATTGTTTTAAGAGAGCTATAAGTATTATTAAAAAAAAAAAAAATCTATGAAAGAGTTAAGAGACAAAAATTCATAAACTTTCACTTTCGCAAAACCAATCGTCCGAGCGAAGGCGGACATTGATCCTCTGGTGTCAAGGATTTTCATTCGGCAGCTTATCTCGGGCCGGGGAAATCTATCAACAGTTTTTGTAAGATTAAAACTAGTTTAATTACTTTTCGAAACAACTCTCGCTCAAAAAGCTCATTAGCATTAGCTATCCGATATATTCGTCAATGTTAAAAAATGTTCGATAATTTGCACGCACCGAAGACCCGTTACTAAAAATGTAAAACTTATTTCGAAAAACAATTTGCGAACGTAGCGCGCAAACGCGTCCCATTATATACGCAAAGTATTATACACAACATGTAATGATTTAAAAAAAAACAATCCGAATACAATAATTAAATTGAAATTTTAGTAATTACAGTAAGTTCGTAATATCGTGCAGAGTCTTAAATTCTCGTTACACTTTCTCATCGTGTAATCTTATCTTTTCCGAAACAGCACTTCTGTGTTAAACAAATTTTTTTATTTACTTCATTTTCTTCGTGTAAAGAGTTGCTCGATATCACAAGAGCCCTGACACGTTCCACGCGTGCGTGTTGATGCTCGCTTTCGCGTATGTGTGTGTATTATAATTAATAAAACACGTACGTGTATAAAAAATAAGTTAAGCGCGTACGAGATGCCGCGCGATATATATCTTACACACATATGTAAATCTTACTCCGCCTTTTTATTGCAAACGTCGGTGATGATAATTCACGTTTCGTTCGCGCGGAGAGCGTTGGTCCGCGAAAATCGACGACAATTGACTACGCGCACAGAGTGGAACGGCACGGTTCTCATCGCAACAACGAAACAACGGAAAGTGTGCGCAAACTTTTACTTCAAAAGAACAGCACCTTTGTCGCGACGAGAGATTTGACTTAACGATTAACTGTATTAACGAGGCTCCTTCGCTGTTTGGCACGAGCGGATCTCGTTCGTCGCGCGGCAGATCGCGAGAAATTGGCGCGTAAAAAAAAAAAAAAAAAAAAATGCTCGCGTTACGAACTAAAAAAGTAACTACATTAGCGTCAGGAATCGGCGATAGGAAGCTATTATGGAATTTCCGGATCTGCCGCCGCTTAATTAATCATTACAGTGCGCGATGTCTACATTTATATGTGTCGGACGTAGTTAAGCGATTTATCTATTCACTCGTTAATCCTATCCCGTGATTAACGAAGCGGCTTTTAGCGTAAACACTATCGCTAGAATAAAATTAAAGCGCACCGCGCGGGATTAGATGCGTTCGATCCGCTCGCGCCAAAGTGTATCTGGCCGTTCTTCGTATTTTGATTCGGCAGGTGGGATTTTCTCGTCGTTAGCTCAATATTCGCCAAGAACAAAAAAAAATCGCCGATAAGGCGATGTAAAAATTAATTTATACGATACTCACTACGATTGTTACACAGACAACCGTGTCGCAAAAACTAGTTTTCTTAAAAAAATCTCGCTGTTATAAGTGTCGCCGGTGTGTTTGTTACAGCCTGAGTGAGAAAATGTTTTTATAAACTACATATCTTGTACTCGGAGAAGAAAACTGCTATCTTGTACTTGCTAGAAAAAAGTTTTACACGCGAAGAGACAATGCCATGCGCGAGTGTTCGTTCGCACGCTTCACAAATCGATGACGCAAGTGGAAAAGTTGGCGAACATTGCGCGTCCGACGTTATTCTATAATTTTCTTCTGTCTTTTTTTTTTTTTTTCTTTTTTTTCAAGGAAGTCCCACTGCGCTTCCCTGAAAACTACACTTACGTATATATAGTCCAACATGGCATCTAACGTCTCGTCTTCTCGCGCGCGATGTCCCGATCATCTGATCGCGATAATGAATGGAACAAAGACAAGAAACAACGACGACGAATTCAAGGAAGCGTTCTCTCGCAAGGGTTCTCGATGACGCGAAAAGTCGCGCGTTTTATGTATATCTCTCAGTTTCTTCCAGAGAACTACTACTTTCGTGTGCATTGTCTCCCTGTTTTCATCGATTCCTGTGTGTGTGGAAACGCACACACTGTATCATCTCGGACAATACCGACGACTGCGATGATATCGCGAACTCGGTGCATGAGAACGAAATCCATGTCGTGGCACCTCGGGAAACACGCCGAGCAATTTCTGACGGGGAATCCTCCGCGCGACAACGAGAAACCTTATTCTTCTTCGCGAAGCATCTAGATTATCGATCTTCAGCATTCGTTCTCCTTTTCTCTTCAACGACGGCCGGAAAATCGGCGACGGGATTTCATTCTCGAGAAAGAGAGAGAGAGAACGTCGACGACGAGGCAGCGGCGGTTCGATGCGACGAGCGAGGGTTGTGTGTCTCGTTGTCGAGATCATCGGGTCGAACCGAGGCAGTCCAAGAGCGCGGCGAAAGCCAGCGTCGACGCGATATCAGATGACGAGCGACAAACAACGGCAGCGAAGCGATACAACGACGAGGGAACTTTGTTACGTGGCTTTCGCCGCTCCTCTCGAGAGTCGCGTTCTCGACAGATCGGGCGGGCGCGGATCGTACGGCGTCGCGTTGAATCCGACGTATCGATTGTTCTTCTTGTGTAGAAAACCGCCGGTCTGCGGATCCGTCTTGTAATAAATCACCCGTCTGATGCCGAACGGATCGATGTAACCGAACGATCCGACGTTGTTGCCGTCGGGCTCCCGCTCCTCCTCGTGATAATGTCGGCGCAGATAGTACTGGAAACCGTTCGCCGTGCTGTGAGTCCCGTCGTAAGGCGGATAATCCGCGTTGCTACGAGAAATGGGAGATCGGTAGCTCGGCCGGACGGAGGAACCGCCGATCGCGGAATCGTAGGGAGCCTCGAGGATCTGCGTCGGTTGCCGTCGAGATCCGCGATAGTAAGCAGATTGCGGTCGATGATAGTCCAAACTCTGCAGTCCGGACGAATATCCCGGTCGATTCGAGTAATAATCGTTGCCCGCGATGGGCGTGAAGTTGATCGGTCGTGGTCGGATGGTCGTCGGAGTGTAATAACCGGAGGTGATGTCGTTGCCAGACAGCGGCACGATGGCATTGGGGTCTGGTCGTCTGCAGAAAAGGTGTTTTTTTTTTTTACTAACTTATTTAGAAGAATGCGCGTTGTGACACGAAGTTTGATATTATTTTTAGAAACTTAATAGCGAATGTAACTGTATATTTTTTTAATTCAACATCCGTTTTACCTGAACGGATTGGGCGGTCTTTTGGGTCTGGCCAAGACGCCAGTCTGCGCCGGAACCTTCTTTGTCTCGGCCACCGCGTCCTGTATGGGTCGATCCTTACCCACGTAGACCATCTTCGATCTGAAAAATCATCGGGATATAACGGAGTCGCGCTCGAATCTAATTATATCGCTATTAATTAATTTTATTTTCGCTCGATCTACCTTAGTATCCGAAATCCCTCGTGATCCGCAATGTAATCCTTCAGTCGTAAATATCCGAGAGGATCGAGCCAGCCTTCGGTGCCGATCACCGTGCCGTCGGCCAGTCTCTTCTCCTTCCTGTATTGACCGTTCGACGTTTGAAAGCGAAAAAATCTTTCCGGACCCTCATCGGTCTGAATGTGATACTGCGTGTTGGGATTTAGATTCCAGCCGCTTCTCTGCGCCTCGATCTCGTCCGCTGTCAGACACAGGGCCGAAACCTGTAAGTGTAAAAAAAAATCTGCTCAAATAGTTTCGAGCGACACTCTTTTAAAATAAAACAATTATTGTCTCAACTGACGTCTTCGTCGCGGAACGTGAAACGTTTTGCTCAAGTGTCGCGTGAGAAGTTCAAACAATCAACGAGTTATTAAGGTTTACGGGCACGAACCCGCAGTGATAACAAGGACACCGAGCAAGGGACGTGGTGCGGACCGCAATTGCGCGCGGGATATTCCTCGGCGAGCGATTAGTCAGCGTCGTTTCTCCTCGGACCACACGGACTCTCGTCTTCTCTTTCTTCGCAATCTACCACGGCTGTTTGTAGGCGCGGCAGCCGCATATTCCGCTTCGCGCGCCGGTTGTCCGTAATCACTCCATTTACGGCGTTACGACCCGAGAGAGACGAGATGAAAGACAACGTTCGAGTGTGTGACTTCGGAGACTTAGCCGGGCAACTCGAAACGGCCGCACTTTATTTCGCCAGACGTTTAGCGGCGGCATTTTCTAGGTTCTCTCTCGTTTATGAGCACACACGTATCGCATCAATAACGGTTGAGGGAGTTCATATTGTCGCTTGTCTTGAGTCGTGGGAAAATGTTTCCGCGTGCAATGTGCATATATATACGCACACATTGCACGTTAAACGTTCCGAGGAAATTGTGTTTCCCGTTCTATTTATTTTTTTGCGATTATCATCGAGCTCACGATCGAGGTTCGAAAGTTAATACAGATGTCACAAAAAAAAAAAGATCTTCTCATATCAATTTTTTGTACTGAAGTAGACTCGAGGCGAGTGCGTGTAACAGAGAGTGTCATGAATATTGATCATATCAGAGAAACAAATTGTACGAGGAAAACTTGATTTTTCCGATGACATTCGACAAATGTGTGATAATTACACAATCTGTTTTCTCTTTGCGCGCTTAGGCGAGTGACTTGAATGATAAAAAAAACACCTCAAAGTTTAACGGTCATCGTTGTTAAAAAAAAAAAAAAAAAAAACTGGAAACTCATAGACTGGTTCTTGGAGTCATGATTATTCACGTCTTTTTTTAGGTTTCGGGAATAAAAGTTTTACAAAAATTCCAGAACACACAAACCTTCATTTACGAAGCTAGGTTTCCATTCGCTTGTTTCAACCGCAGAAATGTATACAATGTCGCATCGCAATAATTCCGACCACGCGAGAAATGCAATGTCTTCCACGGCGGCGGTGTGTGCGGCTTTCATATCGTTTGCGGGGAAACATTGCTAGCGCGCAACAACAAACGCGCGCGACGGTCACGTAAGAGATACTTATCCCTTCTATTCGCGCACGGATTTTGCGTGGGATTGACCAAGACCACGAGAGGTCCGCCTCTCTCGTCGGTCCATATTAAGAGATGTCAGGCTGACCGAGCGTGTAGGGCCGACGTATTACGCATCGTAATTTCGTAGAAGGAACAATCATATGCTTTTGGAGAAAAAATAGAAAACGGGAATAAAAAGTAATATAATATATAATATGTCTCGATTATATTGTTATAAATTTTACGCGGGTAATTTTTCCTGTACAAATAAAAATTTCCACTAAATTTGAACGATTTTTCATTGCACAATAATTGTGCGGATGTTTCCTCGCGAACATTTTCTTCTACTAATGTTAGAATGCAAAACAAAAGAGACGTAATCACATGCTAAGTGTGGGGATATTTATTACGGGGCTAGAGAGATTATAAGTCACTCTCCGACTCGGCGATAAGGAGCTTCGCAAGTTTCCCTCTCGCGAGAGCGAAGTTACGTTTTATGGCGAAGTCAAGGCATGCCACGAAGGACCTTGGACCTTCTTCACGTGTCGTGTGTGCGCCTTTAATACACTGTCGTATATACATATTGCCGCATCTCCTCGCTAAGAAGAATCCTCGCGCCGCTGATATTGCTCGATATCCTTGAAACTGGTTCATGACTTTATTGCTGCGAGGCAGTACTTTGATTTAAAAAGTGCTCGTTATTGTGAGAGAGTCATCGGACTCGGATCGATATCCTTGAAACGAAATTATCCTTGAGTATATATCGCGACTTTCGTGTCGCACCACAGACAGAATGTAATTTTCTGTAATAATTCATCTCAGACGAGTTTGATTTACGTAAGTTGATTATTTAACGCGATCTCCATTTAAATTCGATGCACAAAACGTGCAAAAATGTTGCCTCGTAATGAAAAAAGTTTTTAAAAGTATTTCAGAGTAAATCTCTTGTCGTTTTAATTAACTTTTGTGTAGGACGAGTAAGCTTTTCTTTTCCGGGATTCTCTCGTGGTTCGCTTTTATTCTGGCCCCGGAACCGCGAACGCTTTTCCTCTTTCTGTCTCTGTTGAAATTACAGAGCTCGCGGGAGCAAGCATTAATTTTCTTCCGAGCGGAAATGTCTTTCTTCTCTTCAACGATATCGAGAGATTGACGTCGAAAGAAAAATATGAATCTCGTCAAATACAACGGATTGTCTAATTTCACAAAAACTGTTTAAAAAATATAGTCGTATTTACAAACGTGTGAACCGTTACGTGTTATTCTCCTAATAACGCGCGAAGCGAAATTTCGAATGAAAGAATAAATCACAAACGTTCCCACATCGGACATCGATTAAAGTTAACAGAAGTTTTACTGATTTTCCGTCTGCGTCCGCGGAATGCACGCGCGAGCGAGGTTCGCAACATGAGAAAGCATACAATTTAATATTTTACGACGAAGAGAATGAATCTCTCGCCGCACTCTTGAACCGCGCGCGCTGCGGTGAAAGAGTTATTTTACAGATAATTGCGTCCTCAGGCTTGGGACCGTAAACAATCGAGAAGAGACGCAGGGAATAAATTGCGTTGTGTATCAAGGACTCAGGCAGCACACTACTACGATTTTCATTTACGTAGACAAAATTTAGCATGCGATTCTTAGGAATCTACGGCGAGTCTAAAAGCGCGCTTCTCTTCCCGCCAGCACGCATCAATTTCCATTCATGACTCAAAGGAAAGTCCGACCGTTTCGGCCGGCGATTCTGCACGAGGTTAGGTCTTGTCCAGGTCGCGCGATTAACCCGCTAAATTATTATTGCACCGTCCATTGTCTGTCGGTTGTCGGTCACGGTGATTTCACCTTTGCACAGAAGCCGCCGCCGCCGCCGTCGCCGCCGCCGCCGCCGCCGCAATAGCAGCTCCTTTCGCTCGCTTCCGTTGTTTTCCATCTCTTCGCGCGCGCGATCTCTCGTCTCTCATTAAAAATACCCGCGTGAGGTATTCTCACGTGCTTATAATCATGTGATATAATCTAGCGACTGTAATTAAGTTGCACCCGGGAAATTGGCGACATTGGTGGTGGCCGACAATGAATTCGGTGCTCATGAAAGGGAAATTGGCCACGCTAATTGCACACGCGAACGATTAATTAGCGAGAAAGAGATATTAGAAGATCTCCTCAATTTTGCGATTGTCGTGATTAATTAATTAAGGTGACACTGACATATTTCTATATCGGTTAATCAATTCAGCATTTTTTTATAAGCGTAGAAAGAACGCGACGCTTTGTCGATTTTATAATAACGTGCAAAACTATAATAATGCAAAACTAAAACAAAAAAAATAAGAAGCACCCATTTAATAACAACAAAATAGTGCAATTTGAACTGAAAATTTGAACTTTTGAAGATTTGAACTTTTATTTGTTTTATTATTGCGAATTATTATGTTGTTTTAACTTTTATAGAATTTCAATTGTTATTAAAACTGTATTTTTGAAAGAAAATTTCAATATTATTCAAATGCAGTCTCTCGGAATTTCGAAAATACTTCTTGCGTTTGTCATACGCAAGGAGCAGCACGTTGGTGGCATCTTGAATACAATTCTACTATTACGAGTCGACACAATTGTAGATCGTGTCGCCTGTGGTATGTGACTAATGATCTCGCGATCTCGTTTGCGACTTACTTGATATTCGAGGAGCGTCGGCGTTTCATGAACGCGCGTGCATCGTGGCCTTCGCACGAACGCGCGCTAATTTATATTCGGAATGCACGATATTAATTATCCTCGCGTAATTTCGTCTCGAAGTACTTGCGACACACACACGCACAATCTATAGAATATATTTATTCGGAGAGCAATGTCGTATTATACCGTGTATCACCACAGAACTTCTTCGACAAGCTAATGTAATTATCTGCATAATTTATGTATCTAATATCGTACGTTTTCCAAGACGTTTCAATTAACTCTGTTGCAATTTGTGATATAAAAAAAAACAATAAAAAAAAAAAAAAAAATTAAAAGAGACAATATTTGTTGGTTTGGAAAGTAGTAGTTGTCACGCTGCGTTTTATTCTCAGAAAGTTCAATTAGCGCGCACCTCTTATGTAGGTTAGCGATCCATATTTAACTTCTCACCGCATATTTAGCGATGATAAAACAGAGCTGTTCTCTAATTCTCTCTCTACGTCAGTTCAAAAAAAAGAAACATCAGAATAATATAATTTATCTTGTACATACGTGTCAAATAGACAACAAAGATTTTCAATTTACACGATTTAACAGCTGAGTTTATTGATTGTGCATCTGGTTTACATTCTTGGTCACGCACGAGTCTTTGTTTGTATGTGTGTGTGTGTGTGTGTGATTCGGTGGCCGAGAGAGAAACGTCCTCTTCTTGTTACACTTCTTGTGCACGCGATCTTCACGGTACACGGCGCTCGTGCATCGAACTCTCCCGAAGCACAGAGGAATGGAGAGAAGCCGCCGGTACCTCTTTCACGATACGCATATGTATTCTCGAACACATCGACTTTCATGAGCGCCTGTCAGTTTTGACGGAGCATACCGTGTTTCGCGCGATGACGTGAATATACGCGCGATATAAATCGCGCTTGACACGTGGTGCACAATCACAGAGCGGCCTCCTCACTGACTCGCGAATGTGAGTTGCGGCGAATGTGAATTGGAAACTCGTCATCGTTAAATATACGCTAAGTATCGCGTATACGCTCTCTTAACAATCTGACTCGCACCGTTTTTGAGATTTTTTATTTTTTATTTTTTTTTTTGCAATTTGTATCGCAAATTTTATTCCGACGGTTTATAAAATTTGTAAAGCTTCGTGTCGCAGTGCTTCAGAGAGAACTAACTGTAAGACTGTATTACATGTAGATATAGAATATATTACATATATACAGTTTTTATCTTTTTTTTTAATGTAATATTTTAGCAAGAAGCAAACATATTTCTATATTTTATTCTATATTTTAGTCTTTTGTAATAAAAATTTATAAAAACTCAATCTTATATACTTTTTATCATTTTTAATCTTTTCGCGATTCGAGACAATTTTATTGCCAATGTCAATGTCATGTTGTAGCTACGATTTATTTTATTTTATAATTCTGAAAATAGCGAGATTACGTGGCACAGGTTGTTTTGTCGATTTATTTGCTACCGGATGATTTAAGAGACCGCGCATAATCACCGGTTCACGACCGGCGCTTCATTCAACCGAGAATCTTGAAGTGGCGTCAATATAAAGTCTCAATGTCAGTGACAATTCGCTAAACACTCGTAAAAATGCAAATTTCACGCAAAGATGAGTAACTGTTTTTTTTGAAAATATGAAGATCTCTTCCAATTTTACTTATGTTAATACTAAACAATTTACCATTCACTGATGTAAATTATTCTATTTTAATTATGTATTCTTTATGTACAAAAACATAAAATTATGTTAATTTAATTCTTGTTGGCGAGATGTGGATGACATCAGAGTTCAATGAATCAGAACGAGATTGACTTTTTTTAGTATATTAAAATAGAGTTTAAGTCTAACTTTAGATATAAATAGCTTTTCGCGCTGAATAAAATTAATGTTATAGATATACATCACGCGTTAAAAATATAATTATATATCTTTATACATTAATCATATCTGTATTAAAGAGAGATAAATAAATTTTCGTTAAATCCTACCACTAGGAGATTCAGGCAGAGGCAGGTTCGCAAAATCATGGCCACGCTGGTGCTCACAAGTAAAATACAGTGCAACAAACTTTCTTCGAATTTCCTCTTCGTCGTCTTGCAGCAGTCGTCGAGACGAAACGTTTCCTCTTTATTTCTCAAGCAAAATTCTCCCGTTTGAATTTTAATTACAGTCCTCACCGACGGACAAAGAAAATCTGCCCTGTTTCAGTCATCGGAACTTGACATCGGAGGCACGTGGCGTGTTTAAAACCGCACCGGGAGTCGGAAAGAAGAAACACTTTCGCGGACCGGACGGCGAGGCGAAGCGGAAGAGAACGATGACGTCGACGAGTCATCGGCTGCTTTGTCGATGTCGTCGAAGTGGACCGAGACGACGCGATACTGTGACTGAGAGTACCGGCGGTGTCTCTGGATTTTCAGATCCGCAACACAGTGCCTCTAACGACGGATCTACGCTCCTTCCCTCGCGACCATCCCCCTCCGTGAAAGAGCCCGCCGCGCGAGATCGTTTTTCCTGACGACGATCAAGACCGCGCCCGCCCACCACACACGCATCGCCGCCGCTACTCGACTAAGAGAGTACTCCACATTCGTATGCGTGTTACGCGTGCGTGTACATTTCCAAGACGAGGAATTATATTATAGCGCTTGGTAAGCACGCGTAATCGCTTGTTGTGCACACGCCGCACGTGATTCCGTGCCGATCCTCGCGAATGACGTAAAGGGTTACCGCTTCGATTCCTTATAAGATACTGAGAGCGCATCTTCCACTGAGAAAGACTTTACTTTGTGTGTTAATTCATTCAGGCCGAAAACTAGGTATTTTTATTTAATATAGAATTATTTTTTAATTAATATATTGTAGAATATTAATTTGTGTCTTAAATTCAATATAAAAAAATTTGATGGAAAAGAACGATTGTTTGAAAGCTTGAGAAGAAAGGAAATAAATCGGAGAGAAGACGTTTCGATGTTATTTTTAAATTGTTTTGCGCGATTTTTAACTTTGTTGTTAGAAACACACGCTTCAAAGTGTGTGCATATCGTTTCTCAGCTATTAAACATCAGCTATTGTCAAGAAAAACCAGTATTGGGCTTGGTCACGAGTCTCGGATTTTTAATTAGTTTCGCATGACTGACAGCTGCTTACATTCACACGTAATCGCCGATCACAAATAGCAATCCTGGAGCAATAAATGTTGAGGAAGACGGCAGAAAATTGCATTGTAAGATTTATGTTAAACGATGTGAAAAATCGCGAAGTCTCGTGAGAAAGAAAAATGTCTGTCTCGAGATGTATGTTGTGAGAAATCGTCACACATCTCGACATGTAATTACTACGCAATTTGATACGCAACTAATATATGTAAAATGTAAATCGATAGCTTTGTAAAGAGACTTATTTCTATTTAACTGATCTCACAATCTATTTCTGAATGATAGAAAAAATGACCAATTTTAAGTAGGATACCGTGTCAATTTTTCAATATTATTACAAAAACACATCGTATTCTCTCTCTGTTCATTTTCCAAATATATTTTATTTTTATTGTTTTGTTTTTATATTTCATTATGTTTACTTCTGTTACTTTTGTTATGTTTATTTTTATTTAATTTTATGTTATTTTATTTTCTTTTCTACACTCACTTTTTATTTTTATATATCATGTCTCACAGTATTTTAATTCATTTATTTATCTTGTGTATATTTTGTTAAATATAGCGCTTGAGAGGAGATTTCTTTCCGGAGCGGTTTACAAATAAAGCAGTATCTTATCTATCTATCTGTCTGTCTTCTTCAATAAAAAAACTTCTATGCGATTAAAGCAATTATTTGACTTAGATATTTATAACAAAATTTTATTACAGACAGTTTATTCCTATTTATTCCCGCAAATAGGTATGACGATCCGTAATTATATACGCCGAGCACGAGATTACTATTCGGAATATTAATGTAAAACACACTTAATGCAATCGTAAATTAAAGTAGATTCGATTTATGCAGAGTTTTTTTTTACGCAACATTCTTCCGGAACGCAAAAACTTCCATTATATTCTCATTTTTCATATATCAAGTCGTATAATGTTTCCCACACAATTTGTATTCTCTGTCGATGGTGTTCGTTCTTAGCGACATTGTCGGTAGCCGGAAGGAACGGATTTTATGTCATCTCGCACATTTGCGTCATCCTCTTGGGTCAAGTAATCGTCGTTCCGTAATCATCGTTCGCATTACCCGCAATCATCTGACGAAATAAACGCTTCGCCAACCCGGCGTTCTTTTTAGTCACCGGAAGAATTCGTCATTTGCGCTATAATCGCAAACAACGTTGTTGCGATTCAAACGCGCGCATTGAACAAATGATGACTAATCGTCGATGACTACGTCGCATCTCTTCTTTGCATACACGACGTGTGATGGAAGATACATTTCCTATTTTGCAACAGAAACGGCGCAAAAAAAAAAATGATCTTGTCAAATTTCGCTTTGTAACGTATTCACAAAACCGACACATGCGTGTCAATGTTTTATTATTAAGTAAATTTTAACGAGAAAAACCGAGGTTTCATTTTGTTTTAATAATTGCCATATAATTCTATGGTAATTAATAAAAAGCTCAGTTTTGACTTGGTATAGCGCACTGTTTATAAACGATTAAGAGACACACGCTCTCTCTCTCTCTCTCTCTCTTTCTCTCTCTCTCTCTTTGCACGTGTAAATTCGACACTGATATGTTTTTTTGAAAATAAATATCAGAACTGCAGAATCGTCCGACTGGCCCATTGGCCTCGCAACCTGAGTGTAGGGGCTGCGAACCCGGAGGTGTTACAAGTTCGAATCCGCATTAGGATTGTTTTTCCGGGCCGATCATTTTCAATCATGTAGTTTGGAACTTAAAATAAGGGGCCTAAAAACTCATTACTATTGTCATTTTCAATCGATTTGATCAATTGATTCGATTGATTGACCTCCAACAATCAATTCGAATGTATTTCTACCCGGCTTACACACATCCTACCCAACACAGAAAAGGAAGGATTGTTGTAGACGAATCTCCATTTCGCCAATTCCAAGAAACGCGTATGAGTCAAGGCCTTTAACAGACGCATTTACAAATATACATGTAAATATATAATATATAATATAATATATAACATATATATATAATTTTAAAAAAATTATGGTGTACATATATGAGTAAAGTAAATGAATAAGTTCATACGCGTAACGTTTAGACGCATCATTGCGATCATCATCAATTGAATATGTATGGTTTAATATTGTACAGATTCTCCTATTGAGAGATTATATCGATGTTTCTTCTTTTTGTTTTTTTTTTTTTTTGAGCCGAGAAAGCGTGAAGCTTGTAAAAAAACGCCGCTGAAGCGTTTTTGCCGCCGATGTGCATGCGTGTACGTATGTACACGCATACAAATTACACATATACAAACGGTAGGTAAATGAAGAGTAAATGAAATTCTCTCTGCAAAATTAACTTTTTTCGTTCTTCGATGATCGTCACCGATTCGGATGAAATGATTTCCAACACGGCGTGAAATCCGGTTTTGCCGCGGTGGCTCTCCGTTTCCTATGAGCGTAAGTTAGGACACGGAGAGTGAACGGCATTGCATTTCCACGCAACGGAGAGATGCAAACGAGAGACGCGGCGCGCCTGAGATTTTGCGCATAGAGAAAGCTCGAAAGGTCGACAAAAAATGTGTGGGTTGCAAAGATGTAATAACGTTAAAATTGCCAAAAGAAATAATACTGATCATTACGTAAGTCAAAATACGATTTCTTCATCTTGCAACAAACTCCGCATCGGTTTTATTCACACCCGCGATTCGATAGCGATTGCCGATTACAAATGGTGAATGAGATCGCTTGAAAAAAATTAGACACGCGAGATGGACACAGAAAGAAGATTACGTTTCGGAAAAGAACATTGTTAGAATAAATTTTTTGCTTTTCAAGTTTCTCGGCGAGAATTAAAAAAGAATACCGGCGGAAGAACGTCATCACGGACACGTTTCTCTCTTTCATCATCATCAGCGGATTGAAAACCCCCGCACGTCCTATCGCCTCTGCTTCCTACTTTTTGAAACGTCGTGCTGCCGTCACAGGACACGTTGAGAGCAACAACAAGATTGCTCTCGCGATTGTCCGAGACGCGTGGGAGTTGCGCTCCATTCGCGTCCCTTTGAAACAAAGGCCCGAGGAGAGCGACTCCGGTCTTTTTGACCAGAGTCTGTACTACTTTTTTTTCTATTGTGCGCGAGCGGATTAAAAAAAAAAAATATCTCGAAAAGATCGATATTTTTTAAATCTCCGTAACTTTTTTTTGTAACTTTATATCTGAAACAAAACGTTGCCCAAAAAATATCAGAATCAATACGTACACACATATTAATGATCACAAAACTGTGACAGATAATTATTTTGAGCTATGAAAAATTTTAATAAACAATGAACGTTTATCGACGAATATTCGTTTTGAATTAAGAATAAGAGCACTTTTGTTTCGAACGCCGTTCACACGATTGCGGACATTCAAATTTCCCCGTTTTCACGTTACACGTGAAAAAAAAGTTGGATGACCGGTATCGAGATCACTCTGCGAATGTGTGTGCGAACACACGGCGGCGCGATCAACCCGGTTCGATCTGACGCTCGAGCGAGCCTCTATCGCGTATTTTCTCCTTCGCTTGCCGCGCTTACAACGCGGTGCTTTCACTTTTACGAGTCGAGAGAGCAGAGAAGTGGATAGGCGCCGGCGCGATAATGGGCGTACCTTACCCGCGCGATTGTCGATTTTTGATAAGTGAAATTTCGGACAATCGTTTGAGTGGCTACTCGAAAATCGATAGAACACGTGTAGATGTTGCAATCACTTCTGTGTGACCCATTCGAGCACCACCGAGAAGAGAATTGAGAAAGACTTGGAAAGGAAACAAGAATGAAAGTTCTCTCGCTTCGGATGCCGCGGCAAATAATGAATGAAATTATAATGTAGCTTTACGTCCCGATGAAAGTCGTCGCTGTTTTTTTAAAAATTATCATCATTATTTCTCTCACACATGTCCGCTTCGTGTCGTTAAATTATTATTCAAACTATAGTACGCGTGTTTTTTAACACAGGGAAGCCGATAATAATGTTATTAATTTTTTCTGATTATTATACGCGCGCACAGAGCAAAGTACAGCGCGCAATAAAAATAATATACACGACATGTACTTCCCCGAGATGTGTCCTCGAACATCAAAAGAATTCTTCACGCAAGACTTGCGCAAAAAATGTTTGCGAGTGCAAACAAACAGTTTTGCACTTCGCACGCGACGCAATAATAATCCTCGCAAGGGAATGCAGACGCGGAATTAGATTCTCACGATGTGGTCTCATGCGCCAGGAAATTGATAAAATCATAATCCCGACTCGTAATCCCGACGTGTGTGAATGATACGCGTCTGACATTGCGCGTTAAAACCGCTGCTCGACAATCTCGTTGAGTCGTTATACTTTGTTTTGCGTCTTATCTCATCAACTTTATCGGACGAGACATCGCCATTACGTACGTAAGCGGAAAAACCTCGAATATATTTTCAAGTATAATATCTTTATTCGTCGTTATAATAATCCAGGCTCTTTAATTAACATAAAAGGATGCAATTATTGCACGATAACAAGACACACGGGGCTTAATTGCGTTATTTATTTTTAATTGGATAACGTGGCACGTGATTTGTCGCAAATACTAAAACTAATGAGTATTATTTACTTCAAAGTAATTATGAGAATAATTATGAGACGGTTTTTCTCTCGAAACGCATACAAGATAAAATATTTATAAAACATGGAATTGTAAAAATATACTAAATGTTTAAGTAAAACTATATTTAGTTTAGTTTTTAATTTAAACTATATTGTTCCGACGTGTAGTAATAAATCTACTAAAACAATAGAACAAAAACAAATGATAGTCGCATTTGTTCAAAAAATACACTTCTTAATTTTGTCACTCAAAAAAAAATCTGTAAAGTGAAGCGGATGTAAACAATACATGAAATAATATTTAAAAACCTACAGTCGCGCTGTTGTGTCGTGCGCGGAAACAATATATAACATCGATGTGAAGTAACAAAAAACCACGAAGAGTGTCAATATTATAAATAGAAAATTACACTGTTAGACAGAACTTGAAAAATATCTGAGTAAAAGTCACGTTAGCAATTATCTCGGTGAGTTAAGCAAGACTTACGACAAGCGGCAGGACGGAGGCGAGTCTCCGCCGCATTATCTTGGCCGGAGACTTCAACGCCAGGTACGAGCGACCACCCGACCACCACAACTGAGAGTTCCGAATCTCGTGCGAATACACGCGGGCGATCTCGTCACGTTTAATCGTGCTCGATCACTGATCGAAATGAAGCCTACCGAGCCGAAGTGGACGGATCGTACTTGCGCGGCCTACACGTGAAGCGAGCCAAGGCTCCGTAGTTGGCAGGGTATAGGCCAAACCCACGCGAGTTTCTTTTACAGACGTCGCAATTTGATCATTGTACACAGACAATTTCGATGATAAACAATCAAACACTTATTTCGACGTACACAACCTTCGGTCACGCGATCACGGCAAATCTCAGACGAATTCCATCAGACCCATTCGCGTGCGCGATGTATCTTTCTTAAACAAATCCGCGGCAAACGCCGATCTCGCGCGTTTATACGCGAGCGGTGACGCAAGTGATCGGGAATTCAACAAAGTCAGAATTTCTTTGTGTAGAATTTCTTATTACGTAGAAAGAGAGCGCGTGTATGTGGTAGATATATTTCAAATTTATTTTTTATTTTAACGACTAACATCTGTATTGTTTTTGCTCTATTTGTTTTTAGGCAGACAAGTCGGAGAAATATAGCTTCACTTGAACATTCGGTTTGTTTTTAAATTCTACAACAGAATGAGAAAGTTCGAAATTCCATTCAATCGACGTAGATCGAGCGATCTCTGAGATGTATTCCCAGCATCTAAACAGCAGTATGAAATGTTTTTTGAAACGCCGGAAATATTTCCTGCGCATTGCGCATGAACGCGAAATTGCAGGGCGGGAAAATGTGGCATAATAATCGCTTTCGCGATCGCTTCGGCGATGAACGCAACGTCGTGAACAACGCTATGTATGTAAACGTCGATCAATAACCGGAATATTAAAAAAAAAGTCAAAGGTATAATTTACAAGTTTATAATAAATTCCTGGTTGCTGACTGTTCGTCAACACGATGTGATCGGGGGAAAAACAAAACATGGAGAATAAAAATACAAGAAAGAATTATCGTTTCACATGCTCTTTCTGTATTTTTTTAATATATGTTTTCTGCAAAACTGTATAAAACATCTGTAAAAAATTGCTCGTTGATTTTCTATTCAACTGTTCGTACATTACGTATTCGGCGAAAGAATGGCGTTACAAATGCGACGAAATAATGGAGAGATCCTTTTCTAACTTCTTTTTGTCGTACAAGCGCGTGTGAGAATGTTGCCAAAGCGCCGCGGGATTTCAGCAATTTTGGCGGTAATTTATGCAGCAAACGGATTTGTACCGCGACTGTTACGGACGGATGGAACGGAATATTTGTGTCGTGGCAAAACCGCCCACCTTTGTCGGATGAAACTAGATCTAGACTGCCCTCCACTCGTACGTATGTACAACATGACGTAATTGCCGGATTTAAAGACTTCGCACCGTTACCGTACGCGCAATGTACACACGGAACTTATATACGACCGATATAAAAGTGATGTGGGCGCGCGAAGTCTTTTATCGGCCTCGAAGACGCCTGCATATATGTTCGCATCAACGGACGTTCACCCGGGATCGATGACCGAGTCATCATAGACAAAGTCATAGGAAATTTTTGTCAGGATATCAACGGAAGACTCTATAATGGGGGACGCGATATTGCGCGCCATTACGATTTATTCTCCGTATTTATTCCCGACGCAAAGTTTCAACTTCGCGTAAGAGATACTCAAGTACTTATGCAAATTAACACTGCGGGGGTGTAAATTTCAACTTTACAAAGTTTTGAAGTTTGTAAGTTTGCGTTAACTTTTAATACGTAATAACCGTAAACTTTCTTCTGTGTAAATAGTTAAGTAATATTGTTTTATAAGATCCAGTTAACTTGTTTTTAACGTAAATATATAAAAAAACATCGATTTTTTTCATTTTAGATAATGTAATTACAAAAGCCGTTTATTTTATAACTACGTAAAAACATGTTAAAAATATTCTCATTCAATATAAGTCAATTATTGCGATATCTCTTCTGTACCAAAGAGTTGTTGTGTGTTCCGCTCTATTGAACACAATCGCACAATCTTCATCGAGGAACAAAGCTGTCATTCGAAACGAAAAAGGTTCGTACGTCAATAGTATCGCCTATACTATAATAATAAAAAAAACATATTGTTTGCTTTATCACTTCGCTCGCAAAGAATTTCTCAATATATAGTCAATGAAAGGAAGAGATGATACAGCTAAAGGATATTCCATTTCAGATCGATTCTTTTGATAAATTGAAGCTTTTGAAGCAAAAAATAAAAGAAACAAATAAATGTAATGTGAACGTATTTTATTAAAATAATAAAAAATATTATAACAATTTTTCTTTTTTTTTTTTTAAACGATTTTCCTTCGGAAAATAACTGCTACCGTCAGCAAGTAAATCTCGATGGAGCCGATGATTACATCACCCGTTACTCCGTACTTCAAACAACTCAATGCCGGACTCCGTGTTGCCTTCACTTTGGCCTTGCTCGCTTTTCGCGCTTACCTAGACCGTTGAGAAGAAAAGCAGAGAGAGAGAGAGAGAGAGAGAGTAAGAAAGAAACCTCGCAATTATGCGAATACCCACACATCACTTTTTAAGTAAACATAACTATTCCTCACGGCCAACAAAACAGCATCATCTACGCTTACAGATCGTATGTGTGTGAGTTTTGTAAAATTCTCTCTCTCTCTCTCTCTCTTTTTCTTTTTCTCCTTTCATTCCCATTCTAGTAACGATCTAACGTATTGAAACATATTACAAAGTTATTTCCCTTCTGCGCATTCCCTTGTGCGATCGTAAAGCAAGTGAAAAGGAAAAGTAAACTTTAGTGAACAAAATTCTTTCACTTTCGCACTCATTTTATTTTAGCGGCGTTCACTTTGAAGTTTGACCGTGTATGTTTTATTTTTGGATGCTTGAGAACGCATTTTTGATACAGTTTGCTGCAAGCAAGGTGCGCTTAAAGGTAAAGGTATCGATACGTTAAAGGTAATCATCTTTTCCCATCACCAACCTCTTTTAAGAGAAAGTATACAATCGCGATTGGAACCTACATATAGTACCACGCAAGCCCGTTAATTGCGAGGATTATATTAAGAACTGAAACAAACAAGGGCAACTTTATATCAAATATAAAATATACATAAACATTATATATATTGTTTTGTTCTAATATATATACAGCATATAAGTAATCATTGAATAAGTAGAAAAGTTATAATGTAGTTATTTATTTGCACGTTCACTTGTAGAAAGCAACGTGTGCACAGCGTGTACTTTCAAGAAATAAACTATCGCGAACAGTCACGAGACAATTGTGTTTAGTTATAATTAAAACGCAGAGATACTAAATCAATTTTAAAATGTTGTTTTCTTACCTATTTTTTATATTCTTACCTCACGTTACACACAGAAGGTTGTGGAATTAAATGTTTTTTTGTTTTTTATTATAACAGTTATTTATATTTTCCATAAGTGTTATAAAATAATATAATATGTGTTATAAAATCAAGTAAAATAATTTAATATTTAAAATTTTAAATGTCTTGTTACACTTATAATTAATATAAAAATTAAAATAAATAAAAATAAAAATATATATATAAATCAAACCAAAATTAAAACCATTTTCATCTCTGTAGTACATTATATATGTACGTACACGTTTTTATTAAAAATAATTTTATTAACTTATATGTGATGTGGCGGTCCAACTACCACAGCGCCTGCATGTAGACACTGCTATCGAGAGCTGTGTATCATGACAAGTCCTTCATACCGGCGCAGTAAACACGTTCGTTATCGAAGACACCCTTACTATACTAATATCTACATACATATTTAAAACGTGTTAGAATATTTTTTATCTATTTAAATATTCTTAACTATTTAAAACAAATATTATTCGTTGAGTTGATGTGAGACAGTTGTCAAAAATGTAGTGAGATTCTCGTCAGGTTCCAAGTCTAAAAGTCGACAGGAATGGTCCCATAACTTTTTAGCCACTGTGAAGTTCATTGCCTTCGAAAACGGAGTGACAGCTTTACATTCTCTAGTAAAAAAGAATGTAAAGTTAATATAACAATACAATATATTATATATAGTGTGCATATAAGAAGTAATGCATATAAAATTTATATCATTGCGTATTTAAAAAAACTTTATGTCTTAAAAAAGTACGAGAGATGGAAACTCCCTAATTTATACGAGGCAAATTTTGTATGGTTTTTATATATTTTGCATACTTACGTGTAATAAAGACCAGTCTCATTCGCCGTGTTCTCACTAATTGCGCAATATATCGTTGTTTGCGCTCCTTGCATGGGGTTCTTAATAAATGGTAACATGACATACCGAAAGAACAACGTTGCGCCTGGAATTATTGTTTTATTGAAAGACCGACCTAATTCGGTTCTCACAACACCAGGATGCAAGGAATATACGTTTATTCCGTCAATATTAGCTTCTAAAAATAAAAAAAAACATATATATGTGTATATATATATATATATATATATATAACACTATTTGAACAAATGTGTACAACGTGTTTTTGAAAGAGAACAGGATAGAAATTTTTTGTTAAATAATAAAGAGATGTAAATGTGAACATTTTTTGTCAACAAACATGGAATCTCCAACGCAATATGCAACATTGTTGCGATTTTTTTAATAAACTGAAACATTTCGGAAACCTTCATTTTGAGGAAAAATGAACATGTTTTTGATATTTATTGAAATGTAATGAGACTGCTACTTTTTGGAACAAAGAGTTTGAAGAAAGCCAGCAATGTTTTTTTTTCGATTTGCATGCGTCGCTGCGATAATGATTGTGTTTTAATAAATTAACAGTTCTAAGCTTTCTTTTGTAAACATATATTTTGTCGTATAATATCTATTGTTTTGTCACTTTTTTAACAGCATTTTTAGTAGCTTCTGTGAGATGTGATCAAATGAATTGTTCTCTCTGACAGAATGTTTTGCCAATTCAATAAATACTGTATGCGTGTGAACTGCGTTCGAAAAGTTGAAAATGTCTGAGAGGCACTTCGCGCGCTATATTCTTGTGTATGATAAGTTGCCTACTTTCCAGGCGTAAAATCTTTTGTGTCCATACAAGTGGTACAAATTTTCAAACAGAAAGAAAAATTGATCAATTCTAATGCAAACGCAAAAAAAAAAAAAATAAATAATTCGCCAACGCTATTGATTAATTATCTCCTCATTCGAGATCTCAGTTCAATTTCTAATAAACGCAAACAATTTATTTTAACAATCTGTTTATTCACTTACATACATCTTAGTTAGTTTTTTACTGCCGAATAAAATTGTTTTGGTAATAATTTTACTATTTGAAGTCGTTTGTGCTCGATTCAACATCTTACCTTTTAATCGGCGTGCAAGTTCCTTAGTAAACAATATGTTAGCCAATTTGCTTTGCCCGTATGCGCGTAAAGGGCGCGTTAATTTGAAGAAGTCTTTCATGTTTAGGTCATTGAAATGTATGTTACCAACTGCAATAATAATAATCATATTATTTTGTTACAATCTTCGTGCAATTGTTATTAACTCAGATACATGTATTAACAAAATATTTGAAAATAAAAAAAAAGAGAAAAAATATCTTGTTTTAATGACCGCAGAAGGAAACTTCTGAAGACACTTATAGACTTACAGTAATGAGCCAACGATGATACATTGACTATTCTGCAACCAGGAGCGGACAATTGGATTTTTGGTAGCAACAACATCGTTAGAAGAAAATGTCCCAAGTAATTTGATTGAAATTGCAGCTCGAATCCATCCTTGGTTATTTCATAAGGAGGCATCATTACACCGGCGTTATTGATCAGCAAGTGAATAGCCGGTTCTTTCGATAGTATACTCTTGGCGCATTCTCTTATACTTTTCAGGGAGCACAGATCCAACGGGTATATTTCAAGTTCGCCTAGCTTCTCCGCGAACTGTTTATTCTGTCTGCCGTTGCTGATGTAATAAATAAAATTGAAAGAAAAAACAACACGCTAGTTCTACACAATTAAATTAAAAAAAAAAAAAAACAAAGAAATAGTCAAAATAAAAAAGAGAATAAAAACTTATAAAACAAAACTTTTCGGAATATTATTATTATTAAATAAACAGTAATGATAAGTGTGAAGTAAACGTTTCCGATAGCCAAATGATAGCAGTATACACGCAGACTTAATCAGCACTTTGCAGCAGATTCCACTCAGCTATGTTATCATAGTGAGTGAATTATGTAGGCACGATACGTAAAGAAAACAACACAGCAAAGATATAGAAATAAATGAAGAATGAAATGACAATATCACGTTATGCTTCAAATCTGCTATATTGTTTGAGCAAGTTCAGCTTGATACAATAATATTTGCATCACGGCATGGCACATTTATTCTCTTTTTTTTCTGTTTTTCTGTCGACACCAGTTGAAATAACAGATTATGTTTGAAAGCTACCATTGTACTGGCATAATGTATTATTGCAGACTTTGCAAAATATAATAACTCAGTTTTGATTATCTGGGGTGTTTAATCTTTAGACCGCCAGCATGACTGCTTTTTATTGGAACGATAATATTATACCGTATTTTAGAGAAGAGTCTTCTTTTATCTGACTTAATTTGTGAGAAAAATATTTAAAAAATCTGAATATGTTGTTAAATAATGATGTAGTTTAGCTTTCGAATTTGCCGTAATCTAAAGGTACAAAATTTATTTAAACATGATTAGCTTAGTAATAATGCTACTGTATTGAAAGACTTTTGCAATTCGACTTCAAAAACGTAATCAGCGATATAAAAAATCTTAAGAGAAACACCATTTTTCAAAATTTGAAAATTTGATACTTTTCACTTCCGTTCTCAGCCGGCCTGACGCCCCGAGCCAGATGAAACTTGGGGCACTCCACGCAATATAAGAAAAACTCAATTTATATACAAATATGGCGGAAAATACCAAATTTTTAATAAAAAAATGTCGGCAAAGTAAAACAAGTTTATATTCTTTTTGTCTTTATGTATTTACGTATTTTATAAATTTATTTTGTTTTTACACATAAATAATGACTACTATTTTTATCCTATATCGGTATAATTAGCATATTATAAATATTTTAACAATTATTTGATTTTTGTAAAATTTATGTGCTGTCTCGTTTTACGTATGCAAGGTTTTGCAAAAAAATAAGCAAAATAAAATAATACAAGTTAATATACGAGGTGTATATTTAGTTTAAGGAAAACGAAATAAAATCAAACTTGTGTAAGCAAGAACACAGAAGTATGTGAAATTCTTTTAAGACTTGTTTATTTTATTGTAATAGACACACACTTCTAATCGTGTTCTTGCTCACACAGGCCTGACCTTATTTCGTTTTCTCTGACGATTTTTTGAGTATTGTCAACTACAGTTTTTGTTAGTTTCTTTAACTTTTTGTATTTAGTTTATATATTGAGTACGATATTACAATATTATTATACTAATATTGTAATAATATTGTAATATCGTACTAAACACATTATCGTATCAAACGTTTCGATCAAAACTACACTTACACCTGATATACTGAGTCGTACTACCTTTTCCCATTTATCAAAAGAATAAATATATATGCGCAACTGACACAGTTCTTTTGCATTATTTCAATGTCAAACAGTTTGTATAACTCTATTAGTTACATAACTACTAGTTATATAACAAATCACAAAATTATTTATAATAAGATTTAAAATAAAGAAAAAAATAAACTATCAATGTAAATACAGCTAATATATATATATATATATATATGTTATTATACTATTTTATGATTAGAGAGAAGCAATTATTTGTTTTACATAAGACTTAAGTCAAGGTATATTTTTTATTATAACTGCGTCATCAATATATATAGACTTTAAATGTTCATTAATATTGTAAAAAATTGTATAATATACAAGGTCTTGGTATATTTTTTATTGATAGGTAATTAGATGATTTTACATATAAATTGCAAACTACTTTATATTGCGAAGTGTCCTCATTTTCTAATACTATGTTTTTTCTAATTGTCACGTCACTTGTAAAATCAAAGTGTAAAGCATTTATCTTATTGAAAATCTTTTATATTGCAAATTATCAAGAGGCACGCGGTAATACCTCGCGTTAAGTTCGCGCTCAAAAAGACCGGATCATGACTTATTCACGCAAGTCAGTTTAACCGAGTTCAACGATTTTTATATATCAACAATGACTGAATAGTTTATATACCTATCCAAACAAAAAGATCGAAACGTTTGACATTTCTTTGGTATTTAATAAAAAATCACGCGAACACGAATATTTTGTGTTTTTTAGCTCGCATCTGTTCAAACATCCTGTTTTTTATCATCTCCAGAGCTTATTCAATTGTTAATTGTAATACATATGTAATTATAATATATATGTACCTTTCTATAATATATATTTACCTTGAAAATGGATTATTTTTTATGTCTTCTAATGCCATCTTTGCTTTTTCAACATTCCGACAAGCCAGAAGCACTCTCGCACCTGAACAATGTGTTCATATAAAAATATTATTATTTTGCTTATTTATATATCGTTTGCATTTTTATTTATAATTACAAAATCAGGTTCAGATCAGACGCAACATTGTTGATATATTGGCAACACATGTCATCTTATTTTTTTTTATGACACACGAAATGTTTTTTACTCTCTTACAAGTCTAAATCAGATTTAATTGTTTGTCATGCTTAGTATGCAAGTGTTTTGAACAAATACTTGAATTGTTGAACAATTGTTAAGTCAGGGACAAATTTCTCATTTGTGTGATGAATCGACGTTCTTAGAGCACATATGCATCAATGTTTTACACAGGCAACAAAAAAGGCAGTTTTAGCAAAACAACTCTTACGGAAAAAACGTTCAACTATTAATCGTACGAAATCACGATCAACTTGACCGTAAATTTTCAATATTCAGCGTTATACGTTCACTTTTGAGCGTTTTACGGTCAAATTGAACGTGATTTTCAAGTTGAACAATATTTTCTAGTATTTTTTCTAGATTTTTGATGACGAAGCTTCGACCAATCTTAAAAAATAAGAGACTTCTTGCAAAACACAGAAACTCGATACTTGTTCGTTTATCAAAGAGTATTTTGCAGTTACGCTACTTCATATCTGAATTGAAGATTGAATAATCTGTTGTTTGCACCAAGAGAGAAAGCAGAGGATTGCGCGGAATCTTTTTTACGAGTTCGATTGCGCTTGTTAGTTTAATGATTATTATTATTTTTTGTGAACAGTATAGTTTTTTTAATTTTATTTTATTGATGATGGAAACTCTATGTTTGTAGATTCAAATACTTTTACATAACGCAGTTATGTTTGAGCTGAGCAAACTGATAGGTTTAGTTAGACGCGCAGAATGTTGCAGTTAGAGATGCGAAACGTGGACAATCGCTATTAAAAATTTATTGCATCGGCAAAAAAGATACAGTTATATTCGAACACTCTTACATAACTACGTTAAATTTATTGCATCGGCAAAATAAAGCAAAATATTATTATATAATTATGTAAAAATATTCGGATGCAGTAATTTAATTTTTTTTTTGCCGATGCGATAATTTTTTAGTAGTGATTGTCTACGTTTTTTGCGTCTAACTCAATTTAATATTTTGCTCAGCTCGAACAAAATTGATTAACATGCATTATTTTTCATGACTCGAGATTTTGTATTGCAACGCGTCTTGGGGATAATATTGTTCGTTTTCTCCGATTCTCTCTCAGAGTGTTGATTTATATATAAGAGACTCATAGGTCGAATTTAAACAGCGAAACAGCAAACATACATTTCATCTGTCGACAGGAGAAGACTGTCCCGTACGACCTGTTGTGTTCTGTGTTTTCTAGATATAAATTCACAAATTGTTTTCCACCGAATATTAATACGCAAAAACAATCTCTTGTTTATTACACAGTATCACCGTGAGATAAAACCATGCGATAAATAATATACGTGATAATCTCTTGTTTATTACACAGTATCATCGTGAGATAAAACCGTGAGATAAATAATATACGTGATAATGGTTTTTAAATTTGAATCGCGTTACCGTTTTATATTGACGTTTTGCAGAAATTTATTAGCTTGATGAATATCAAGCTGCTTCGAACCGATGAACCGAGACGTTTACGAAATGTCGATATATAAAATTTGACGCGGCTCTAATTCGAAAATCATAATTGTAATAATATTCTTACCTCTTCTGTAAAATTCTCTGGCGGTTTCTTTGCCAATTCCGGTATTTGCACCTGTTATCACTGCGATTTTACCATCGAGACGTGCTGTGCTGGTGCACGATTTGTGCCACATTTTCGATGTTCTTTGCCAGTATCACGGATAATTAAGCTTAGAAACAAAACTCCGCGCGATTTTCTAAGAAACTGTACTTCTGCGCAACTCTACGTATGCGTTCTGTACTATGTAATTATAAAAAAACACTTGTGTTTTTTGCTTCACTTCATCGACCATGAAACGTCCATTCCAATAGAGATTGTATAAAAAATATTTCTTCTGTTTCTTCTATATTCTTGCAATGTAAAACAAAATGCTAAATAGTCACTTCGTTTAAAATAGAATCGTAACTGGTTGTTCGCGAAGAAGACGGAGAGAATTTAAACTCTCCGACTACAAAAAAAAAAAAAAACGTTTTCAGCGCCACCTAGATCATCAACAAAAACAAACAAATTAAAATACCAGACAAATTAATCTACTCCTTACTTCATCAGTAAAAAATAAAAAAGAACTCCCGCCCGAATAAATGTCGCCCCAGCAGTTTTGCTAATTGGGAAGCATCTTAAGTGTACATATGTATATTAGTTTAACACATATATATAACACATATAATGTGTAATATTAAATATGTGTATTGAAATCACTTTTATCAAATTTTTTGCTATTTACAATTGAAAAACGTTTTATCTATATTATTTCAGAGTTAAGCAAATTTAATGGAATTAATGGTATTATATCACTATTTACACACACAGTAAATGACGGAATATCTGTGAATAACGTTTACAAACTGTTATACAAAATTTATTTATGAATTAAAAACACGATATCATTTTGATTTCTTCGAATTCATATATATCTTTTCTACGAGTTTTTTTTCATTAAAAATTGTTATGTTAAATCGAGACACTGTCTGCGCAGATATAGCATAAGTAAAATCCGTTGGAAAATATGGCGTAAATTCCGTTTGAATGCAGCGACTAAGGCCTTGTTTATGCGGGTAATAACTGTTAACTTGTGCCTGAACTGGTAAAGTTCAACTATAGGATTTCAAAGCTTCTGTTTATACGAAATTGCCGAATGCGTATAAACAGAAATATAAAAATCTTACAGTTGAACTTTACCGGAATAAGTTAACAGTTATTGCCTGCATAAACAAGGTCAAGCTGCATTCCAGAGAAGCATTGCATTCAAGAAAAAATAATCTTTTCTACTGTTACTCACATATACACACACAACTGTCGAGTTTACTGATTGCGGCTAATTCCTCCACATAAAATTTACACGTGATGTATTCAGAACTTATGTCTCTGCTGTCTACTCAACACTAGTGTGATATGAAATGCTCTGTGAAAAGCGTTTGATTTTCACAAGTTCTACTTTTACAAGTGCATTTATTGTAAAAAAAAATTGTGAAAGTTGCTGTATTTCATGGAATAGATTGCTTTGTGCCAATTGAACGTGATTGGCTCTTACTTGTAGAACCAACAAATCAACGTCGAGTTGAGGAGTCGACGATTCAATAAAACAAGCTGCTATGCAATTGTGTAAGACTCTTTGCTGAACACAATCTTATGCGGCAACTGCATCTAAAGGCTCAACCGCTCATTAAGCTGCTACATAGTAATTGAATATAACTGGTACTTTAATTTAACTAATCATACTTAATCGTTGAGTGAGCGGTTGTGCCTTCTAGATGCAGCTAACGACTTTTTAATGTTAGAAGAATGAATTGAAAAAAATTTCAAGATTTAGATTTGCAAATTTATTAAATAAAATAAAAAACCTAAAGTGAAATAAGCTGCAAAAATAAAACGGTTTTTTTCATATTATATGGATAGAGAAAAAATAAAAATTACTAGGAATAAGCTCTGAACAAAAGTCATATCTATATACATATGAGAAGATGCAATAAAAGAAATAAACAAAAACATTAAAATTTATTAAATGTTTGATAGAAAAATACATTAGTACGAACGCTTAATTTAATTACAAAAATTTTTAACATAAAACACACAAATATCAATACTACGTTACATTACGTAATTTACAACAACTTTGTAATTTAATTTTATCTTATTCTACTTGCTTTAGATTTTTTGTTAATTCTACTTGATTCTACTTTTTCTAGATAATCAATTAGATAAAAAAACAAATGTGTGTGTCGTATGTATAACTGATACATATACCTCAAGGCAAATTGTGAAAATATCGCACAAAAATGGCATCATAAATGACGACGATTTTGTAATGATAGCACTAAGATGATTCGCAACAGTTTTGTCAAAATAAAATTTTGTAAATATTTGTCAAAAAGTGGAAAAGAGTTGTTATGCATTTTCATAAGTATATACATGAATTAAGTTGATTTCTTCATATTTAAAAACTTATTAATATATCAAATAAAGAACCTGACAGAATAAAAAACTTGACAGTATCTAATATAAAGTATCTCATATTAAGAACAGCTGCGTATCTCTCATATTAGGGAATATAAAATTGTAGAAAGTTTAAGTTTATATCAACAAAGTATGCCATAAATTGACAAAACTACATGATAAATCACTTATAGTGCATGTGTACATTTGAGTGAATTGAAATAACAGTGAAGCCTATGACATAAAAGTGTTAAATATCAATTTTACTGTTATAATGATTTTTTTTCTTCTCCGCGCGTACACGACAATTCCCTCGCAGAAACTACGTCGTCTTCAACAATAAGCGACACTAACAAAAGATTTGATGTTTTTGTGTAAGTAATGTGTTAAAAATACGCAGTTATGAATTTGTAGCCGTTTACATATAAGAAATAACTCGCTATCTCATATTAGGCGACCATCTCATAATAGGCATCTTTACCCTATTTGGAAATTAATTTTGCAAACAGTTACAAATATTTTATATATAATAAAAGATCAATATTATATCTATTTCTCAAAATATATCTACATAATTGCAAATCAGAATTTTCATATAAGATGTTGTCACATAATTTCACAAATGTTTTCCTATCGAGGTATAAGATAAATATATGTAAATTACATTTGTATGTGTAAATCTTTAATTAAAATAAATTTAATAAGATGTTAGAGAGTCTTGAAAGTAATTTTTACGATAATCATAATTCGCAAGAACATATCTGCTATCGCAAAACTTATGTTAAGTAGATAATTTCCATTTCATAATTACATAAAGCATATTATGCTCGTTATTATGTGTGTCCGGTAGTATGAGAAACAAAAAAATAGATTACTTCGTAAATTTACGCATAACGATCGTTAATGATGGCTAATTTGTCATCAAGTTCCAAATGCAGAAGCCGGCAGGTTTTATCCCATAATTCTTTGGCAATTTTGTCATCCCGTGCTCGCCACTGTGGAGTCGCAACATGACATTCTCTGTAAAAAAACAATGAATATATAAAACACCGTAATGTGTATGTAATCAAAACTTTTCTTACTTGTAATACAAGCCAGTTTCGTTAGCCACTTTTTCATCCACTGCACAATGTATTATCGTTTGTGCGCCTTGTTCGGAATTTTTCCACAATGGCCGCAGAATCCAGCGAAAACCAAAATTTGCGCCATAAAAAAATGCCGAATCAAAATATTTAGTTAGCTCTGTTGTTACAATACCAGGATGCAAAGAATATACGTTTACGCCACTAATGTTTGCTTCTGAAAACAAAAAATATTTTATTGTAATAATGTTGTGTTAGCGTATAAAAATTCTCCCGTTGCTCGCGTGAAGAAAAAAATTGATAAGACAGATAGTCAGACAATATGTAAATAAACAAAATAAGTATTTCACAATTATGTACTTTTTTTTAAGTTTTTTCGATATACAATATATAATATTTAGTTATTCTTTTTCAGTTTTACGTACCTTTTAAACGACGAGCAAGTTCTCTGGTAAACAATACGTTTGCCAATTTACTTTGCGTGTAACCTCTCCATGGAGTATATGACTTCTCCAAATTCAAATCGTCGTGTATAACACCAACTGCAATTCAATAGCAACAGCTTACAGAAACTTAATTAATAATAATTTTTCAATTTTTTTACTATTTTTTAGCAATAATATTGTTTTTTTTTTTATAAAAAACATTTTTCGCATATTTCAGTTCGTATTTCGTACGGTCAAGTAGTAGTGTTTATGCAACAAAATTTAACAAGCTTACGTACACTGATGAAGAATAGACGACACATTAACTATCCTAGAATTAGGACCAGATAATTGCAGTTTCGGTAACAGCAAGAGCGTCAGAAGAAAATGGCCAAGATGATTCGTTTGTAGTTGCAGATCATTTCCATCCACCGTTTTTTCTTGCGGACACAACATCACACCGGCGTTGTTTATCAACACATTTATGACCGGTTCTTTTGCCAATAAATTCGTGGCGCATTCTTTTACACTGTTTAAACTGCTAAGATCCAGATGATATATCACAAGCTCGCCCGGATCTCCCTGAAACTGTTCTTCGTTCGATCTGAAATAATTTCTTATCTTTACCACACAGTTTATTTCTTATTTTTATTACATATCCTATAAGCAAACAATATTCTTGGAATATCCTAGAATATTCTATGAATATTAATAGTACGTTTAATATTCTAAAAATGCGCTCAGAATATTACTTAATATGAAATAATATTATGCGCTTATAAGGTATCATTTGGCTATTTTAAGACTCAATGAAGATAATTTGCAGATAATTGCGGATTGTGTAATTTTAATAAGTTATAAGACATTTGATTTCTTATGAATAATTCTCATCGAAATTAATGACTTCTCCGATGACTAAAGCAATGTGTAAGTTTTTATTAAACATTTAAAATATTGAACTTTAATATCGTTTCTTTAATTTTGTTATTGGCAAGAAATTTCAGTTTAGTTATTTGAAAATATTTATTTATTTTGAATATTTCCACCAATGTTGTCTTTAGCATAAAAATTCTCGAAGTTTATTTTAATAATGTCGCGTATAGTTTTGTTTTATTTATTTACCTTGAGGGTGGATTAGCTTTTATATCTTCAACCGCAGCTTTTGCCTTCTCTAGATTTCGACATGCCAAAATCACTCTAGCACCTAAATAAAAATATTACTTTTACGATTGTCATTAAAAAATTTTATAAATAAAATATATATTGTGTGTAAATAATTAAATAGTTAATTATATTTACCATATATATCTACAAAAAAGTATTTGACATTTAAATAGAAACTACTTTAGTAATACGTAATCTAGTAATACTCTAGTAATACGTAATTAGTAATCACCTTCTTACGTATGTTCATTAATTACAAAATTAAATGATTTCAAAAAACAAGTCAAAAGTAAGACAAAACAAGCGCGAGAGAAAAATGACGACATGTGTGTCTGTAATACTCAGATAATCAGATATTATACTATTCGTAATAAAAACATCGGTGTAAAGTAATTGAATTTGTTCTCGTTTGCATGTTTACCAGAATCATAGTACAATCGTAGTACATTTATTGATTTAGTAGAGACAGTAAGTAGCGTCTGTTCTTGTTTTTGAAAATTATCCCATAAAATTACCTCTTCTGTAGAGATTTCTAGCGGTCTCTTTTCCGAGTCCGGCATTTGATCCCGTTATCACTACGGTTCTACCTACGAGACGTACTTTACTCGTACACCAACTATGGAACAGCCACATGATTACTGACGTCTTGCGCGGCTTCGCGGAAGAACTGTAGAAAAAGAAGTGATTTTTAATCTGTATTTACTCCCCTCTCCCGCTAAAGAAAAAGTATCTAAATAAGTGTAACGCGTTTATACAAACGTTATCAACACACATAGGTATATCTTCGGCACGTTCAGATAACAAAACATTTCGAGATGTTCACCAAATATTCAAATAATTCGGCGTCAGATGTGACATGTATACCACACCATTTTAAGACATAAATTCAGACAAAGTCGTATTATAATTAAGTAACAAGCATGACAGTGGTGAAACTTTGCAAATTACGATAATTTATGAAGAAATTTGGGCTTTTAAGAGAGGAATTCCCAAAGGAAAAAATTCAGAGAGACGATAAATTAAAATGACAATTTAACAGTATTTATTTAGATACGTATGACAAATATTTTTCGAACAATGCGTTCCTCGCTGTGATGATCGAGCCACTTGATTTGCACGATACGTTCACAAATTTTAGTCGACATGAATAATGCAAAACAATTGTTTTATCATATATACACTAGTAACTGGTAAAATAAATGTTATATATATATATACCTTATTTGTTAAAAAAATTTTAAATAGATATTTAATTTTTATAGATAAATAACTTATTTAAAATAGTTATTAAATAAATAAGTTGAAACAATATATATCGGCGTTTAGCCGCTGAGATAAATCTTTTATCTCTCGCATCTCTCGCTTGATATCAACGAAACCGAATACAAGAGTTGTCTTGTTAAATAATTCTACGAAGACGCGTGACGATTACACGTAAATTTATCGCAAACAAGTTTGCGTATACGTCAAGATTTATAAACATTTAACACAACAATATTGGTTGCGTGAATGTTTCGACACTCACGTCATGTCCGTGCGCGGTCATGTTTTCTAAAAAGCAGCATCGAGAAGCAGTTTTATCCGAGTAGCATCAAATTTATGCCAACGGTTTCAGAACCGTTCATCGAATAAAGAGTGAGTAAAAGTGAGAGAAAAATGAGAGACGGAAAATGTGGCTGCGGCCGAGATCGAAATCTTTGCTTCGTATAGTCACTGCGAAACCTGTTTTCTGACGCACACGCACAAACACACGGTAGTCTATTAAATGTTTTTTTTCTTATATAACACACAATTAAGCTTGACATAAATCTCACTGGAATAAATTTTCTTTTTTGTGAACGATATAAAGCACGCTCAGATGTACTCGCGAGTGAAATACTTCGGTCAAGGTGGACCGATAAAGAAATTGTGTGTTCGATTTTGCTCAACCCGTTTGAGTATCATTGACAGAGACGGAAGCGAAGAACCCAAGCCCTTCGAGGAGATTCCCGGACCGAGATCTTTTCGTTTAATTGGCACGCTATACAAATATTTACCTTTTGGTAAGAGCGTCGTACTTGATTGTTATAGACAACGAAAATAAGACGTCGCGTCGTCGCAATAATCGCGGAGAAAGAAAAGTTAACTTTATGATAACTCATACTTAATTTCGACTTCTCTTTATTTTTGGTATTTTTGGTCATTTTTGTTTGTGTTGAATTAAAAGAGAGAAAGAGAGAAAATATTGGTTTTACATGTTTATTTATAAACTCGAGAAAAAAAGTCCTTCAGATGTCTTTCTAAGTCGTTAATTTACGTCTGAAAGACGTAAACAACATTTGGTTATTTATCAAGTAAATACTAAATTAGCAAGAAGACTGTCTGGCCTTGTAACGGCCAGAACAAGGTAAGGCGGTTACCTTGCTACGTGAGACATACTCATATACGTAAAAGATCGTCTTAATTTTATGTGTTCACATATTTGTAATCAAAATATCAGATTTATTCGTCCATTCACAGAGAATTTTTTCTCCCGCGAACAGTTTAAAAGCAAATGTTATTATTTTTAATAAACTCACACAAAACTCTTCACTTGACTGTATATCGCGCAGGTGAGTATAGCTTCAACAAGTTGCATGTGAACGGTATATTGAAACTAAGGCGTTTTGGGCCTCTGGTACGGGAAGAAATAGTGCCGGGAGTGCCGCTTGTTTGGGTTTTTCGACCCGAAGACATCGAGGCAATTTTCAAAGCCGAAGTGGGTCTGCATCCCGAGAGACGGTCGCACTTGGCTCTTTTGAAATATCGAAAAGACAGAAGCAGCATCTACAACAGCGGAGGGCTCTTGTGCACGTAAAGATTTCATAGTTTTTTCGATACTTATGTGTTGTACTGTTCTGTTCTGTTGTGTAACGCGTGTGTGTGAAATATGTTCTTCAAAAAGATCGAACTTTCAGAAACGGCACCGAATGGTGGAGAATAAGACGGGAGTTTCAGAAGGGTCTGAGCAAACCCCGCAATATCGCTAATTATTTGGAAGACACCGATGCTGTTGTACAAGAATTCGTACGTCTTTGCGCTCGAGAAAAAACCGACGATTTACAACCTCTGCTTTCTCGCCTTTTCTTAAATTGTAAATCTTCATTAAACTTCTCGAAGTTGCTTTTTGTATTTGTCGTACAGAAAGAACGATATAAATTAACGCAAGTTATCCTTATAAAAGATAAATACATAAAGATACATATAAATATACTTAAAAAATATATAAATATTGAAATTTTAGTTTTTTTTTTTATTCTATTTTTTTAGTAACATGTCTCGTCGCATTTGACGTGAAGATGCATAGCCTGTCGGACGAGGAGAGACATCCGCATTCGCGAAGTTCGAGACTCATGGAGGCGGCATTTATGTCCAATAGCGCGACATTGAAATTAGACAATGGTTTGAGGCTCTGGAGATTCTTCGACACTCCGTTGTATAGGAAATTATGTAAAGCGCAAAATTACATGGAAAAGTAAATTATCACAAAGCTCTAAATAATAAGAAAATCATATATGGAATATTAAGATCCCATACATTCACGGGAATTAAAAAATGTAACGTTATCATTACACAATTCTAATCCCGCTATTATTCTCTCACCAGAGTAGCGCTTCAATTGATCACAGAAAAAAGCAAAGACACGTCACGAAAGCAATCGCTTCTCGATGAATATCTGAAGAACGAGGCTTTGGATATTAAAGACATTGTGGGCATGGCGTGCGACATATTGCTCGCCGGAATGGATACCGTGAGTTTTTTCGAGCGCAAATAAATGAGAAACTTTCGTTCATTGTGTTTAATCGCGAACGACAAAGCAAAGCAAATTGTTCCATTTCAGACGACGTACAGTATGGGATTCGCTTTGTATCATCTCGGGAGAAATGTCGAAGCTCAGGAGAGGCTGAGATCGGAGGCCGCGACATTGTTGTCGGATCCCGCTTCCGCGATAACCACGGAAACTCTGAGAAACGCCAGTTACACGAAGGCCGTGATAAAAGAAACTTTTCGCATGAATCCAATTTCCGTTGGAATAGGTCGTATTTTACAAACGGATGTGATTCTCAGCGGATATCGCGTTCCCCGAGGAGTAAGTCACACACTTGAAGATATGCGTTACTTCGTTAAAAAAGAAACAGAGAGATGGTAGCGAGACTTTTTTTAGAAATCGTGAACTCGTTTCAGACTCCGGTCGTCACGCAAAACCAAGTGATTTGTCGACTCCCCGAGTTTTTCGACGAGCCGAACACGTTCAAACCGGAGAGATGGCTGCGCAATAGGAACGACCGGATGAACGGAACGAAGAAAAAGACTGTAAATCCGTACGTGTTATTGCCGTTTGGTCACGGACCGCGGTCGTGCATCGCCAGACGATTCGCCGAGCAAAACTTGCAGGTTCTCTTACTTCGGGTACGTAGTAGTTTTTTTTTTTTTTTTTACACAAACCATATATATATATATGCATCGTATCAAAATATAACAATGTACAGTCGCGTATAGATAATTTTTCAATATATCGTGTGTGCAGATATGCAGAGAACTGAGTTTTACATGGTGTGGAGGATCTCTCGAGCCAGTTTCATTGTTAATCAACAAACCCGACGGACCCATTAGAGTGAAGTTCGAAAAATTGCATGCGTAAAAGAGATAAAGGTTGAAATAGTTTTGATTGTTTGTTTTTTTTTTTTTCAGAAACTGTTTTTTTTTTATATCAGAAAACACTTCTTTATTAAACGATTTGAAAACAAAGTTGCTTCTTGATCGAATGTAATACCTAATCACAAGATTGTTGCGCTAACGTTTTTTTAAATTATCGGGCACGGAGATCGAACGTGGTTATTATTACGTGGTTTTAATTGTACGTCATGTATTTCGGCGTCGCGGAGAACTTGGCGTAAGACTTGATGACCTTATTGACTGCTTCGAGGAAGTCCTTCTCTGTGGCAACTTTGCGCCGCGCGCGAATAGCAAACATACCGGCTTCGGTGCACACAGATCGAATTTCGGCACCTGTGCTATTCGGACATAAACGAGCGAGCAGCTCAAATCTGATGTCTCGCTCGACGCTCATCGAACGAGCATGAATCTTGAAGATGTGGGTGCGTCCCTCAAGATCAGGCAGGCCAAACTCAATCTTCCTGTCCAGGCGTCCCGGTCGCATGAGAGCGGGATCCAGCGTGTCCGGTCTGTTTGTCGCCATTAAGACCTTTATATTACCTCGAGGGTCAAATCTGCGGTAAAAAAAGAAATCGGCTTGCGGTCATAAATCACAGACGACAGATCGGATAGTATTTTCGTAGTATAAACGCGAAATAGCTTACCCGTCTAATTGATTTATCAATTCCAGCATGGTACGTTGTACTTCGTTATCGCCGCCGGCACCATCGTCGAAGCGGGCGCCACCGATGGCGTCGATTTCGTCAAAAAAGATCAAACATGCTTTTTTACTTCGCGCCATCTCAAAAAGTTCTCTTACCATTCTAGCACCCTGTAGAAAAATTGAGTTGCAAACTGTCCAACATATTCATACCTTCACGTGACTTACTGACTTACCTCACCAACGTACTTCTGGACTAATTCTGAACCAATTACACGAATAAAGCAGGCGTCTGTTCTATTCGCTACTGCTCTAGCGCACAAAGTTTTTCCTGTACCAGGTGGACCAAAGAGAAGAACACCTTTGGGCGGCTCAATACCCAAGTTGACAAATTTTTCTGGCTGTAATATTTTTGTAATTAATTTTCTCACAACATAAATAAAACTCTCTTAAAAAACTCACTGCAAAAATACAAGCGTGTACTAACGTGCAACAACGGTGTTTCCACAACTTCTCTCAATTTTTCAATTTGTTCTTTACAGCCTCCGACGTCACTGTAGGTTACGTCAGGCTTTTCTTCAACTTGCATCATTGTTACAGTAGGATCAATTTTTGATGGCAACGGAATATGAATTTGATATTTATTACGATCAACACCTACTCTCATGCCTTCCTCTATATCCGTAGGTGCGACTGAATCCGCTAAATCGACCACGAATTTAGCGAATTGCTTTACATTTATAATGTACTTTGGATCGTCGGAATCGGCATTTATGATTTTTGTGCAGCGCGCCACTTGCAGAGGTTGCTCATTCTGTAAGGTTTGTTTGTCTGCTGCTAAATCCCAAAGTGCTGGTGGTGCTAAACCAGTATCTGATTCCTTAATACCGGTCAATTCATTCACACGCTTGGTTATTGCTTGAGTGTCCTCTTCCACCACTTTGATACTCTTTGTATATTGTCCTTGACCCTGAGTTAGAAGAAAATTGTTATTCATTATTTGTACTAAACTTTAATGTAATATTTATTAAAATCTATAAAATTATATATATATATATATATATATATAAACTTTTACACAGATGTACATTAATTCAAACTCAATAAAATACTCATATGTAATTGTTTATAAGTCACTTTATATATTTCAAAGATTTTACCAATTTGATCATGTTTGGCTTACATAAGTTTTCAACAATGCAATATCGCCTTCATCCAAAGCTGCAAAGCAACAGACAAGCAATTAGAAGAGAAGACAAAGATGACAGAACGAGGAAAAACTGAATCGCCGAGAAACTTACATTTTATCTCCTTCTCCTCTTTCTCCTCCTCGTTCTTCACTTTTCGCATATCGTCTCCTAAATGGTCCGGCATCTTCGCGCTTGTTCAATCGTTTTACTGGTTCAGTTTTTGACAATGTTTTTTTCACAAAACTTAACGTTTCCAAACGTCACGTCAGTTTCGTCTGCAGTTTTGCGCGAGGAGGTTACGTTTCCTTTGGATTACGAGCAGGAAATTGACGTCTTTTATCAGAAGCGACCTCTGTATAATTCTTTTTTAAGGCAAATTCGACCGACGATAAGTAGGGACTTACCACATGAACATTCGATAAAGGAAAGATTGAAACCTGTGCCGTAAAGATGACGCTGTGAAAACGTTAGGGGAAGAAAACAAAAGAGCCGCGAAAGTTTTGCAGTCATTGAGCGTTGCGATAGATAACAATTTGTAGATAACAATTGTTTAAACACTTTAAAGGCGTAAAAACTTATGTTATATTAGTTAAAAGTGTTTATATGTGTATAAAAATTTATCATAAGCGCAATTAGCGAGTGTGTGTGTGTGATATATCAGTGTGTACAAAGACTCTCTTCATCCAACTTCGAGGCTTGTAAGTTTTTGGTCTCGCCGAAAGGTACGTGCTAATTTTCTGTACGTATTTTAATGTAATTCTAAAAAAATCTAGAATGTCTCATGTTTCTACGTCGTTTCCACTCTTACGCAGCGCACGAGCAATAACAAAATTTTTGTCGATCAAAAAAAAAAAAAAACAGATATTGTTGTCAAAAAACAACAATTAGCGCACAATTGGCAACAATTTGCTGTCAATTTTTGTATTTGTTGGATAATTATCGAAAGATGCGATTCGAAACAAATCGAAACCGATTAATTAAGAGAATAAATTGCATATCTCGTCAGGATTGATACGTTTCTTCTTGCTTCTGATTTTTCCGTCTACAATGTGTTTTTTTTTTTTTTTTTCATTTTCTTCTCTCTCCTCGTCTCCATTGTCTTTCTCGTCTGATTCTTCTGTCCGATCGCGTCCCGCGATGATCGATTCGATCGAAACCTTTCGAAGGAAGTTTAGAACCGCCCAAGTTGCGCTGTCCTTGACCGGGATGATGCGTGAAAGAATGCAAAATAACGAAAGAGAGACGGGTACGTAAAACACTTTCACTTGCATCCTGTTTGCTGATTCATTTAAGGTGCGTTTGTCCATCTCGCGCGCAAAAAAATTTTTTTTTATTACGCGATACCGCAAACAAAATCCTCCAAATGAAAGTTTGAACACTTGTGAAATTCAGGAAGCGAGGTGTTGAGAAAGAGTCGCGGTTATTAACAATCGAATAAAAAACAAGAATTAGCTTTTACATCGAAATAATAAAATTTGAAATTACAAAATATGTTTTATCTGAGTTTAAATAGCTCGCGAATTTGTGTTGCGCGCGAAACTACATATATGTGCATTTCCTCATCAACTCGCGTTGCATATTGGAGGATGTCCCCCGGGATGTTTTCCTGATTTCGAAGCTTGTATGGGAAACACGAAGAAACCAAGCCGCACACGCGGCGGCGTGAAAGGTTTCAAATGTTTCTGAAAGCTGAATCTCCCGCGGATTTTTTTAAACAAACACCGCGGAATGTTGAACTTCACACGCCACCTTCTCTCGCGAAAGGTAGTCGCAAAATTTACGCTCTTTGTGCATCATTTATTTTCAATTCGCTAGATAAAGAAGCTAATGGCGAATCTTTAGATTTTACCTAGATTCTGTCTGTCAGAGTTTCGTCGTGTGTTTTAAGTGTCGCTAATTAACGATAAGCGACGCTGTGTGCGAATTCGCGGAGGAACACAATCGACGATCTTTCAAGCGAAATAATTTTTTTTATCCTCGTTGACAAAACTCCCGCTGTCTTTCCCGTTCGCGACAACGAATCGCGAGAAACGGCGACATTTTTTTTTTCGAAGAGTGCGCGTCACAATCGATTGCGTTTATTTAGATCCCAGATTTTCTGCGAGCAAAAATTGCAGTCGAGAGCGTGCAAACGTAAAAAACACCGTGTACCTTCGTGTAAGATATGACGCAACCGCGCATGTTACGTGCCGGCAAAACTGGCATTTTCTCGCCGTTTGATGTATGTCAGTGTGTCACACAGGTCGTAGACGGATGGGCGATGAAAAGCCAACGCGGACGTTTTAAACTGGACCGTGTAATTTTATTTTCGACGAGTGAAATTTCCGCGTGTGCGAATCCCCCCCGTACGTTCGTTTGAACCCCGAGCGTGAAAATTTACGCAATATGTCACGTGTGCCCGTGAAGCGTGGGTGGAGATTGACATTAAGCGAGAGATCTTCTCGTACCGCACAATTTCATTATTATTCCCGTATATGCCGCGCGCCATTTTTCGTGGGAACGCGATGGGATATTGCGAAGGAGGGGAGGAGCCGATGCTTACGATTCTCTCTCCGTGTAGGGGAAAAACGAGAAATTCCTCTCCTCTACGGTGCATCTTTGCGAAAGAGTAACAGTCGAACGTGTGTAATTCATTTGATCCAACTCGCGTTTGAATTGGAGAAGATAACGTAATTACCGCTACCGAGCTTCGCAACACGCTCGAGTGTAACACGCACCGTTTGTGTTCTGTTGTCGAACGCTTAATGTGAATGTAGACAGAAAAGATACACGAGACCAAGTAGAAACAAGTGTGTACTGATTTATTGCATAACGACAGTTATACAGTTATTGCTGTAGGATACTCTTGTTGTTGAATCACCATGCTGTGTGTGTCCTATATACACGTATCACTTCGGATTAGCGGCCGATAGGGAAGAGGAGAGGGCAAATAGAGAGGTGACCAAAAAGAAAGCCGTCGATGTCTTAGCTCCTATGCTTCTAGCGGATATTCCGTCTGGCTTCGCTGCTGGTCGTGGAACAAATCTCGAGACGTGCGTCGCGGCAGCGAAACTAAAACCTCCGGTACGGATTGGCATTGTACGCGGGTCCGCCGAATCTTTGCTGGAACGGCTGTCGGTCGTATTTCTCGTCGTCGGGTCCGGGTGGATTTGCCGCGAGCGCCCTTCTGATCGCTTCCGGTATCGGGGGTGGCGTAGGAATGTGCGCGCCCTGCGCCCGGAAACCGTTCTCGTCGGCCGTGTACTCGATGGTGATGGGGGTGCCGTCGGGCGCGGGATACGAAAATCTACCCTGCACCACCTATTCGGAATCGGGAGATAAATGCAAGCGTTAAGCGAATCGATTAGAACATAGAAATGAAGTTGACCCCCTGAATATTACGTGCGACGGTAATTAATGACAGAGAGAAAAGGAAGCGAAACCCGTTTGATCGGAGAACTGGCATTTACATACTCATTATGTAACGCACGTAATTGAGAAGACTGATTTCAGTTGATTACAACATCCGTCACGTTTGTGTGAGATGTGAGAATGAGAAAAAGGAAAAACCTTCTTCGACACGTTTGATTTTTTTTTTTTTTTTTTACGATAGAAATTTTGGCAATAACTTTATTCTTGCAACAGTAAAGAATTAATTAAATTTTTTTTCAGCGAAATTTGATTGAATTTAAAAAAAAAAACGAGATATTTTTCAATTCTCACGAAACTCACTTCTGTTTGACCCTGAGGTCCGGCTTGAGGATATCCACTTTCGGACACCGAAATCCCGTTCTCGGTTTCGTAGCTGAAGCTGTAAGATCCGTCCGGTGATGAATCCTTCTGTTGGTTTCGAATGCCTATGAACGGCCTCGAGGCGGATCTATGCGAGCAAAAATCGACAAATGTTTGTTATTTTGCGGAGTCTTGAATTCTAAACAGCCTTTGTGCAATGCAAATGTTGTTTCACATTTGTATTTTTTGCGTATGTTTATTTCTGTTTTAACGGCAATCAACTTGGAAAAAGTAGAAAATAGATGTATCTCGAAGAACATGTTTTTGCAAAACATTACCACATTACCTGCACGTATTTATTCTAAACATACGTGTGCGCAATGTAATTTATATTATACTTCGTATTTTTATATTACTTCGCGCGCAGAGAAAACTCTCAGATGTGTGTGTAAAAAATAATTTGTTGACAATTTAAACAGTTAGGACTTAAGCGGAAATTTTTGTATATGTAACTCCATACGTGTATTGCTGCTGCGGCGGCGGCGGCGGTTGCGACTGATAAGGCCTCGGTGTCGGTCTGTATGCATTTTGGCTGGGAAAGCCGCGATACGATCCGAACTGTCCGCAGACGCAACCAAAGATCGCAAACGCTAAGATCTGCAATTACATGTGCACCGATAAGTTCAAGATTCGACGAATCGGACGCACAAATATATCCGAGAATATATTTGCGCGCGGTTTTATATATATATATATATATATACTGTAATATTAAATTTTATATTATAATAATTTATTGCATTTTTTGTATAGTGCGAATAGAAGTATGTAAAAAAAAAATACGCCCGCACGAACGTCGTCAACACGAATATCGATCCGACGTCGAATTTCCGAAGCTAAAACTCACGATACGATGACAGTAATTTTTCGCATCGTCTTGCAAAATTTTAAGCAGACGAAAAAAAAAAACAATGTCAAAAATTATCACCCCCGGACCGAAGACTCAAATCTGGAGCGAACAGAGCACTTTTATCGATTTAATCACCGAGACACGTAGATATCTCTCGCAATAACCGAAATACGAACAATGACTTCGAACCAAAAATGAGGCTTCTATAAAATAACAAAACGCAGAACGTTGGTGCGAGACGCGCACTTCAGATGCAAGATGCCTCCACTTCGCGTTCCACGTCGTCCCACGTGAATCCCACTTGACTTGCGGAATGCAAGTTCGTTAATCGACGAAACGTACGCGAAGTCTCTCGTAGTGTGAGACGAAAAAAAAATTTCTCGCACGCGCAGTGAGAGAAACGCATTTTTTTTTTTTTTTTTTTTTGTCTAAATTCACCGAATATGTCGCGCGTTCACCGTTCAAATTGTGAAGAGGAAAGAGAACGCGAACGAAGACCATCGGACGCGGGTCTTCCTCGACGACGGGATGATGGATCATCACTCACTAGATACTGCATGATGACGACGATTGTCGGCGGAATTGTGTGCGACGGTCGATTTGAACGAGATCGAATCTTGTAATCCCGGTGCTGGCGAGCACCGCCGGCATTTATATATGAAGACGCCCAGGAGGATCTAACCTTCCCATTCTCCCCGGGTGGAATCGCGCGCACGGGAGAGGAAAGCGTTCTCTCCTCTATCGGGGATCCCTCTGTCGCCCCCTCGCATCCTCCCTACCCCTCAATTTCAACCCGTGTGTGTATGCACGGTCGCAGCATCCCGCGGCTGCGGATGCTCCTCGCCGATGTGATTCGTCGATCGAGCAAATTCAATTCAAACACATGAGCCAATTATTCAGCACACGTGTGTGTGCACGTGTGTGCACGAAGCCCACGCCCGGCTACCGTTTCAGTTTTTAATAGAGTCATTCGTTAGCGCATCGGGAAACTACGTGGGTGTCATTGTGTGTGCGTATGTAAAACTGATGATATCGGGGGATAAATATGTATCTCTGCGTGTGCTAATAGCCCCGATAAAAAGGTGCATTATATTTTATTTTATTGAACATTTTTGTGACTTGATTAAGCCGATTGCTAAGGAACGAGTCGAATTTGTTACCAATTGACCTTTTTTTTTTGTAACGACCTTTTGTTCAATTTTTTCTTAATATTACGATATCAATGTAGAAAATTAACGTTGATAGAAGATCAGACACGCGTGACGATTCTCGGGTTTACTTTTTTTTTTTGAAGGAAAAAAATTACATCGAGAAGACAAGATCTTGAATTCATTTGCAGAAGTAACGCGCGTGTGGATATAAATAATGCACACAGAACGCGCGCGCGCGCGCGCGCTTGTAAATATAAAAGAAACAACAGGCGGGACTTGTGTTTTCTTTCCCGATAACTATCGCCGATAACTTCCAATAAATTTAAATGTTATATGCGCTCGGCATGACAGTCGGTCGGTACTGTGCGCGCACATTTGCATTAAAGAAATGCGAGACATCAGCGTCATGCGATCTCTGTGTATGTATAAATCCTACGCGAACGAATCCATGTTGATCAACAGCGGATGTGACGAGCGTCGATTCCAAAATTGATCGATACGAACGACGTAATGTTCGACAGTGTTTCGTTTCTCTCACATTTGTCGCGTGAGTTCTGTTTTTTTTTTTTTTTTTTTTTGCGTTCCACGCGGAGATTCTGAATATGTGCAATCACACCTCGCATTGTCCCGCGGCCACTTTCAAGATTAATAAGCGCATCCACCTGCCGATTCACGCGCGTGTGTTCGCGCGGCCTATCCGTGTCTGCATCTTGCGTGCGCAACGCGCAGCTGCGAAATAGACAAATAAGAAACAATGCATCATAAGATACCCATTGATGCACCTGATTTCGTCACATGTATCGGGAACGTTACAAAATAACGGTTAATACAAAGCCGATTTGCCTCGCGTGAAGACCCGGTGTTGTATAATGTAAAAATCGATTCAACTTCTCGCCTTTCGGCTTCGAAGAAGAAGAAGTCGGCCTCTCACTTTTGTGATACACAAATAATGTAAATTCGAAAAGACAGTAGCACCTCGTGCGTGTGAACAATCGTAACATTATTTTAAATATATTTCACTTAATATTTTCGTAAAAGAAAAAACTCGGATACTTTTAGAATGAGATTAATTAATAATTGCGTACGGATTAACGAAAGAAAAAGAGAGTTTACATTGAGAATGAAATATTGACGAACCGTCTCGTAACAAATTGTTTAAAGCGTTTCATTTCGAATTAAATACAAATGAGCTCATTTTACCGATAAATTATTTTACGCGCACGTGTACGTACAAAAATTTGTATATCTTAATTGTATTCGCGTATGCGTGTGTATGCGTGTTAGCCTCTCTCTTCTCGATCGGCTCGTCGTTTCATTTTTTTTCTTTACATATCCGTCGCGCGAGCGACTCCGGTTCGTCGAGAGATATCTCTCTCGGCGTATAATTGCATTCTCTTAAGGCGTGACCGCTCCCAGAGCAGAATAAGCGCTTCCATCCATAACGCAACCGCGCGTATTATACGCGCGTACAATCCGGAGTCCGCGATATCCCGCGGGCGAGACCGGTGCAATCCGCGATGAGGCACACGCGATTCGCCAGCTCCGGTGAATCGACGGCGCACACACAAGCGCGAATCGCGAAAGTTTTTTTTTTTTTTAACTCAATATGATGCGTAGATAATGCGGAGAAAAAAAGGCGCGAGATGTGCCCGCGGAAAACGGCTATTCATCAATTTTCCACACACGGATCATGCCGATCCGGTGCGGTCACATTACCTACCGATATTCGTCTCGTGACGCTAAACTGGAGACTAAATGTCAACTTATATCATCGCTGAAACTTGTCGCAATCGAGTTATACCGACGCTACGTCGATATTGTATATACGCATGCACTTGCCGTATTTGGTATTCGCCGCAATCGACACGGGATATTAATTGATCGATAAACCACGACAGAAGTTCCGAGTCGTTAACGAAGTGTCGGCGAAATTTATAGTGATAGCGATCCATACAACATATGCTGTTTCGCGGTTCGTTAAACACGCTCGCACAAATACACACACACACACATACGAGTTAGTATTGAAATGATTCGTAATTGAAATAACGTATATGAAACGTTCCGATTCAAACGGAGTTTTGGTAAAAAATTACGAGGATAATTACAGACTTTATTGTTATTACGTCAACACGCAACTAATTACGTATCCAAGTATCCTCTCTTTCAACGGCGATCGCGTATAAATCTCAAATGTGATCGTAAATCGTCGTCAAATTGATAAATTATTACGTTTATTACTCCGCCCACGTGAGGCACGTAACAAACAAAGACGTACAATTTCGCGCAGCGTTCGTCGGACTTTACGCAATACCGCGCGTAATATCGCGCGCCTGGGCAGGAAAGGGAATCCAGGAATCCGAGTCGCGGATTGTACCCGCGAGTAAATCCTACCTCCACCCGGTTTTTAGTGCCCGCGAGCTAATTCAACGTTGTTGCAAAGCGATGTGCGCATAAGGTAAACTCTACTTCCCCGACTTGAATGCGGCACGTAAGGTAAACTTTGCGCTTACCAAGCAATTTCCCTCTCCGCATGTGCATGTATGCACAATACGTACGTACGTACGTACGTACAATGTAACGGATAACGCGTGTGATCGCGAAATGTCGTCGAGTAAGTGGTATTCACAATTTTCATTAAGCGCTAGACACGCGGCGGGAACCTTATACGCTAGACGGACTCCGCTCTCGCTTTCGTCATCCTCCTGACACCACGCGCGCCGCAACAATATATCCGCGGACTCATAAATTTCGCGTACTACTCTCGCGCGATTGCGATTGTAACATCGACCGGCGATGTCGCGCGGTTGATTTATCGAACGGGATTTAAAGTTTCCGCTCGTTTATATTTGTCACCTGCAGAAGTATCAGTCTCTTCTTATCTTTTGCGAATCTGGTCGAATCTAACGGGATTGAGATAGCGGGATATCGTAAATTTGTTGCGTATGAATTATTCCAAGCATCGAGGAAGATTAACATAGCGATCGTAAAGATGTAATAGGTCGTGTTTGAACTGTAATAGGCCACTTGTGAGTCAGTGCGCGCGGTGGTTCTCCGCTCGCGAAGTTGTCTTTTACGAATGAAGCTATTTAGACACACGCTTGGTTCGCTTCGAGGAGGCAACGAGAAGAGATTTGATTTGTTTGACAGGAGATCGAAAGTTACTCACTTAAAAAACTATTATATAATTGTGGCTCGTTAACATGAAATTTGAAACACAAAAAATCGAAACGTTTACAGCTGTGCGATGGCTTTAACGTTTATTAATTTTATTTATTTACTTATTTATTTACTTATTTGTTCATTTATTTTACTAAAAAAATTACTGAACAATTTATATATTTTTTTAAAAGGAATATATTGAGAAATTTCTGGATTTAGAAACCTCGAAGTTCGTGGAACAAAACTTACTCGAATATTCATTTGCGTTTATAAATTCTCGAAAGATCGGCTAAATAATCTTGCTTGTCTCCGATCTCTTTCAAAAGTCCGCATAAAAAATTGGTCGAAATGTCGAAAACGTTAGTTTCTCGTTTTGTGTAGGTTGGCGCCGCTTGGTAGCCAACAAGTAGCGTCTTCGATCCATTTTGGGATCAAGAATGGCGGGCAATTTGAGCGGCGGGAGGAATATCGCTAGGCGCGGATCGCGGTTTGCACAATAATTCCACGAGGATACTCCATGCCTGGGAGGACCCCGAAGGTATGCGCCTCTTGTGCCGCGCGTGTCTTTGTGAGACTCCTCGAGAGACTGCCTCGCCGCGTGATGACGAGGCATACCTAAGCCGACGTGGCTAATAAAACCAGAAAGGTCAGGTCGGGTTCAAGTGAGTATATCGTATACCCCAAGGCGGGCAAGTCTCTGGATCTGGAGCTATTTTGAAGATTTCGTGACCGAGAGGGGAGGGTCTTGCTCGTCATCATCGATTCAAATTGATCCTAAGAATGTTCGAAATCTTTGATGAATACAATTTAGCGGATCCTGAGATCGAGTCAGAGATCAAGCTTGTATTTAGGATTCGATTGATTTTAAAACGATATTTAATCACAGATTCTCGTTGGAGCCTCGTAACCTTTTCTCTACACGGATTGCTCAGAGTTTTCGTCTTCCTCTTATCGATCTGGTCTCATTGTGTTCCCAACAATTGGGCTTCTCCGGCGCGTCTCCTTTGTTCCGTCTTTCATCGCAACGAAAGCTCTTCAAGGTCTCTCGTCGACGATCGAACAAGAAGGGCGAAGTCGTTCTTCACGCAACGATTTGTCGGTGAGCGCGATACATTGTGCCGATGATGTCACAACATGATTGCGAGAACACGACCGTTGGTGATACACGAACGAGGTGCTTATTAGAGATCGTTTCTGACGCGACTACCCGCGGTATCGATCGCGCAAACGAATTGCTTCGAAGCGTCGATTGTCGCCGTCGCGTCAACGGTATTAGAAACGTCGACTCGTCTTTCTTCGCCGTGCGCTTGTGCCCTTCCTTTCTTTCCGTTATAGATGA